CATAAGTGTGCGGTTTTTGAAAATCGAATGTTATTTATGTAACCTATCTATACCATTAATTTTACTTATAATATCATTGGATTTTATATTTAAAGTGTTTTAAAAGAATCATTTTGAGATACTCTATTTTACATTATTTTTGACTTATAACAAATCTAGGGAATAGTGGGTAGATATGTTACATTCTATATGCACACTCAACCTAAATATCTTTTTGATTTTTTTATCGTTTTTAAACGGCAACGTCGATAAATTTGCTATTTTTTGTCGTTTTAACTAACTTTCCAATAAAGAGGAGATTTTCAGTTTGGTTGATAAGGTTTTTGTACAGTAACGTACCGACTTATTGTGAGACATACATTTTATAATTTACTAGCTACTCTCGCGCGGTTTCACCCGCTACTCAGCTCCATTTGATCGTAGCGTGATGTTTTATAGCCTATAGCACTCAGGAACGTTGTAACTATCTATCAGTAAAAGAAATTTGATAATCCGGCCAGCTGTTCCAAAGATTACCCAGTACATACAAACTTACAAATTTTAAGTACCTCTTTATAATATTATAGTAATAGTATAAATAAAAAATAACTCATGAATAGTAAGATTGCCGTTGCACTTGAAACCGGTACAGCTTTTCTTAGTTACCTCCTTAATTCACTTACCTAAGACTTTATTTTTACATAATCAATGAAAAGTATCTATATTTTTGTGTGATCAACTTCTATTTAATTTTATGTTCTTTAACAACGTACCTGGTAGTTGCTAGCTGTCCTATTTATTACTGCTTTATAATAATTATAATTATATTATATAGGTACCTACCTATCTACATAACAATTTGTAGTATTAATAAAAATAATTGTAAATAGGATGAAATAAATTATTATATTATTTATTATAGCTAAGACATGGTTTTATTTAGTTTAATTCACCGCACTAGGGATCAGGAACATATCGAAGCTTCCATGTCTGAAAAACACTTTCGTCAGGAGGAAGATGAGGAATCGACCCTTACCTAAAGTCAATATTGTTGTCAGGATGTAACTCCCAACAGTGAATACATTCAGTCAACAAAGTATCGGGAATGAAAGTTTTTTTTATGGTTCCAAATTCGAATTTTAATTTTTTTTGTTGTTGTTAGATTGGCATAACTGTTTTCCATTTTGGCGCGGAATTTGAGTTGCATCTGTTATTTATATTAAAAACAGTGCTGTTTTTAGTTTTATAATATCTAGTGTGTATTGCGAATTTCATAATGGACAAAAACATCGAACAAAGAGTTTGTCTTAAATTTTGCATCGTCAATGAAATTTCGTGTTCGGAGGCACTCAAAATGTTACAGAAGGCTTACGGTGAATCGACTTTATCAAAAACACGTGCTTATTTTTTATTTTATTTACTTTACTTTATTTCAGACTTAGTTGTCCAATTTGTTAGTAACAATGTTCTTACAGACTAACGTTAGTAATGCTTACAACTACCCACCACAGAAACTAGTAAATAAATAAAAATAACAATAACACAACCATTACTGCACCACCCCATGACAAATGGCGGAGCAATGGTTGATGTAACTACAGTCCAGTAGACTGGCAATCATGCCAAGAATGCTGTTGGCGCTGCCCCGCACTCTTCGCACCAGGGATGCGCATCTTTTACGCATAGTAGTATAAAAGCAGTCTACCCGATATTCCGCAAACATCCCTGATGCACTACAGAATCGTCGCAGCCCCATCAGCACTCTGAATGCATTATTAAATTGGACTCGGAGGGCACTGTAAGATTTTTGGGTATAGTCGGCCCACAGGCTGCACGTATAAAATGAAGTACAATAGGACCTAGTGTAATTTTGACATCTATCGAACAACGTGCAAACCTGCGAGCTATCATATTCGCCCGCACTGCCAGAGCCCTCCGTTCCCTCTCAATGTCATCATCGTCCTTGAGATCAGAGGTCAGCAAATGTCCTAAGTACTTAACTTTAGACACCCTACGCATAGTAGTACCATTTAGCGTAATATTGGGAAACACGTCACTAGAACTGCTCCCCCTGGTCCCGAAGACCATGATTTCACTTTTAAGTGGATTATATTTCAATCCATGTTCCTTGGCATATGCCTCACAGATTGTCAGCAGCTTCTTAATGCCACAAACCGATGCGCTCAGCAGCGCCATTGTGAGTGGTACAAAGCGTTCAAAAGCGGTCGAGATGTGATGGAAGATTTGCCTCGTTCTGGTAGGCCATCAACGTCTGCAACTGAAGTTAACATCGCAAAAGTGAAGGAAATAGTGACTGAAAATCCTCATTCAAGTTTGAGAGACATGGCCGCCGAACTTTCTGTATCTCACGAGTCGATCCGTACCATTTTAACAAATAATTTGGGTATGAAACGTGTTGCCGCTCGGCTAGTCCCAAAAGACCTGAATTTTCTTCAAAAACTAAATCGCATGAAAGTCGCTGAGGACATGCTAGAACGAGTCAATACCGACCCAACATTCATGAAACGCATTGTTACTGGTGACGAGACGTGGGTTTACTAGTTTGACATGCAAACTAGTCAACAAGCTTCGGAATGGCGCCTTCCAACTGAACCAAAACCGAGAAAACCACGTCAAAGTCGATCAAAAGTCAAAGTCATGTTGACTGTTTTCTTTTACTATCGCGGTGTTGTGCACTCAGAATTCTTGCCCGAAGGTCAAACGGTAAATAAAGAATATTATTTGAGCGTTATGCGGCGTTTAAGAGAACAAATTCGACGAAAAAGGAATGAGATAGAAAATTCTTGGATTTTGCATCACGATAATGCGCCTTCGCACAAGGCCATCATTGTAAACGATTTTTTGTCCAAACACTCAACAAACACCATCGAACAGCCACCATATTCACCAGATATGGCTCCAGCCGACTTCTTTCTTTTTCCCACACTCAAATTACCCCTTCGTGGCACCCGTTTTCAATCGTTAGAAGACATAAAGGAGAATTTGCGGCGAGCACTGAACTCAATTCCGGAAACAGCGTTTAAAAAAAGTTTCGATAATTGGATTATTCGTTGGCGTAAGTGTATCTTTCTGAAGGAGCATACTTTGAAGGTGATAAAATAAATTTAGATGAATAACAAACATTTTGTGTATTATTGACTTTTTCCCGGTACTTTCTTGACAGAGTAGTATGTTAATGCTAATGATGACGATTTTTTAAGTTAAGTACTTAAATGAGTATGATAGACACGTATCTATCCAATTTTTGTGGCATAAAGGTTTAATTTAATTACTACAAAATTATAAGTTTACATGATTTTTAGTAAGTAGGTATTTAAAGATGGAGACTTTTTTGGGAAAAACATCATCCGCTTTTTTCCGCCCTGGGTGAGACGAAAAGCGAGCGTCAGAGGCGGCGGGAGGGAGTGTCAGATTATTCCTGACTAAAAACCCCCCGTTCCTTCTCCTGCTCTGGGCCGAGATCGCGGTGCCTTATTGCGCTTACTCCGTAACCCCGGAACATCAGTTCTATAGGGCCCCGTCTGTGGTGGTCTATCGGCCCAATGAGGCGCGCGGGGAACGCTACGTGCCGTACGCTCGGGTGACTAAAAATGATATATGAAATCTTTCTCCTGTTCGAGGCATGCCGCGGTGGGTACCTTATTGCAATTGCCCCGCAACCCCGGCTAGAAATGACCTTGGCCGGGAGAAGCCATGTGCCAGACTCAAATCATTTGATGATTTTCCCCTCACAAAAAAGTACCTACATAATAATGATACCCACACAAAATTGAATACATATGACGCTCCAATAAGGACAACAGCCAAAATCAATTACATATTAACTTACATGTAAAGGCCAATGTGACTTTTCAGAGTTATATTTACTGTCTTTGATTATTTAGACACCACTGACGTACGGTTAAGGAAAACATCGTGAGGATCCCTGGGTTTATAAACTTCCAATTATAAGTTTGAAATCGCCAATCCGCCTTGAGAAAGCGTAGTGATTAATGCTCTAACCTTCTCCGCGTGAGAATTGGCATTTGCTCAGCAGTGGGCACCTATAGGCTAATGATGATGATAAAGGCTACGATTGGAGCAATGTCTAGACAACCAGCGGCTACAAAACGTAGGTACTGTGATGGGTTTCCGCACAGAGTATACCGAACTAGATACTCCTAGGTACCTACACTGAATACCCACTTACAAAAACCATAAGTGATCGTTGTATTGTACCTATTCGTTTATGAAAAATTTGTGTAAATCCAGTGTTGGACCTCAATAATAAAGTAAAATAAAATTCTGTGCCGTCTGTCCAACACCAGTTTTGAAGAAATATTAAAGTAAATGCTGAGGACGGTAGGAACACAATCATAATTTATACTGTCGAGGTTGCAAGCAAAGCGCAATTCGGTAAATAACTACCGTAGTCCGTTCGGAGCAGATGGAATTACCAAACAGGGTAGTTTTTAGTCAATAAGAGTCTGAAACCAATTTGACTCTCATGCCCAGCCCAGGTCGGCAGAAGAGATTTAACCTTTCAACCGTAGTAGGTAATTCTAGACACAATAGTAGAACAATAGGCGCGCGTACGCATCGCTTGGGGATTGATTTATTAAAAAAAAAATTGATAAAAGTACATACACATCTGTCGTATCTGAGCGTAAGAATACCTATCTTATTTTTAAGTTAGGTATAATTCCGGCGTGTTTATAACGGCTAATTTACGTACCTAACTGTTTGACGAGGAACGCGACTAGTTTCAAACCACGCACGGAGCTCATATTCGTCGCGCAGCTAGGTACCTGACCCATTAACTACGGTTATCTGTTGTTGCTATACAAGAAATTGTTATCGTTAATTGTATGTTGTTGTCGTTAATAATACACGATTAAGATTTCCACCTTATAAAGAGTCTGGAATTATTCCGAATACTTACTAAGGTAACAGTGATTAAAAAAAAACATTTCTTCATAAATAATAATAATACTGTATTTTACAAATAAACAATAGAATCGTCATAAATCATAATTACAATCTTGCATCCACGACGGGTCTTCAGCGAAAGAAACATCTTGTACTTCTTCATCACTGCATTCTTCAACTTCATTAGTATAGGCGCACCCTTTCATTTTCCTGATCAAATCACCCCATTTTACCTTTATATCACAGAAAGGACAATTACCTTCTACTGGTACATATTCCCCTGGTACCAAGAACAGATCCGCTAAACAAGTTATATGGCAAAGAAGTTCACAGTTAGGATTTAAACAGGTGATCTTTGTCTGGCCATTGGTTATGTTAGCGGAGCACAGAAGGCATTCCACGTCAGGTTGGATGGAGTTTGAGTCTTTGGTCTTTAAGTTTCTACTTTTCACAGGTCCTTCGCAGATTGACATGTGTTCTGGTGGTATTCTTTCAGGCTGCAATACAATTGTTTAAAATAAATTATGAGGTACTTATACTGCGTCTAAAAAAAGTATTTTTGTAAAATGTAAATAGGTAATTACTCACTACAATGCTGCTAGTCTATGGTCTAAAATAACAATAGACACATAATTTTTTTAGTGATATACTTTTAAAAGTGATACTTTGGTCTCATTAAATTAAATAAATAGAAATAAAACAATTTACTTTGACTGTATAAAAAGATGAGAAATATTATATAAACCTACAGGAAATTCTTCACGGTATTCTGGCTCTAACCATCTTATAATTAAAGGCAGTCGGCACCAAGGTCCCACTCGAAACATCTCACTCAATATTCTTAATTTGAATTTAAATTCAGACTCTTTTCTCGGGATCTTCTTTAAGTTTAAATGTTGAAGTCTTATTGTCTTTGATGGATTTTGCCAAGCCCATTCAAACTGAAAAAAAAAGTAAGAAGTTAACTAAATAATATGATAAGATGTTGTGACAAATAAATAGGTACCTACTTACCCTAAGAGCAGAAATATTATTTGGGAATCCATGCACTATAACCACCATCTTCCTAAAATATTTAATATTAGGATTTATATGTTGCATTATTTATGAAAAGTGCCAGTTCTTAAAATAATAAATATAATATACCTATGCATGTCTAAAGTAGGAAACTAATCTTGTGTATTAGACAAATACTTCTAAGGAACTGTACTTAACGTACATATTTTTGAAGTAAATATAAATTAAATATATTGTTCTAAATAGACTGAATTAATCAAAGGCAAAAATAGGTATACTTAAATTTAAACATAGCAGTCAAAAATTGGGGGCAAGTGATTGTTAATGTTTAGTTTTCAAGCAAATTTTACCAACCAGGGTCCCTTGTTATTAGTTCGGTGAGCTCCTCCAGCCCACACTCCTTTATTGTGTTGCATTATTCTTCTATTCGGGTCTCGAGTATAACCAACGTATGTGCGGCCTTTATATTTTGGATTGATACAATATAACAAATAAACACCAAAGAAATCCTCCACTAATTCTGGTTCCGTCATTATTAATTAATATGTTTATATTAATTTATATAACTTCCTTATTATCTTTATAATATTTAACAGAAAATACCTGCTTGTTTGTTTACTTTTGAAACTTCAAAATAAAGTTTTTGACAGCTGCGTTTTGTCATGGACTACACTTACTTATGATTTGTCTAAACATATTAAGTGACAAAAATTACTCTTATTAAATGATAGGTGCAACAAAATATAGTGGAGTATTTAATATGCACACATATCAATATGTTTCGATCACAAATATTTAAATAATCAAATAATATTGATAAGATTTGACGAAATTTTCAGTGTAACTACACGCTATGGGCAAAACAGATTTTCGCCGCATATTTGACATTCACTTGACAGATAACCTTACCGATTTTTATTAATCGCATTTTTGTAAACATTGTTCAGTGTATATTTTGGGAGAAAATATCTATTTGGGTTTATTATTTTATCAAGTGCATCTACTTCTGAGTAGAGTCAACAAAATTTACACAATCAATTGATGTATTTGTATCATGGCTGACGTTAAAACATCGAAGATAAACCAAAATAATTGTGGACTGTAAGTATCTACCTATATACGCTACAATGTTTTATTTAAATACTGCAGCAAATTATTTAAATACTCCGCCCGTAAGACGACCCACTGACCCAAATTATTTTATTTATGTTATAATATCTCACTATACACACTGTAGACTGTTTAACAACATTTATAATAAAATAAAATCATAATAACAATCAATCATCATAATAATCCTTTCAGATGCAATGAAAACCCAAGCAAATACTGTTGCCCACGATGTGAGGTATTCTACTGTTCCCTGGATTGTTACAAGTCTGAAAAGCATTTACAATGTTCAGAGAGCTTCTACAGAGATTGTGTGAACTCTGAATTGACGGCACATCACGCTGATGACGATTCTAGGGATAAAATGGTGGACATCCTAAAACGGATGCAGGATGACGATAATATTGACATAGATGACCTCATAGAATATGATGATGAGCCAGCAGACTCTGATGATGATGAGGATGATGACTTAGAAAAACGAATAGAGAATTTAAACCTTGATGATGCGGACGCAATATGGAATGCATTGACAGAGGATGAACGAAATGAGTTTGAAGCATTAATAAATCGGGGTGATGTTGGAGGTATAATGCCTCAATGGGAACCGTGGTGGATGTATAGAAGAGAAAAGAAATTAGTTGAAGACGTTAATGTTGACGATGGAGAAGTACTAAAAAATTGTCCAGAATTGAAAGCTGTTCCTAAATTTGAAACATTGACAGTAAGATTGCATAGTTATTAAAATCTGGCTTTTCTTAAATGTCTGTTCTGCACATATTTACTTGGTTATCCTTTTCACAATTTGATAGTTATCAGAATCAGATCATAGCATATTCTTTTTATGTCTCTTACGAACTACAAACTACCCAGTTCCTTCTAGACCACAGTACATTTAATTAGGTTTGCAACTGCATATCTGACTGAAAATACATCTAACATTAATTATACCCATAAATATAAATATTTTTTATTCAGAGCCACAATCAATACTTATTCAAGTTAACTTACCATCATGTTGTCAATTTGTATACAATATAAATGGGTAATAATTATTCCCTAAATCCTAAACCTATCTTAATTTTTAGGCTGTTAAACCATCACCAGCTATCAAGAGCAACATTACAAATGTACTAGCTTCCTACGCTTTCATCCTGCGGTACTTTAATGGAGAAATTGAGCCTGGAGAAGCAGTGATATGCTTATTCAATATTTGTGACAATTTGAACACCAATACTAATTTTGATGATCCTGCTGTTGCGTTGGAGTCCGTTGCGCAGAAATGTTTACAGGTATTATTTCAAATTAGTACATTACTTAAGAAAATGAAAAAGCTAGATTGATCATTGTATTCTGTGCCTAAAATTAAAATACATGTGAGATGTGTTTAGTATGATTACAGCCAGCTATAGGAAAACATTGCATTTATTGTTTATCAAAATTTTTATCTTACTGCATTTCAAGTCATTGACAAATAAAATTGTTGAGTTCAAATCCTCTGCTAGCATTCCCCATGACGTTCGAAGTGTGAAGAACAATAATATGTTGCTATGACATTAAGTTTTTAAATCTAAAGTTTCTAAGTAACACAGATCTATCAATCTAATGACCAATATTAAACTACATTTTCACTGTTTCAAATGATAATACATTGCTTAATTTAATAATTTGTATTTTAGAGTGAATTCATACAAACTGATGAAGCAAGTATATCAGTGATGAAAAAAGACACATTCCTTCTAATCCGAGGACCAAGTGATGATAACGAGAAATACTATTGCCAAGCAGCTTTATCCCATTTACACAAGATACTCACTGAAGCCAAAACATTAGACAAACAGACGAAAGACCAAAAGACTGCCAAGGAAAAGACAACCTTTTCGAAGAAGTTTCCGGAACATGAAAAAGAACATTTACCAAGTTTAGATGTAAGTAAAGTTAAGAAATGTATTAAGAAAGTAGAGTATTACTTGTCATATGTTGATAGTTATGATATGGATTTTGAATAAATTATAGTTTTTTAGAAATCATAAAGTTTGTTTTTCTATTCTTAACATAGATAAGATGATTTTCTCTCCAAAAAAAATATCATAGGTTAGATAAGTACGTTTTCTTGCGAATTCTTATGAGACCACGACTAATACAACCGCAAACCTTCAAGAAACGAGTATACTCCTTCCCATAGCTTCGCTAGTGTTCATTGGCGGCGCAGAACATGCTTGTTTGCCTCCTATTCCACAAAACAAAAAACGCAATGAACATACGTTAGAAAGAAAAGATTTTCTTTTCAATCAATACTTAATACTTTGTAACATATTTGCAATAATATAACACAGACAAGCATACATTTTTAAACATATTATTATGAGACTTGGATAATATTTTGCAGGGCAGAGCCAAAGTAGGTACCTAACCAAGAAAGGATTTCTCAAAGTCGCTAACGCAATATAAGTAGAACAAAGGATTCTTAAATAAAACACATTGGACACCTTAACCAGATATATTCGTTGAAACATGAATAATCCAGGGAATGTCAGAATGTACCATCAACAATAATAATCATTTAATAATAATATTATATACACAATGTTCCAACACAACACTTAGTTACATACTAAACTTTGTTCAGAAATATATTGTTTGTTACATAAGCAAGGATTTTGATAAGACAGAAATGGAGCTATAGAAAAGAAGGAGATAGTAATAGCCAATTGATAAAGTTTAACACATTCAGTGCCCTCGACGCACCTGTGCGTTCAATACATTAATGTATTGAACGCACAGGTGCGTCGAGGGCACTGAATGTGTTAATATTACTTTAAAATATTCATAAGTAAATATGTAGGTATACTTACAGGACCACTAGTCTCGTAGGTAACAAGAAAATTGTGTCACTAAGTTGTGGATTTCTAAAATTAATTTTAAATCTTATTCTTCAGGAATAAGATCAAAATTAATGGTCTTTCATTTTTGCCACAGTGAGATATTTATGTCTTAGCTTTAGCCTTGTATATAAAGATTTAAAAATAATTCTATTATTGTAAGGTTCGAATACAAATTAAAATAATCCTTGCTTACATAACGCATGAATAACATTGAAATCTAAACTAGAAATTGGCCTAAAGTTGTTATATTCCAACTTTTTTTTGTATTCAGTAATTTAACATTGCAAAATAAACATCAATTTGACTGAACCATATTTGTATTTCATAAGGAAATAATAGGTCTATGTTCTTTTTAAAGCACTAGAGAACATCGACAATATTTATAGAATAACTAGATTAAAAAGTTAATAAAACGGACAAAACAAATAATTTAAGCTCATACTAAAACTGTAGCTGAGTGTAGATCGAAAAGACTAGGTACAACGACGTGGAGGCCCAAAGATTTAGGCGCTTGCTTCTCATGCATGAGGAGACTGAAAACTAGTAAGTACCAATGTGTATTTACCTGAGTCATATGTACCTACTTTTTAAGTCTAGATATTAAGACAGTACAGATATGCGGTGAAGGAAAATATCGAGAGGAAACCTGGACTTATAATTTCTTATGATAACTTTGAATTCGCCAACCCGCTTTGAGCAAGCGTGATGACTAATGCTCAAACCTCCATGTGAGAAGAGACCTTTGCTTAGCAGTGGGCATTTTAAACTGGTGATTATTGTAAAAAATACAATGTTAAAGTCTGTTAATGAAATTACTGAACACAAACAAAGTCAGAGTATAAATACTACTCATAATAATAATAATAAATAGATCATAATTTTCTCACTTAGTGATATACAATAACATTCAAAACGGCTTTTTAATATACTATGTTATAATTTCGAGAGATATACATACATACAAATTTCATATAATATAATTTGATATAACATTATATCTATGGTAACATTACAAAAGGCTGTTATAATATTCGTATAGAGGGCGCTAATGTCGTTTTTCGCTTCAATACTTCTGCGTTCAATACTTTAATACAGTAAGTAGATTTTTTCTATAATGAATAGAAATATAAGATCAGAAATCGATTCCAAATTGCTTATTGGTCTTCCAAAAGGACTACGATCACTAATGTGTATATTTTTGATATTTAGCGAGAGGTCTATTATGGAGGTTTTACATGTTATTTTTAGCATAACGGGGCATTAAAAAATATTTTGATATTGGGAACATAAAGAGAATAATTCAATGCTGAAAAGATTATGTACTAAGCCTATGTATCTATACCTATTATACATACATTTATATATTCGTTGGAAAGACAGAAGCAGCTTAAAAATCCGTAGGTATCAAAATTTTATTGTAATTCATGATAACTATGGAAATATGAATAAATTCGCCTCTCATGCTAAAAATAACATAGTAATTAGCAAGAAATATATATGTATAGAATATAGTAAAAAAAGAAGTTGGATACACAAAACCTTTTTCCGAAAATTCTACGTAATAGGTACCTATCACTAGGAATGAGTTATTCTATAATTAATTACTTGACAAGTAGGTAAGTCAATGCTTTCTTTGAATTTTGTAAATAATTAGCTTTTATATGAATTTTAGCACGGAATTGTGTGTTGTAATGCCATGTTTTATGCATCATACATCACACTTCTTCAGCCAGCAAAACACAAATACTAAGTGTACCTATGTGAAATCAATGAATAACAATGAAAATGTGATTAAATCAAAATATTTTATTCCTTATTTGGAGATAGTTAAAGAAAATATTGGATTTTTGCACAGCAACTAACGTGAGACAAACCTACTAATATTATTGAAGGTATTGGCTCACTCAATTAACTGAGAATAACTCTACATGTTTTAAGTAACACAGTGTTCTTATTCCTATCATCTCGGATCGCAACTATGAGTTCCGTTGTACCTTGGAACTAGTAGATAAGAGGTTTTTTCAATGAATTCACATAAGTGGTAATTTTTAATAAACGATTACTTATTTGGCTGAAAACTTGCAATACCGTAAAACGGGGTGAATAGATACACGAAAGGGGTAAATAGATACACGACAGGGGTAAATAGATACACGACAGGGGTAAATAGATACACAAAAGGGGTAAATAGATACATGAAAGGGGTAAATAGATACACGAAAGGGGTAAATAGATACACGAAAGGGGTAAATAGATACACGAAAGGGGTAAAAAGATACACGAAAGGGGTAAATAGATACACGAAAGGGGTAAAAAGATACACGAAAGGGGTAAATAGATACACGAAAGGGGTAAAAAGATACACGAAAGGGGTAAATAGATATACGATAGGAATGGATAGATGTTAGCAAATTTTCCTAGTATCTATTCAACCCTTTACTGTGTCTATTCACCCCTCGAATTCTATTCACTCCGTTTTAGCTTTTCTTAATTTTTGACCGAGTCAAGTAACCAATTATGAGTTCATTTGCATTTTAAACCTATCATTATAAACAGGGTCTGGGGCAACACTCTTTGATAAACTTGAACCTTTTACACTTGGATTTTCAACCAGCTTGCTGCGTGAGAACTCGTCTTAGGTAGAGAAAGCCGTATTGATACTAATTTTTAACTCCGAATACTTAATCATTATTACTTCGCACTTAAGGTTCAATTTCGCGATGACGTTGTGGGTGCTAGCGTTATAATATACCGCGGCCCTGGAGGAGAAGGAACGTGGTGATTCTTACTCAGTAAGAGTCTGGCACTCCCTCACGCCCTACCCATGACGGGCGAAACAGTTTTATGATTTTACCCCTTTGAAAACAAGGTTCAATTTCGCGTGCCACGAAGATATAAAATACACATAACCAAACACCAAAGTCCACCATGTTTTTTTTATTATTTAAAATAAATTGTTCTTTTTTTCATGTAATGTAAGTACGTTTTTTATATTGAAACTAGTACATTCACCATAATATCAACATTGTTAGGTAATTATTTTACTAGTACAAAGTTTCAATTCTACTAATATGTAAGTATCAAGGTCGAAATTTGAAAAGAATAAGGTTTCATTGAAAGGTGAACTGTGTGGACTAGCAATAAAGTCTAGTTTTCGCTGAAGATGTATAAATTTGTATTTAAATTGAGAAAATAACTTTAATACGTTCGTTAATGAGGTTAGTATTTCTTTACACGAAATTAAACTGATTTCCCCGTTTTTACTGAACGAATTATTATATCATTAATAGTTAAAACTCAATTGTAGATGTCAGAAAAGATCATCAATATAGAAATCTAAGCAATTTCAAACTATACTACACCGAGATATGAATGAAATTTAAAAATCGCAAACATAAGCATAATCAAAGTACGAATTAAGTTACAAAGTGTCTTATAACCAAAGTAATAGAATTCAAAATCAATTAACGAAACTATATAAGCAGAATTGAAACCTTGACAGTACCAAAGCCATTAATTACTTAAATAAATAAATAATAATACTCCTTTCCCAAAACATATCCATTCACCAACTCCCAAACCTTAAGCAAATTCAACTTTATTGTTACCAGAATAAGGTTTAATTTTCCCTTTACACTCTTCATGTGTTCTGGTGTGCTAAAATCAACACTATTGAAATAGACGAAAGATACAATTGCGTTTCGCTGTTTGTAAATTCAATTCAATTTTAAGTTCTTAAGATACATTTTTGTTAAAATTCACAATATAGAATGTGCTATTAAATTGAAGACTTTAATTGTCTGACGTATAGCTCAGTTTTAGTTGGAGATTTCTTTTTAACGAACTTTGAAATAAAGATATTTTACATAAACTACCTATGTATTGTATACATTTATTTTGGAAGGCGATAGGTACATATATTAACATTCTCATATTTACGTAATATTTTCTTTAAAATTCAAGAAAATACTTGCATTTTTTGTAAGACTGCTTTTGTTTTGCTCAATAGATGGCGTTAATGTAGAATGTGGTCTACTTGTCCAATTATAGTACGTAGCCAAAGTTGAATTTCATATTTAAAAAAATATTAAGAAAGAATTGTTTAGGACAAAGAGCCCTAAAGCTACATTAACGCCATCTGCCGCGCTAAAAGAAAACATGATATAAGGTCATTAAAACCAATCAAACATCACAAACGCTACAAAACAAAAAAACGTTTAAACTAGAGACAAAAACTCCAAATTTAAAAACCTAACGGCCAAAAAGAACCGTTACAAATTCAAATTTCAATTCCAATTCTAGAACGTTCTAATAAGGTATTTGATTTTGGTAATACTGGATCATGTCGTAAGTCCTCGTTCTGAAGTTAAGGAAGGAGTTACGTATGACTGAGAGCATGTAGGCGGCTGCCTCTTTCTCCGTCGAGTTTGGAGCGAACCTGGACCTTAGGAGTCTGATGGTCTGACCTCGGAAGCACGGGAGACCAGTGTCTAACATAAGCGACACCATTGATATAATTGCTTCTTGGTAGGGCCTGAAAAAGACATTTTGGTTAGAATCAATTTAAAATATTTAGTGTGGGAGAGCTAGCCGGGGTTGCGGAGGAAGCGCAATGAGGCACCGCGTCCTCGGCCAGTCAGAAGAGTCTGACAATCCCTCTCGCCTCACCCTGGGCAGGGGAAGTCATTTGATGATTTTCCCCAGACAAAAAAAAATGTCGAAAAGCTTTGCTTCGACACGAATGGGGCGAGTCGACCGGAGTAATACCACGGCCTCACAGAAAACCGGCGTGAAACAACCATAGCGTTGTGCTTCGCCGTGTGAGTGGGGTTACCTGAGGCACAATCACTCTTCTCCCTCTCGGCCAATCCCTTATTTTTCGAAAACTAACTCCCGAAAAGGCTTGCAACAAACTAGTAAATCCTTTGGTTTTGTGGATGTCTGAAAGCGGCGCCAATTGCTTAGCATCAGGTAATCCGATTGCTTGTTTGCCGTTTTAATCCAAGTGTTAAGCGATTTTAGGATTTATGTAGGATTTATGGTAAGGTTAAAAATTAAGTTTCAATTAAGTCACACAACCTCACTACTTGATAGGCAAATTTGAACTCTACGTCCTACAATATGAAGTTCAGACTCACCTGACAGCAAGGAAGGCTTGTACACAGAGCTCGCAGAACCACCTGAAGGGAGGGGCTTCCATCTTTCCTCCCATCACCATCACCATCTCGTCTGTCAACTTGATGTCAGGCTCGAAGCCCAGGTTACCACCAGGTGATGACTCGAACATGAAACCGAAATCTGAAACAAGCAATATATTAGAGATTATCTTTCTTGATCTTTAAAAAAAAAAACATTTCCTTTCTATTTGGGTGCATTTATAAGCATACAATTTTCACATGTACATTACTGCCAGATCCGGAACAACAATTTGTGGATCACACAAAGTTGTTCCATGAGGGAAACAAACCCGCGACACGTTGCGCGGCAGCCAGTTGCCCAGCTACCGCATCAACCATGCAGCCGATTTTCCAAAGGAATGAGAACATAAATGGACCGGATCGAACGGAATGAACAAGCAAAGCTTCCATCTCCATTCCAAGTTTTGCCCTGTGCATACCTACCTACTGGGAGTCAATATTCAGATAAAACCGATGGGCAATTTTAAAAATTGGAAAATTGAAGTAAAATAAGTACCTTTAATTTAATTTATACTATAAAATCTCAATATTGCTATTTTTATTATAACTTTTGTGAGACATTCTAAATTGTTTATTCTGTTTTCGGCTTACTCACGTAATAATTTGACGACATACTCGTGATGACGATATCTCTAGCATGGCTTGAAACTAGTCGAGTATCTCGTCAAATTATTACGTCAGTAAGCCGAAAACATAATAAATAATATTACTATTATACACAACCCGGGAATCCAACCGCCTGAACGCTAGCAGTAGCGTTTGCAATCAACACGAGTACACGAACAATTTAACAAAAATATAAAAGGTTAAAAAGTTGCAAAAACTATTATCGAGTCAATTGAATGTCAACCTAAACCCAATACAGATACAGTACAAAATAACCAACTCACCTATATGTATGATATGTCCGTCGACATCCAGCATAATGTTTCCGTTGTGACGGTCCTTGATTTGAAGGAGGAATCCGATCACACTGTACGCCGCCATTGATGTCACGAAACAACGTCGAGCGGCCTGAAACACAATAATAAGACTTAGAGAAGAAAGTAAAAAGTTAAAAACAGTTAAGTATTTTTTTTTAAAAGACCAAAAAAATTGTTTAAAAGAAAATATTCAGTGATAATGAAAAACGTCTAAAACCCGGTCTCCGAAAAGCCGATCAATGTTAAAATCTATTTAATCTCTTGTTAAGACATTTGATTGTTTGACTGAATTATCAACAACCAATCAGATGACTTGACAAGAGATTTGACACCTAGTTAGTTGATTTTAAGTGAATTAACTGAGGAAAGCTTTACTAGTTCAAGTCGCAACAGCCGACATAACGCACAATGTCGCCGCGACGCGCACGTTGCTCACGAATAAGAGTTCCGCTGTGACTTGAAACTAGTTGAGCTTTCCTCAGTTTATTAACATGAGTAAGTTGTTATCACTAAATAGTATAAAAAAACAAAGTCGCTTTGTCTGTCCCCATATCCCTATGTATGCTTAAATTTTTAAAACTACGCAATGGATTTTGATGCGTTTTTTTTTTAAAAAGAGTAATTGAAGAGGAAGTTTTACATGTATAATAATATACCATAAATAGTGGAGAAATTTAGTATCAGCATTGCAACCATAAGAAGCCGAGGACGGTCGCTAGTTTTCAAGATATTTAGCATGTCTTACGATAATTAATAAAAAGTTAATTTAATCCACATACCTGGAATTCCCTAGTAGATTCGTCTCCATACTTCTTAATGAAGTACTCATACATGCCGATGTCAGTCTGCCGGCCCAGCTGGTCGCGGGACTTGGCGTTAGGCACGCATTCTATCACGCCACACTGGAAATATAAATTACACGATTTGGTATTCACCAAGACAACACAAGATTTTGTTAATTTTTTTTTATTTCACTATTGCACATAATACAAAAATAACACAGTTAACACAAAACCGGTTTATCGGTTTTTCTGAAAAAAGAATACTGTGTGACAGACTTCCTAAAAGCAATGAGGTTCCATATCCGATCTAGGTTTCCACGCATCGAACAAAAAATTGTGAATAGTAAATACAATCTTGTCAGCGATATAAAAAAAATCCCTTCTGTGAACTTTTATTAAATTTCCGTCAATAATATAGTTCGAACCGAAAATTTGTGAATTAAGTTCACTTTATAATTTGTTTGAGCCTTAAAAATCAAAGATAAACTAACAAACAAGAAGAAATACAAACTCACCCCGGGTGCAGTGGCGACGACTTTATAAGGGAAAAGGTAGAGATCTAGACCGACTTGTTGGAATATGTTCTTGAAGAGTGATATCACTTGCAGAGCCAACATGTCCTGCCTGACGTCATCTCCTACTTTGAATATGGCCGCCTGCCACACTTCCGCTGCTATACCAGTGAACCTGTCTTTGCCGTCCTCCTGTTGGTTAAAGAGTTATTGAGTAAATGGAGAACAACATATTTTTTTCAGTTTAGGGCAACATACATAGAAGATTCGTAGATAAAAATTACTAATGACAATGTGTGTTGTAAACCGCACTAGCGAAGTTTCCACGCGATTAATGTGTGGATGGAAAATTATAACGTCCAATTGTTGGACTGGCTGGCTGGCTGTTTGATTGTCTCCACTGGGTCGGAGGATTCTCGCTTTTATCTTAGGAAACTTTCATTCTATTTTCTCTTAGTCTTGTAATAATATCATGAGTAAATAACAGTGTCGAATTATAATATTTTATTTTTTATTTTGTAGGTTTGAGTCGAGCGCCTGCAGATAATTATACACATTATGCGTCAATTAAGGACACCATCCTAAATATTACTTAAACTATATTATTGGAATACATAAGTTCAATATTAAAAAAGACCAGCCAATAAAGGCGAGATCCGTCTATGTTATAATACAAAAGTCTAGTTTTATTAATGATAAAGTTAGTAAAAAATTAAGAATCAATAACTTTATCATGCACATACAAACTTATACTTGCTTACAAAAATTGCACAGTTATTTAGTATGCAGGTAAGAAAATGAAGATTAATTCAGTACAGAGACAGTAGCTGTTACACCATTTTTTTTTGAGTTTTTGAGGAACCTTTCTTGTTCAGTCATTGGTTGGCTCAGTAGCTAAACAAGGTATGGAAGCGATCCATGCTTCGGCACGAATGTATTAGTTTATGATGTAATGTTATAATATATTAATTATGTATTGTATTCTCTATGGGCCTCTGATGCCTGGCTTAAATAATAAAAAAAAGAATCCACCAGTGGTAACACGGCCTCTCAGAATACCCGGGTAAAACATCTCTTGCATTGTATTTCAAGGTTATCGGAGGCCCAACTCTCCCCCCTTCAACACACTCCCCAAATTCCCAATCCTCAAATCCCTAACGACTTTTAACTCCATTAATGTGCCAATTACTTACCATCAGGTCATCTGTCTACTATGTACTGAATCAATATTTATATTTCCAAACCTACATACCAAATAACTGTGCAAGGGTAAAGAAACACTGACTCTTCAAAAGGGTAGGCAAAGGAGCATAACTGCATATCCACATGCCTGTTAAACTTACGACGTTATTGTTGGTGTAAATAAGGGCCTGTTTCACAATACCTGAAATCTATTGGAAATACCGACTTAACCCGGTTTCCGAAAGGCCGATCAATGTTAAAATCAATTGAATCTCTTGTCAAGTCATCTGATTGGTTGACTGAATTACCAACAACCAATCAGATGACTTGACAAGAGATTTGACACCTAGTTAGTTGATTTTAACATTGATCGGGCTTTCGGAAACCGGGCATTAGTGTAACTGTTATATAATTATGGTGAAACAGGCCCTAAAGGGTGGGAGAACAAGATGACTCACACTTTTATTCGATAGACTTACAAACTCTGCACAACGACGATTTCTGATGTTAAAATATTTTTGTAGACTCTGTTTACAATAAAACACAGTAAAAAAGGACGCCAGTTTTTCGCAAATAATACAAACTAAAAAGACTTTCTACGCATTGCAGTGGAGCAAAGCTATGTACTAATGCTGCCTTACTTTAGGGCCCTAGCGTAGGTCGAAACCAGTCGAGCTACCTCGTCAAATAGCTACGTGAACTTTTAAACAATTATATTTATACAAACTATTAAATAAAATAACTTCATCTTCAAAACACTTGAAGAAAATAATAACAAAGGTATACATGAGTTATATCCTTACCGTCGGTGGATCTTCACCCGCAGATATGGCCATAGCGATGGCTTCCATTTCATCTATGCCGTACTTTCGAACCCTGAATCTAGCTAGGTATGGAGCTTTAGCCGCACTCTGCATAGGTGTACCTGAAAAATAATACAAATGTAGTGAGGAAACAAATATAAGGCACATAAGGGGTTTTCTATCAAAGCGAAATAGGTCAAATGTTTTTTTTAAAGATTGCGATAGTTACGTCGTTAGAATTCATTCGTTCGGGTCGGGCCCGCCGTACATTATTTTTATTTTTTGTAAGCGTCCCTTAAGGCTTTTTCTATTAGGAAAATTATTTGATTTTCTACTTACCACTTTTATAATCGATGTCAATGACCATCGAATCTGGGTTCGAAGGCAGATAGCAACCTGGCTGAACCTGTAAAATGAGGAAATACAATAACAATACTGACCAAGAAAACCTTTCTTTATATACAGATCAAACATTCAGAATAACATTTTATAAACTTTAATTTAACATACTAATGTTTATATTTAAGTTTGGGAGAGCCATGCTTCGGCACGAATGGGTCGGCTCGACCGGAATGATACCTCGGCCTCACAGAAAACCGGCGTGAAACAACCACAGCATTATGTTTCGCCGTGTGAGTGAGGTTACCGGAGGCCCAATCCTTGCCCTCCCCCAATCCCTCTTCAATCCCTAAATCTCCAAATGCCTAATCCCTAAACGGTCGGCAACGCACTCGTAACACCTCTGTTGCGGGTGTCCATGGGCGGCGCTGATTGCTTACCATCAGGTAATCCGTCTGCTCGTTTGCCGAACTATTACATAAAAAAAATTAAGCCAAAGTCAAAATATTTGTTGAAGCCACTTTTGAATGTCAAAAAACGATTAAAAGGTTAAAGTGTATATCTGTCGGTTAGTACCTCTAGTGAAGCTATTAACTTAGTCTAGTCTAGTCTTTTTTTACGCTCAGTTCAGTTAGACAATTCAGTAGTCATTTTTGCTCTAGCATTTATGGTCAATACAAAACAATCTGTTCAAGATATATGTATGTAGTTTCATTAATATGTACATTACCTATAAGTAAATTAAAAGCTTGAAAATTAGACAAAACCAAACTTATACATACTTTCACAGTTTTCAACGCCTCCAAGCAGGCCCGTTTTCTCTCGGCCCCCTTCGGGAACGGTCGGATAACTCCGCTGATGTTCGTTATTTGACTGAAGAAATCAAATTCTCGTTCGTAGAACGCTTTTGCGGGCCCAGATAGATTGTCCACGATATTCTTTGTAAGGCACTCTAGGATGTCGAAGAGGGCTGCTGGAAGAAGGATTGGATAATGAGAGTGCAAGAGTTAGGTAAGTTAGTATATTAGGTAAAGAGATTGAGAAAGTTAGTTTGGTTAGTTATTATCTTAATATATATAAATCTCGTGTCACAATGTTTGTCCTCAATGGACTCTTAAACCTCTTAACCGATTATAATAAAATTCGATCACAATGTGCAGTTCGATCAAACTTGAGAGATAGGATAGTTTAAATCTCAAATTATAGTCACAATTTTGATTTATTGCTAATTATTTGTCTGTTATTATTTGACAGTCACAATTATCTGTAAACTGGGTTGAGTAAGTAATCAATAGAGTGCGCTGCTATGGTAAATCTACGAACGTGTCATATAAGCTACATTTTAACAGCATAATTATCACGTGTTGTTGACGCTATAAAATTATTTATTTTGTAGTGAACGAAATACCGTATAATTCAATTATTTCCAGTTTTAAAATTTTTGGTGTTAGCATAGCCGGACACGTGTTACTTAGACTGAAGTGTAAATTGAATTCATATTATAATAAACATATCATTATCACTACATAATATAAAGCAAAGTCTACTACGCAACGGATTTTGTTGCGACTTTTTAATAGATAGAGTGATTGAAGAGGAAGGTTTATATACTGTATAATAACATCCATTAAATAGTGGAGAAATTTAGTATCAGCATTGCACCCGTGCGAAGCCGGGACGGGTCGCTAGTATTCTTATATGTATATATATATATGTATATATATATATATATATATATATATATATATATATATATATATATATATATATATATATATATATATATATATATATATATATATATATGAGCGAATAGCTGTCCGTTAGTCTCGCTGAAACTCTGAAATGGCTTGATCGAATTAATTAATTTTGTTTGAATACGATAGTCACTAGTCAATACTTTATCCAAATGTCAAAAACGATACTTTCCTATGAAATTTGTATGAAATTATGGCTTTATAGTATTTTTGCGTCAAATAGCTTACTTACTTTATTAAATGAGCTAAAAAATTTCTAAAATTTTATGCATCCACATATCGATGAATAAAAGTATAGATTTTTCAACATTTTATTATTTAAAACGTCGCATTAACATTCGATCCAGGAAACTACTCAATTATTTTATGTAAAGTGTACTTACGACGCTTGAGACCTTAAGCAAGAGCAAAAGTAGAAGAAAAGCAAAGAAAGCCAAAGAAGAAAGTAATAGAGTTCAAAATCGATTGACATTCAAACGTTACTTACGATCTTTATTGTGCATTTCCTCGTCGGTGTATAAGTTTGTATGCATGTTCCATATTAACTGATGAGCTACCACTTGAGATTTCTTCGCTAATGATTTTATTAGTTCTGCTACGTAGCCCATCTATAAAAAACGTCTAAAAATGTACCTTAACCTAATGACATTAAGGTTTAAAATAAATAAAACAGTGAGAAGTATTTCGTAATACAATTCATGTAATAATAATAATATGTCTTTCCATAAACAGTACGTAAAACTTCTTTAAAAATGAGTGAATTAATAAATTTGAACCTTATACTGTCTTTGATTAGTTTTAAAATACATAGCTTAATCCTTTCGTTCTAAACCTTAGAATTAAACGTCTAAATAATCTTCACTATTATCACGATACAAATTTAATATCAACCTTATTGCTTTAGTCATAGAACATAAAATGACTTACCGTGTCATGTCTCAAAGCCTGTACTAACTGAGGTATGTAGAGAAGTACAGCGGATGAAGGATATGACGTCAGAGTGCTGACCGCGGCTTGCGCAGAGAGAGGGTGTGGAGGGTACTGGCGACTGAAGTAGGAGAGGGCTTCTACAGGCGTCACCCGGGCCCAAGTTATCATGTGGACCAGCTAAAACATTCAAAATACATGTAAGGGTTGGAAACAGCGACACGGCCAGGAAATCTTCTTAGGGCTGATTTTTCAACGGTTAGATAAGCGCATCTGCGGAATAATTATGATGCTGTCGCTTCAGAATGTTTGTATAAGACAGTGACAGCAACAATTTTAATTCTCTGATTGCATTTATCTGGCTATTGAAAAATCAGCCCTAAATCGTTTATTTATTTAGGGCACATCAACAACACAAACACAATCATGGTTATTTTACATTTTATATGTCTAATTCTAGTGTTAGTGTCAATAATAGATGTGCACAAAATTCGCATAAAAATGAAAACTTATATTGTGTAAATTAATAATTATTATAAAACAAGATACAATAAGAAAAAACTGAATATAGGATGTCAAAAAATATTCAATTAGATTTAAAGTTAGTCAATAATTGAGAATTATAAATATTAATTCATTCACATTGAACATAAGTGGTAAAGTAATAAATAATGAAATAATAAAATAAAGGTCATGTTAGGTATACATCAATAGGTAGCTATTTTAAAAAAATATTAAAAAAAAATCCTCAATTAAATCGTAAAGTCATCCTGCCTGAATAGTAATTTTAAAAATATACCCCTTCCATTCTTTCCCTTTCTCGCTCTCTTATCAACTCACTCGTTTCGTTTGGATACGCGCCTAAAATCCTTTTACCCAATCAATCGAGCATTCATTAAATAAATAAATACATTTTTGCAGTGGCTAAACAGTAGAAGTAAAACACGTTTAGGACGTTCGGGTCTCTGACTGGCCAGTTTTTATTTTAACAGCCAATCAAAAGGCTGAATGCGATAATGTTTCGATTGCGTTAACATAAAGAAACATCACAGTAGGCATTCGGAATTTTAACTTTACTCGTGGTTTTATTATTTAACCATTAGTTGTAACCAATGAAACATGTTAATGTAACATTATAACAAAAGTATAAAGGACGGTCATGTTATAGCATTAGCGTTCTCTTCCGTCTTTAGTTTCGAAATTAGGAACATCACATTTTCATAAAACATATGCAACTAAAGTACTTTAGATACAGTTAAAATAGGCAGACAAAACTGAACTTTATGACACTGGCATTAAAGTAAAATATTACCTAAATAGTATCTTCCCGTAATCAAATACGACCTTTCTTCCAAGAATAAAGTAAAACAAGGGAAAACCAACTTTACACTGAAGAAATTAAGGTACAAACCTCATGAGCATCGTTCAGTAATGTTTCGGTTGTGACTAGGTACTTGAGTGCTTGAGGCACGTGGCACACGGCTGTAGGCTGCGCTTGTACTTTGCGACGTATTTCTAATACAATACCTTCATTCTTCAACCTGATGAAAAAAAAAATTATCGTGTAATTTAAAGTGAAATAAGGACAACCAGAACCTAATACATTATTTAAATTGTAATTTTTGCTAGTACTTAGGTATATGATGAGTTTTTTTTAATGTCGACCCTCTCTAGGACTATGGCTTGTGTAGTGGGTGTGCTTAAAAAAATACAATGTCAAATAAACATTACACCGAAACTAGGAACAAATAATTAAAAAAAAAACTCTAATACTCACTAGTGAATAATAGTAATGAAAAAGTTACAGTTTGATTATAGGTATGGCTAATTGCCGTGGGATTAGAGCTACTTTATGAGGAATTATTTAAGTGTGGGAGAGCCAAGCTTCGGCAAGAGTAGGTCAGCTCGACGAGAGTGATACCACGGCATCACAGAATACCGGCGTGAAACAACCACAGCGTTTCATTTCGCTGTGTGACTGAGATTACCGGAGGCCCATATTTCCTCCCAATCTTTAAATATCCGCAACACGCAACGCGCCCCTAAAGGCCGGCAACGGCGCCGTTTGCTTACCATCAGGTAATCCGTCCGCTCGACAACCGACCTATCACTTAAAAAAAGATCCAAGTCTTTTATACATATTAGAATACCTACCTCTCAGGTAAGAAGACGGCGAGAGTGGGGCTGATGTCCCAGGCGAGCTTGGCGTAGTCCCGCCAGGTGCGGTCCGTGTTGGGCTTGGAGCGCCACGTGGTGATGTTGTCCTCGCCCGGCACGGCCTGCTCCGGCCGACCGTGAGGGTTGTGCCAAGTCACCAGGAACTCGATCTCCACAGCCTGGGGTAATACAACGGTGTATTAGTCAACAAGGTATATTGACATACCGTTTTCGTATAAAATGTTCCGTTGTTTCGTAATCGGCGTGTCTAGACCAGTCCAACTGTAGTCAACTCGTTCTATTTTAATTTATATCATTCAGACAGGGAGATTCGAAGACAAATTAACCCCCAGTTTCCGAAAGGCCGATCAATGTTAAAATCAATTTAATCTCTTGTCAAGTCATCTGATTGGTTGACTGAATTATCAACAACCAATCAGATAACTTGACAAGAGATTTAACAGGAGATTAGTTAATTTTAGCGTTGACAAGCCTTTCAGAAACTGGGTGTTAGAGTATAAATTAAATGCAATCACATAAATGTTATAAACATCTTTTCTACACAGTACAAAATAAAGTCGCTGTCTCTGTCCCTATATGTTTCCTTAAATCTGTAAAACTACGCAACGGTTTTTGATGTGTTTTTTTAATGGATAGAGTGATTGAAGAAGAAGATTTGTATGTATAATAACATCCATGAAATAAAGGAAAAAAACTGTATCACATTTGCACCCTTGCGAAGCCGGGGTGGGTCGCTAGTATCATTGTTAAATAGCTCTTAAGCCCTTACCATAAGCTCCAATATAAGATTCCTCTTTCTGACGTAATCTTTGACGAAAGTGTCCTGAGGTTTCGCCGGAGGTTTGACGCTGCGGTTGGATCGCTTGCCTGCAATACTGCCGGCGCCACTGCTCAATGTGGTCGTGGACATGGGTACCTGTTTACAGAAAAACATTCGAAAATCACATTTTAATTTGGGCATTATAATAATCACTCCATATTAGTCTGGTTATTGAAAGAAGAAAGAAAGAAAAAACATTTATTTTCGCGCAAGCGCACTCACATAAACCAAAAATACAAAAAAAGAAGAAAATAAAATAATACAAGAAATCTAAACTAAATGACACAGATAAAAATTAAATGGTTTTTAAAAACAAATTACTAACAAAAGAAAAAAACAAAAAGCTTTGTCTATGGTCCACAGAGTATTTTAACATTATGTGCGAGGTCGCGATTGGAGATAGAATCTGTCCCACCAACATAATAATCTACTCCCGATCCTCCAATCCTCAAATCCGTAACCCCAAAAAGGCTGGCGACGCACATGTTATCCTTCTGGTGTCCATTAATGTCGCCGATTGCTTACCATTGATCTGTCCTATCTGTCCCATAACATATCTCTTTCGGCGTCAAAAATTTTGTTTTACTTTTCTCGAGGTAATTAAATTATATGTCTAAAGATAGACGGCTAGAGTGTGAGAGAGACTAGACCTTTTTTCCAAATTACGTCTATATTATAAAGCAAGTTTTTTTGCTTAAACCCGCTAATGGCTGGAACAACTGAATCGAATAATTCCTATACCAGCTTATAGTGTGTTTATGGAGGATGACAATAGGCTATAAAACATCACGCTGCAGCCAATAGAAGCCGAGTAAAGAACGAAAAAGAAACACAATTATTATTATTACCGTATTGATCCATCCCGTAGTCTGTCGGCTCCCAATATCGCTGTTAACAGACGAACGGTTGTCTATCGGAGAGTTTGATGTGTAAATACTCTGCTGGCTACTTGGACCCATAAGCTCGAATTCACCTGAAATTTTCAAAGACAGAAAAGTGAAGATCTGTGTATAAGTTTATAAAACTGTAACTGGATGACCTAAGGTCGGTACCTAGCTATATGTTAGACAGGCTTCCGCCCGCGGATTCGCAAGCGTATAAATACTGTTAAATGCAAGTTCGACTAAATTACGGAAATCAAGTATAATGTATAGACTCTCGTTCCCGTGGGAATTTATTTTAATTTCAATAACCTGTTGCCACTAAGTTTTAAATTAAAAGTTAAAAACTAAAGCTTGGTTGCAATTAAGCTTACATGCCAATTTTCAAGCGCCTAACTTAAGCGATTTAGATTTTTCATACAAAAGGATTTTCCCGCTAAAAGTTCACGTGTGAAATTGGGGAATTCCTTTCTAAGTGGACCTCTACGGTACCTAAGCTAAGTCCTTCCAAATTTCTAAGTTAAGCCGTTTAGGTTTATATATCAGTCAGTCAATAACTTTCTCCTTTTATATATTTAGATACGTGAGACTTACAATTTAGAACTAGACATGATCAAAAACAAAAAAAACACACTTCTTCTTCGATAAAAACTCACTTCGATTTTGATCCGGTTTTTTAAAAGATACTAAATACCTCTTGAAGAGGAAGGTTTATTTGTATAATACCATCCATTAAATAGTAATTTAGTATCAGCATTGCAATCGTGTGAAGCCGGCTTGTCTATACTAATATTATAAAGAGGTAAAATTTGTAAGTTTGTATGTAGGGGGTAATATTTGGAACCACTGGTCGGATTTCCAAAATTCTTTCACAGATCTATAGCTACAATGTTCCTTAGTGCTATAGGCTATAAAACATCACGCTACGACTAAATGGATCTGTGCAGCGGCTGAAACCGCGCGAGAGTAACTAGTTTTCAATAAATACAAAAAAATATTAAATAACTTCGTAAATCATACCTCCGATGTCGCTGCTCTTCAAATACTTCTTATCGGAATGCATGAGCTGCCAAAACTTGATGAGGGAGATGATGTCCTCACGTAATGCACTGGAACTTTTGGCTGGGCACATGAGACCCCGGCAGAAGTAGTCTAGGCAGGCCGCGTACACTCTCTCGCGAAGGATATTGCGAGCTATGGAACGGGGGAGTATGTCTCCTTGTAAGAGGGACAGGCCGCAGGAGAGGAGTCTGTAGAGAAAATAAAATATTCCTTTTATCTTTTTAACTCTCATTAATAATGTTTTACGGGTTATTTAAGCAACTGTTTAACGAGCCAACTCGTCTAGTTTCAAGCGACTCTAGGGGGTTTTAAGCATGATTAGGCTTGTAGTCAAATACATACCGTATTTGACTTCAAAGAAATTGTGTCATAAAAATATCATGCTTACAAAAAATGCTAATGTCGAATAAGTTAGAACTAACCTGAATCGGACTCCAACCGCTTCAACATGTCTGTTGATATGGTCCCTTACGTCTCCAACAGTGATAGGTAGAGATCTAAAAAGACAGAAGAACAATACATATATGTAACATAATTATTTTTAACCGCACGGTTGGTGCGGTGGCTGGGCAACTGGCTGCCGTGCAACGTGTCGCGGGTTCGAATCCCGCACGAGGGGAAGTATTGGGCCTCCGGTAATCTCACAAAAACACAATGCTGTGGTTATTTCCCACAAGTTTTTTGTGTGGCCTTGGTATCTATCCGGTCGAACCGACCCATTCGAAGCATGGCTCTCCCACACTTAATTCTCGCATGGAACAAGGTCTTTGAGTGATCAACAAATCGTCATTCCGGGTCTGTGTGATGCATAAGTGACTTTATATTTGAAATGCACCTATGACACACGGCGAAAGTACTGGCAAGGGACAACATTAAAAAAATAAATAATAACATACCTATGCAGTAAACTGGCCAACATTTCGACCTTCTCCAGACTATTGTACTTGGCAGTCTCGGCGACTTCGCAGAGATAGCGAACCCACACTGCGTGTGGAGCCACGAATGGTGGACGAGGCTCTAGCTTTGCACCTATTCAAGTAATATACAAACGAATTATTATTAAAGAAAATAAATGTTGATTATGAAGCAATGGCAAAGAAAAATCGTTATGACAGAAAACATTTAACATTAGCGAAAAGACGCGGTAGGGATCAAAGCAACCAACTGGATCCAACCAAAATCAAATTCACGGTCGCAGTATACTGGCGACCGGCTGCCTCGCAACGCGTCGAAGATTCGATTGCCGCACGGAATTACTCTATGTGCGATCCAAAAATAGTCGTTTCGGGTCTGGGTGTAATGTACTATATAAGTGAAATTGTATATTACACAACAAAGAAGAGATCACAATGAGGGGGCACATTAATCATCCTTCAAGTTCTCCTCGAGTTATCCAGCGACAGAATATTAACAATAAGTATGAAAACTAATCACTAATTTGAAGCTATACGAACCTTCATGAGCAGCCAATGGGCTGACCTCCTCCACCTGCTTGGAGAAGAGTCCCATTCTTCTATCAACAGTGCTCTGCCAGGCTGCGAATATTTCCTGCATGAGTCGGATCTCCAGATCTGGACGGGAAGTCGTCAACCATTGCCAGCACTCCACTGCCGTTGTAACCGCGTCCTCCGTAAAGATTTCCACTTGAGACCACGCTACAGAGAAAGTAATAATAATAATAAGAGTTATTTTCAGTAAAGATCATCGTCATGATTCGTCATCATCATCAGCACTATTGTAAAAAGGCCTCTTTTCAGACGGAAAAGGTAAGAACAAGAGCACCATGTTCATTTAAGGCTGATTGGCGATTCCAAACGTTAAAAAATGCTTCTGGTAGTCACTTTTCATGGCAAATCCTTCAATCTGATGGAATTAAGCAATTCAATTAGGAAAATCACGAAATCGCTTCTCTCGTCAAGGACGAAGCTAGAGAGAGTGTCAGACTCTTACTGGCTAAAAAAACCTCCGTTTCTTCTCCTGCTCTAGGCCGAGAATATGTACCTTACCGACGCTTGAACCGCGACCTCGGCTAAAATAGCGTTTTTTGTGATTATCAAATGACGCCCTGATCTTGGGCGGGAGAAGTCATTTGATGATTTTAGCATGATTAGTTTGCCATTAACCACGCTTACTTAAGAAAAGTGCGGTTAATGCTCAAACTTCTCTCCGTGTGAAAATAGGCCTTTGCTTAGCAGTGGACACTTCTAGGCTAGTAATGATGATGTGATGTGAACTAAGTCATACATTCAAAGTATGTATAACCCGTGCCGATAAAGAATGGGATTAGAAATGGCGGCGCATCTATTTACTTCTCGCTCGCACATTATTTCCGCCTGTAATCCTACTCGTTGGAAACGACTGACAAAAAAAAATATTGTTATTGTATTTTTATCAGCATAAAAATGCTGACGCTCCCAGCTCAATGAGGTGCCATTTCTAATCCCATTGTTTATTGGCACGGGCAGTACAGCACGGCCGACGTATCTCGGCGAGTCTGAAGTTAGCCGTTTGTCTGCGCAATGGATCTTTTAGTAACAAAATGGTGTACTGCGCAGCTAATCGGCTAACTTCAGATTTGCCAAGATACGTCGGCGGTATTGTACTTACCGACGGAGTGTAGCAGCGCGCGGGCGGTGGGTGCGGTGTGTGAGTGCGCGGCGTGCGGGGAGTGGTGTCGCGCGTGCACGAGGAGCGCGGCGGCCCGCCAGAGCGCGGCGCGGTGCATGGTCTCGGACCCGCTGGCGCACGCGTCGCGCAGCGCGCCGTGCAGCCGCGCCCCCACGCGCCACACCGCCGCCTCGCCCCCGCCCTCCGCGCTAACTGCGCCCGCGATCTACCAACCAACGATATAACTCTTCGATATTCACCGATCAACGGTATTCGCCGTTGCCGATGTTTGGCGAGGATCTTTAATAAGAGGAACAAAATGTAATTTTCAAAATTGTACTTTTGTTAAATCATCATCATCATCTTCCTGCCCTTGTCCCGTTTTATTTGGGGTCGGCGCAATATGTTTTTTTCTTCCATTCTGTCCTGTCACTCGTCACGCTATCGCTAACTCCTCTGTCTTCCATATCACTTCTCACACAATCCATCCATATTTTCTTTGGTCTGAGAGAGGGAGAGGGACTCCCTCTCCATCCATCCACATTTATACTCATGGCTTTTTTGTAACATGCTTTTCATCCCTCCTTTTCACATGGCCATACCAAGACAAACGGTTAAAAAACGGCACTTTTACACGTCACTTCATATGTGAAAAACTAACATATAATAAAACATTTCCTATCTGACTACTCTGAGAAGAAATGCCGAAACAAACTCAGAAATGATCACCTTTTTGCGTTTAAACACCCAGACCCAGACATTGACGGAACAGATTCGCAAAACAAATCTGTGATATTTACAAAAAATATAATTTGTCTTTTGTAACAGGTCGTCATGTTCAGAACAACTGCAATAAATGATATGAATATGAATGTACCGACCTCTCCAGCATATCGGCTACGTTGGGACACGACAGCGAGTAAAGCAGCGGAGTCCTGAGTGACACATGGCGGCCTCTTGTCCAACGCTGACCGAGGCAGAGGGGCAGACATTCTGTTTAACCCCGCTGCGCCTAGAAGAGCTCCTGTTGCAAGCGCTAACCCGCAATGATGCCAGAGGGTGGAATTTGGAACCTGTTTACATAGGAAGAGGGTATAAATTTAAATAAATTAATAGTTTCAAATGGTTTTACATTCTACTAACAAACATTTTACGAATTATTTCAATTGTATAAAGTTATTTAGTCATCAACGTAACTAAACTTTTTCATCAGAATTACAATAATTATTAGTTTTTGTTAAAATAGTTCTTAATACGAGCGGGTCACAAACTCACAACATGTCTGCCGTTTCCAGCGTAGTTGTAATGTTCAAAATTATAAAATTTCAATTAAAACCTACATAATTATAAAGTTACAATTTAAAATACTTCATGCAAATTATGAGGACGTACCATAAAAATAATATGCGAAAATAGACCCCTTGTGTTAGTGATTAGTTTTATGCTGACATCGACGCGCAGCGAGCAAGTTAGTTATCACAATAAGCGAGTAGTAGTTGCATTAGGTACGTTAGTTCGATTGGGCATCAGTTCCGGCCCTTTTCGCCGCGGGTCGATCATTTTTATCATTTATCATTTTTGTGTATTTGAGTGTAAGAAAACAGACAAAATGAGACTGTATAATTACCTATCAGTTAATAGTTAGCTAATATATAATAATAGCCCTAATTTATTTATTAATAGGTATTTTTATAAATTTGAGGGATGTTACTGACTGGGGACTGAATGGGCACTGAATTGTGCGCTATCTTGCCTGGTGGCAAGTGATGATCCGACCTAAGATGACACAAGCGTACCCATAAGCATCCTATCTACTCGGGGATTTTTTTCCAGCAAATAAATTGCACTTTTGTTGTTAAAATTGGGGACAAATACGCTTCATGCCTGTGGATTGGATATCTACCATGAAATGGTGACGATAGCCGGTGCTACATGTCGGTGATACGATGGTAAAAAAGACTAAAATTAGAGTAATATGTTTCTTACTTGGTTTAAATATTCTTGCAAATGAGACCGCGTCGACTGTGGGGCCCATTTCATCGCCTCTTGCACTATACCTTGGCAACGATCCGCAAAATCTTTTACAATGCACTGAAAATCAAAATAACACCGTCAGTTTGTAAAGGAAAACATAATTTAGAGTTACAAACCTTCAGGTAAATATTAATTTTCACATTTAAAGCAGTTCATTTACTATCTGATCAACCGATTTTAACTTTTATTCTGTAAGCACAGGGATGGTATTACAAAAACAAGCGAAACTCACTTAGTTCATGCAGTCACCATGTGTTATTTCACCAACGTAATAAAACTCAAAATCGGTTGAATGGAGAGTAAAATTTTTATCTTGAATTTTCGAATGTATACTCGCGAGTATAGATTGGTGACTATTTTTGTTTCAATTCAATATTTATAGTACTTTTACACGACAATATTTCAGAATTAAGCTCGATAAAAGAAACGTCAAGTTTAAACCTTAAATCTAGAGTCACATAGTACAATTTCGCTTACCTCTCTCCCCTCCAACGTATCTTGCAGTTGCAATGTGAAGTCTGTTCCCGGAACCTTTAGTAATGGCGTTTCTTGATTCGCGTCTAGTTCTAGACTGAAGCTTAGTACTTGGAGGATGTCTAGCATTGACCATAGGACCTGAAAATTTTATGTATTATGGGATTCTAGGTTCAATCTCATATATGGGAGAGACGTGCTTCGGCACGAAAGGACTGGCTCGACCGACAGAATTTCGGCGTGAAGCAACACTCAGGCTGTGTTTTGCCGAAATGAGTGAGGTTACCAGAGGCCCAATCTTTTCCCTCCACTTGTCTCTAAATCCCCGAAAATGTCGGTAACGCACTCATAACTCTCCCATTATTGCGAATGTCCAGTACATGGGCGGCGCTGATTGCATACCATCAGGCAATCCGTCAGCTCGTCTGCCGTACTATCACATCAAAAAAAAAACAAAATAACTTACCCGACAATTCCACAGCAAATGCGGGAATCGATCGACCAATCCCGCGAGCCATTTGTCAGCGACCCTTCTGATTTGCTTGTGTATATGATTGAAATTGACCAATAGGAATTGAGCGTGTTGCTCCAACTCCCTCTCTCTCGATTCATCTTTCACTTTGTCTGACATCACGTCTAGGAACTTTTGGAATACTTTGTCTCCGACGCTGGAAATGATAGTGTTAGCTTATAAAGATGGCGGGGTCGTGAAGTAGGTGGTTTAACTGCACATTTGGCGTAGTGGCTGGACAACTGGCTGCTGTGCAACGTGTGGTGAATTCAAATCAAACTTAACGTGTCGCGGAACAACACTTTGTGTGTTCCACAAATTGTTGTTTCAAGTCTAAGTGGCTCTTGTATGTGAACTCATATGTTTGTAAACGCACTGACGACACAAGAGACAATGTAAGTGGGGAAAAGTTTTTAAAAAAATTGGTGGAGCTTTATCCCCGTTTGTGGAGACGGCCCGTTTTAGCGTGCATGATTCATGCGAGTGAACTTGGCTACTCACCATAATTGTACTTACATTATTTTATATTGATTTATTATTTGCTGTTGTCTTTGAAAAGCCTACTAAAATACTTAGTAGGTTTAGAAGCCAGGTTGTGCCCATGATTATTATTTTTTGATTGAAATAATAATTTCCCGGCTTATAACATACACGTAATGTGATATGGAATTTACATAAAGTTAATCTGTCATAAAAATGAATTTCCTAATACCAACAACCCGGAGGTAAGTATACTAAAATCGAGATATTAAGCCTCCCTAAAGATTCCGAAACTAATATTTTTAACTAAATCCCATAATGTCAAAACAATTTGAAAACTAATCATAAAGCAATAAGGGTCAAATTGGACTGGTACTTACCTGGCCACACACTGCCACATACCGGTCTTATCTTTTTGTAAAGTTGAGTCACTGAGGTACTCTATGATAGGTTGAAGACTTGGTTCAGGAGAGTTTGATACCCTGGAAAATGTAAATTGTGAATTATCTTTCGTGTTTTAAAAGGTATTTTTATGGGACAAGCCCGCTACAACCTCCTAAAACCGAAACTCCAAATCTACCAGATCACTGAAGTCCGGCGCGTCCCAGCGTCATGGCTGTCTTGGATCCCATAACCAAATTTTTTATATCTCTTATAAAATAACTTATTAATCCTCCAATTAATTTAACATATTATATTTGGTATTTTTAAGTTTATGGGTAAAATATAAGGATAAGAAAAAAAACAACTTAAATATGATCCTCTAATAATTCTTATAAATAATAAAACAAATATTCTTTTTAACATAACATAATCTTCATCATATAAATTAAAAACTCTTAATAAATTAAATCATATTTGTTGAGGAGGGGCAAAAACTAAATAGTTTCCATATAAACATTGTTAAAACACTCACCTTAAAGTCTCCAACCAATAAACGCTCAGCAAATACATGCAAGGCGCAAACGTCAATTTATTCACGAAGACTGTCACTTCCGGCGGATGGTCCAGTAAATTCGAAATTTGAGTTTTTAGCTCTTGAAGTTCGTTAATCGAGACCGAATCGTTGCGGACGGCGGACGTGTACTGTAGCTCCCTCATTTCCGAACGTAAAGACGTTTGAGAGACAAGGAAAGGAGATTTAACCGCTATCTCTTTTACTCCAGCGTACCATTCTTGAGGCCATAGCCCTGTAGAAGTAATTAGTTTTTTAGTATTATCTCATTTTGTATTGGAATAACAGGGATGATGACCGAAATTTATTTGTCATGTAATCTGATGGACTGGGGAAAAATATTTTTTCATACCCAGAATAGTAATTTACAGAATATCATATTACCTTTTTTTGCGTAATTTGTCTCATATTTGATTTATTATAATATATTTTATTTGTTGAAATAATTAGGCATGTAATTTTGATTTTTTATCGCGTCATCATCCCTATTAGGTATATGTTTGTTTATTTTTTGTTCTGTCATATGAACAAGAGCTATACAGTATGTTTGAAGGGACACACTTGAAATTCAATGAGAAAATACCATTATTAGCGAAATAAAAAAGAGATTTTATTGGGAGGTTTCATCGTGAACTTCACACTTAGTAAGTAATAATAAAAATAATGCCGAAAACAAAATCACTCTTCACTCAAAGCGTTGTCTATAAAAAATACCTACAAAAATAACATTTGTACGATCTAACAATGAACTCTAAGATTACCTAGATAAAGCACACTCTTAAACAAAATTAATGCACACACTACAAACTTTTGTACAAACATTGGCCAAGTGTTTTGATCAAACTTTCTTTCAAGTTACACTGCAAATGTTGGTGGTGCTATATCTATCAGTAAGGGGATCTACTTACCATTAATCCTAACTCTAATGGGATAGCAACAGTTTACCATTCATATCGTCACGGGCGATTTTATGATACTGTGTTACTTGTACTGGTCAAACTAAGATACCACGGCCTTACAGCAAAATTCCTTTTTTTGTGAGGGGAAAATCAATAAATGACCTCTCCTTGCCAAGGAAGGCGAGGGAGAGTGCCAGACTGCCACGGACTAAAAACCCCCCGTTCTTTCTCCTGCTCTAGGCCAAGGCTACGGTGATTTATTGCGCTTGCCCCACAATTCCGGTTGAACATCAGCCCCAGGGCCCCGTCTGTGGTGGTCTATCGGCTTTTTGAGGCGCGCGCAGAACGCAGCGCGCCGTATGCTCGAGTCTGGTTCTGGTCCTAGACCCACGCTTATGTGAGTGACGTGAGATCGTCGTTGCGTTCCGAAGTTACCAGAGGCCTTGTCGTTTCTCTTTCTTCCTCAATCTTGTTCCCAAACCTCAAATCCCTCAGAAACCCTCAAAAAGGGAGGCAACACCCTTATAGCTGTATAATGTTAGAACCCGCAAAAAGGGAGACGCCGCACTTGTAACTCTACAATGTTGCGTGTGTCCATGGGGGCGCAGGTTATTTACCACCTGGTGGGCCTTCTGATCGCTTGTCACCCTATCCAATATAAAATAAATCAATAATCAGAGTTGTATAACATTATATACATCTTGTTAAACTCAAGCTTTTTTACATATTTCGGCCGACCAGGCATCTAGCCGCTATCACACCTGATGGTAAGCGATGATGCAACGTTCGATGGAGCACGGCTACCCATAAGCAACCTATTCACTCGGGCCTTGAAGACAACGAGGTTATTACCTTCGGGGATAACCGACTCTAGTAAAGAATTATGCTCCTTAGCCGCGGTTCTGGTTATAAAACTAGAGACGAATTGCTTCGTGCGTGTTTGTGGTGGTACCTACGATGGTAACTAGGGGAAATCAAGTCGTGCAGTTCTTCAGAACATTCTCTGAAATGTACCCGATGAAAAATCAAAAGGCGAGCGAATAAAGACTTTACGCCTGTGTCCGAGGTTTTAATGTCGGGCCTCCACTAGCGCATCGTCGTTGATGAGCCTGAGAATTATGTTCTTATGTCTAGCTGGTGTTTAGCCGGGCCGTCTCATAGATGAGAGTAAGTAGTACTCCATACAGAATCGAACTTGCTCTTGGTACAAACAGGAATAGCGTTCAAAAACATCGATAAAAACACACCAATACTAATCGATATAGCACCACACAAAAATCGTCATTAAAACCATACAACATTCATCTATATATATGTATATATTTAGTTCTAAAAGCATGGTTACTCACGCTTTCGCATGGCTACAGGCGTTGCCATAGAAGAAGAGATAAAATCTTTAAATATATCTATAATTATTTAACACTTCGTATTATAATATATAAGTAATAATAATAATATAATTATATACACCAATCACAGACTCGATAGAATAGTAAGTGCTAATTTTTTGAAAGATTTTTAGTTTTATATTTATGTTACGTTTGCGTTTTGTGGGCGAGGATTCGTTGGTTTGAATTGTAAATAGTATTTATAGAAATTACTTATATGTAATAATTTGAGGCTTTAATTATAAAATTTGTAATTTTTTTTTTTGGAAGAAATACATTCCGAATGCCTTTTGTTTTTAAAGCAATTTGAAACTTAATATCTGAACTAAATAAAAATCGCGGATAATCACGTGAACATATTGAGAAAAGCTCTACTAGTTTCTGCGTTACTGCGTAGGCTGCGCGACATCGACGCGTCCGCGCACGCTACTCATGAGGAAGAACCCCTCTGTGGTTCGAAACTAGTAGAGTTTTTCTCAATATATAAACGTGAGTAACCCGCGATTTTTATTTAATTTAACATCATTTAACATCTGAACGTTACAAGTATGAAGAACGTCATATTCTGAATATAATCACAGAGAAATTTATGTGTAAAGCTACCAGTGGTTTAAAATATCTAATATTACTTTACACATACCAACGAATAAAAAAGTTAGTGTACTTATATAGAACAAGCTCACAATTAACAAATCTGCGCCCACATCACACCATTCAAATATTTAACTTAAACAATATAAAATTTAATTCGTGAAATTTTGAAAAGGTAATTACGGAATAAATAAATAGATAGATAAAATATAAAACTCAAAAATATAATATAAAAGTTAATAATAATAATCACCTGATTCTGCAGCAGTGAATCCCATCACCACACAGTAGAGCCAGAAATCTTTGAACAGTTTATGGAGACGAGGTTTCGGGTTCCTTATAGGGGGTAGCCTTTTTACTAGCACCTGAGAAAAGCGAAAGGATTTTTTAACATGGCAACACATTACGATTTTGCTCATGTGTCGTATGAGGTTGCGATAGTGATAAGGTCTAGTTCTAGGTTAAAAAAAATAATTATTATAACAACATTTCAGTACATAAAATTTTTAAAAATAATTGAAGTATTTTTTTTAATTTAAATTATTTTTAAAGAAAATGTGATAGAAAGAAAGAAAGAAAGAAAAGAAAGAATTTGCATGTAGTCGAGTAGTACGATGTTTTTCTATGAATTTCGCATGACTCAGACTTCGCCATCATATTTTTGCGTAAGGTATTTGCATTGCAATTCTTATAATTTAGCCAAATCAGAAAAATTTGAAAAATGAATATTTTATTGTATTAAGAAATTGAAATTATTATTTTTTTTATTGAGGAAAATACTCCATTCATTTTGAGCAACTGTTTTAATTAAGCTCAGTTGGATTATAGAATCTGAATAAAGTCCTGATTGATATCTGATCATAATATAAAGCTTAACTGACGACCAGAAGGACAGACAATTAAACTATATCGTTACCATAATGCCTTTTTATATATAAAAATGGATCACAAAATATGTTGGTAAGCGCATAACTCAACAACGCCTGAACCAATTTTGCTAATTCTTTTTTTGTTGTGTTTGTTATTACCAGGAGAGGGTTCTTATCAATGAAAAATATTGAATAGTAGAGGGGAAGATCAGGAAAAAATGACCCTTTGATAGCGAGATAGTTGGACCCGTGCGAAGCGGGGGCGGGCCGCTAGTTTCTAATAAATGCCAAAAATAACTCACAGCGATCACAGGAATAAGTACGCCCAAATTCCCGGCGCTGCCAGAAGCCTTCAGTACGGGGGCAGGTGAGCGATCGGTGGCTCGTTCTCCCCCCAAACCGAGCTGGACGAATAGCTCGAGCAATCTCGTCAATAGCTCGAGGCGAGCCGACGTGCCTCGGACGTTCGCCGCTATGTTCGCTAGAGCATTCAATACGGCGCCTGATACGTGCCTGGTGACAAAATTAAAAGTATGAATGAACTAGTATTTGCTTACGACTCATTTCGTGAGGAATAGTGACTTCCAGCACTGCAGATTTTTGGCATAAAAACTATCCTATGTTCTTTCTCGAGTTCCAAAATATGTCTGTACCAAATTTCACAGAAATCGGTTCAGTAATTTAGGCGTGAAGAAAACACAGACATACAGATAGACAGAGTTACTTTCGCATTTATATTATTAGGTCTAGGTTTGATTTTAAGTAAACGTGTCTCTGAATTTGTGTTTGTATTAGAGTACTGTTTAAGGTATTTCATCATAGGTAGCTCATTGGTACTTACACATATACTATATGTATATTATTATATATGCTTAATGCGTATGGATATGGTATTAATAACTGTATTACTAATTATGCACCTGTGTTGATTCAAGTTGCAACTAATTTTAATGATCAAAGTTGGCTTCTTCACACATTTATACATACTTACAAACCTTCATATTTATTATCGATCAATATACCAATCCTTTTCCCCCTATCCCCTCCTCAATATCTCCGAAACCCTAATCTCCAATCCTCTAATCATCAGCTCTACTCACCTGTACTGTTTCTTATCATCGGTATGATGGTAAGCAGCGCTGGCGGCCTCTACCGTGATCACAGTGAACATTCGCATGATCTCGTCGTGCGCTGGTCCTTCAGGGCTGGCGAGCGCCATACATCCCAGTTGGTCCACTATCAATGTGTCAAGGGATGATGGAGCGCGACATAATCTAGGGATAAGGGATGAATGTTTATAAAAAATCCACATCATCAGCCTATTAGTGCCCACTGCTGAGCAAAGGTCGCTTCTCACACGGAGAAGGTTTGAGTATTATCACCCACGTATGCTCAAGGCGAATTGGAAAGATTATTAAGAAATGGTTGGTTAAGTTGCAATTGTTATTCAAAATAAGAAATCATTGGCTGGCCGCAAAGGCATACTGCTTTTTACTGTTTTTACCCGACTGCCAAAGAAGGAGGGTAATGTTTTTCGAGTGTATGTAAGTATGTATGTATGTCTTTTCCTTTGTGACCTCCTGTAGCCTAAACGGCTTGATGGATTTTGATGTATGAGGTATCGTTAGATTTGTCTTGATTACGGGAGTGTCATAGGATACATTTTATCCTAAAAGTCCCACGGGATAAATAAAAACAGCTAAAAAGTTATAAATAAAAAAATTATTATTAAAAAAACAAAATACCCGACTGCACACTAAAAAAAGAGTAAAACAAGCCCTACAATACAAATTTACTGAATATAATTTATAAATGTTGATGGAAAGCATCGCAGGCGGGGACCACCTTGACCGCCACCAACGAAAATTCTGCTAAATGGTGCACAACAGAAATGACTATAAATAAGCCTCTGTTGGTCCCCGCCTGCGATGCTTTCCATCAACATTTATAAATTATATTCAGTAAATTTGTATTGTGGGGCTTGTTTTACTCTTTTTTTAGTGTGCAGTCGGGTATTTTGTTTTTTTAATAATATTTTTTTTATATTTTCTATGTGAAAAGAGGATTTAATAGATCCTCCATGTTTTTAAAATGCTTTTTAAAATCCGAATGGGTCTATAACACGCATATCAGTGATATTTAAATAAAATTAAGAAAAGAACAACGAAGTATTATTGAAAATTAAATTTTAACTTCGGTCAATCGATTAGTCAGTTTCTCACCTTTGTTGGAAGAACTGTAGAATGGTATCAGTAGTCTTAGGAGTGTCCTTCAACGCCACTGCGACGTGTCCCAGCATTATCACAATATTTGTACTTATTAACGACGACTCACTGAAACAAAAACAAAGTAAAACAACTGTTACTTCAATTTTTTTTGCGTATTTTCGCCTTATTTAGTAGATAACAAACAAGTTGCCCAGCCACTGGCTGAAATCTTGTCATCAAATCTCATAAGTTTTCCACGTAAAAGCCTCGCTTGGGCACGAATGGGGCGAATCGATCGAAATGATACCACGACCTAAGAGATCTATCACTTTGTATGGTGTTACTGGAGGCTCAACCACCGTCCCCATTATTTGAGGGGGGGAAAGTCGTTTAATGATTTCCTTCACTCTGTGTGAGGCGAATGGGAGTATCAGACACTCACTGAATGAAAACCACCTCGTTCTTTCTCCTGCTTCAGACCGAGATCTTAGAACAATATTGCGCTAGACCCGCACCCTCCGTCCCCTCCGAAAAAGACCAAAACCACAAAAACCCAGCAACATAATTCTGACATTGCAGATGTACATGGGCGACGCTGAATCCCTATCATCAGGTGACCCATCTGCTTGATTGCCGACCTAAATATTCTTTAAAAAAATAGTTTAATATAAACATAAAAACATTCTCACCTATCACTCGTTTCAGCAGTGAACAACCGATTACTGACGGACCCAACAAGCGCAGGCACGCAATATGGATCAACAGTCAGCGCGGCTTCTAACGCGACGCACAAATTTTCAATGGCGGCGTCTCGAAGTTTCTCGAAAGGCGTCGACTTTACGGGCACCCCCGTCTCTGTCAGGCCTTGAAGCTCTTTGCCCTGGACTGAAAAGGACTCGGTCATATTTCAAACATAACACCACGCCTGTTTCCTTTGGATTAGGTTGAGATGTGTGTTGTAAAAGTAAGATGAAAAGAAAATTAAAACCTGTTAAATTGAACTTATATGAGAACTTCATTACTTGTTATGAATAACAAGAAAGGTATGTTTACCAAAGATCAAGCTAATTTGAAATAAGTTACTACTAACTTTCAAATAAAAATTTTAAGACAATAACTGTCAATCAGTCCTCTAGTGAAACTCATTGCTTCTTCTAAAGTACAGGGTGCTACGAAAAACAAAACTCTTTTGTATTCAATTTCACAATTTTTTTAACAATTGTTGTGATTGAACATGGAATTAAAATAAAAAGAAATATTAACCTATCACCGCCATAGGAGAGCAGTATAACATAAATATTAAGCCAAAGAGACAGAAAGTAAAACAAAAATAACCTCAAAGACGTATATTCTTAAGAACCCTTAACACACCTCAAGAAAACCTTGACAAAGAAAACGAGACGTGGTGTTATGTGCTATTTCAAATAGGTATCATCATAAGCACTCACGTGTGACCTTCATATGTTCCTTGCCAGTCTTCTCCAGCTCCAGTTTATGGAGCTTGAAGAGTATCGGTGAAGGAGTCACGAGGAAATCGCGGAGACAGTAGATCGATGTGTTCGCTATGGTCGGGAACTTTGTTGCTAGTTTACCGAGTCCCTGGAGGAAAAAAAATTTTGTGTTAGGGGAAAACGTTTGAGTGCTTATAATAAAATTGCTAAATTGATATCAAGCTGCGTTTTATTTTATTTGTTCTTTTTATAGGTCTATAGTCTACAGAGAGTCTTAGAGATAAATAGGGATGTTACAAAATTTAGAACAATTTTACAATAAATGATAGGTCTTTATCTATTTAGCTTTTTATTCAATTGCATGCTGTGCTTACCTGCATACAATAGATCGATACACTAGTAAAATTGATTATGTAATGTTGAATAAGTGTATTCAATTGTTGGAGAGCCACAAAAATTTAGAAACCTCACCAGCGGTTCCAAAGATTACCCCCTTACATACAAACTTACTAATTGTGTTTTAATAATATTAACCACCGGTTTCTGAAAGGCCGATCAATGCTAAACTGAATTATCAACAACCAATCAGATGACTTGACAAGAGATTTAACAGGAGATTAGTTAATTTTAGCGTTGACAAGCCTTTGAGAAATCGGGTGTAAGTTATACTTACTTCAAGACAGACCATCAACAGCGGCATATGTGCAAGTATCAACTTATGGTTATGATTGGAGTTTATCTTCTCAGTTAAACGTCCACATAACGAGTCCGCACCTAAAAATTAAACACATTTTTACTGTATAGTAATCACATAAAACCACACCCTGTATATTTAAAACTTGTTTACAGTTATTGTGCAAAAATGGATTGTATTGCAACGAGATAAGATCGAATTCAATTTAAAATTATGTTTATGAAGAATTGATTGGGGAGTATAGGGGATGGACTGCGTGGTACGAAGAAAATAGTATTCAATGAAATGACATGATATAAAGCAAAACAAAAAAGTGAGACCTTTAAAAATAGACTCAATAGCAACGATATAAAGTAGCTTTTAATATTTTTGACAAATATAGGAATCAATGAAGTCATGACGTCTGAATGGAAGTTAAGGACAAATATAAAAACATATTCCATATTATTTTAAAAAATATGTTATTAATTAATAGTAAACTATATTATAATAGTATAAAGTTAGGATTACTTTGATAATTGTTAATCTTTATATATAAAAATTTCGTGTCACGTGTTGGTCCGCGATGGACTCCTAAACTACTAAACCGATTTTAAATTTGATTTGCATACCGTGTGCATTTTGTTCGAACTTGAAATATAGGATAACTTACATCTCAATTTTTAGTCACACTATTATTTCCCTTAGCCACAGCAACGCGTGGTTGGGTCTGCTAGTTAAAATCTTATTTAAAATCAGATGTTTCAATCTAACGGTTTTACTTTCAAAGTTTATCTTTATGGTTTTAGTTACAAATATACATATATGTACATCATGCTTAATAGAAAACAGAACTAACTCACAAAAGAAGGTTTTTAAAAATTGAACCTTATTATTGAAACAAAATTTTAAGTTCCATACTTTCTTTTTTGAGTTAGGAGTTTTTTATATTCAGCATACGAATATATAATATGTAATATTAGATACTAACTACAAGGAAATGACTATAGGTAGTATTAATAATAAGTATGATAAAAACCCAAAATTAGAACAAGGAAAGAAAGTAATTGGATAAATAAATATATACATAATTCTTAAGTATATAAAAGCTTGGTATGCAGCATAAACAATATCGGCATTGTTAATGACAATTTTATATTTGGAAGGGTAACGGTATAGGTACGTTTTGATATCACCAATTGCTTGTAACATACCATTACCACGTGTAACTCCCCTCCCTTTATCTCCTTTTTTTGTGAGGGGAAAATCATCAAATGACTTCTCCCGCCCAGGGTCGGGCGGGAGGGAGTGTCAGACTCTTACTGACTAAAAACCCCCCTGTTCCTACTCCTGCTCTAGGCCGAGGTCGCGGTGCCTCATTGCGCATACCCCGCAACCACGTGTAACTCCCTGATTGGTTAACTTATAGCTGACCAATCAGAAAGCGCAACGTAAGAAAATTGCAACCAATATGGATAAAAATGATCAGTTAGGAAATGACCTTCTCATCGTTATTAACACAGTTCAGTTTATTGCCTAAGGTAATTTTACAACGAGACTTGCTTATATCCAAATAAAAATTACAGGTAGGTACCAAAATTTAAAAAAAATGTATGTGTTAATTGAATTTCTTTAAACGCAATCCCGACACAGGAGTAAATCCTTGTGAAAGGCAACGTTTTTACGTAAAAGAAACCAAAAATGATGACCCTAATATCAAGTGCAGAGCAGTTGATCTTGTAACTAGTTGATCAATGAGCAATTTAGTTTATTATTTTAAAGACCAATCGAAAAGAATGCAAGGGCTCCATTCGAGAACATTCCATTTCAAGTTAAATAATCATCGCGAAAATAAACTCTATACTCAGGTGCGTAAGAGTGTTATTAGTATGCTTAAGGTTAGTTAGCACAAGGGGTGTCACTCTATCACTCGCCGGTACCTATTAATATTGTTAGAGCGTTTATAAGAGCTGGTACATGATAGTCCCCGTCAACTGCAACACCATAATACAATACATATATTATAAAATAGATTTATGTGTCAAGTTTCTATAATGTATTAAAAATCAGTTCGCCAAATATTTTTGTCAACCCTGGTTTTTCTGTAGTTAGGTATTATGAGAATATGAGTACTATTTTAATAGAGAATACTGTCGAGCCCGTAAGCCCATTAAACATACCTACAGTAAAAAAAAATCTAGACTCTTGTGAGCCAATTTTTTTTACTCATAATTTGTCGGTTAAAAATATTGACAAGTTTTTATTCATTTGCATAGTATACAATAAAAAATATACATTAGAAACTTGACAAATTATAAAAATTAATAAATAGATAAGCAAATAAAATAGTCTAAGGCTGATTTTTCAATGGTTAGATAAAAGTTATCTAAGGAATAATTATGATGCTGTCGCGGCAGAATGTTTGTATAAGACAGTGACAGCAACAATTTTATTCCTCAGATAACATTTATCTGACTACTGAAAAATCAGTCCTTAATAAAAAAAAATAAAACAGAGGAATAACGAAATTAAAAAACGAATTCAAAATACTAAAGACCCAACTGAATACTAAACTCCAATCTGATTTAAACTGTATCAACACGACGAAAAGTTTAAAATTACCTGTTTCATCGCCAATAGCCCAGACTAAGAGGTCCACACAGGCTGAGTTCGCCATTACGTTGACCTTGAACTTGTTGACGGTTGCAAAGTTGCTCTCCCTATCTTCTCTTTCGGATGCATCGTGATGCCGACTCTGGAGTTCCGTCTGTCCGCTAAGGAACAGACATTTTACGAATTCCTGTAAAATAACAAATAATTTTGAACAAGCATATCGTTAATGATCATGTTTTCTGCCAAAGGCATCCATAAGGTTGACTGCACGGTTGGTGCGGTGGCCGGGCAACTGGCTGCCGTGCAACGTGTCACGGGTTCGATTCCCGCACGGAACAACTCTTTGTGTGATCCACGAATTGTTGTTCCGGGTCTGGGTGTCATGTGCATGTGAAACTGTATGTTTGTAACCGCACCCACGACACAGGAGAAAATCCTAATGTGGGGCAACGTTTATTTAAAAATTTAATAGATAATAGGTAGGTAAGCGGGTATAAGTATTACTTAAATCTTCCCCGCTCCTTTTCCTACTTCAGCCCGGATCCACAGCACATAATCTTTAAAGAACAATAACTAACACTTTTCGCTATGTCTAACGCGATTTTATTAAATTCCTTACCTGAACATCTTTTGTGAATGGACCAGGCAAGTCCTTCTGATGCTGCAGCAATTCTCGTAGGAGAGTCACCATCACCAAATTTAACGTCTCCGAAAAAGACTTGTATGGGAACACCTAGGATAAGAAACGGTACTATAAATCTTCTGAATAAGTTAAATGCAGTTGCGTAGTTTTTATTTAAAGAAGGTTTAAATCACATGGAAAGAAAGAGAATATTGAATAAGATTATCGCTTAAAGGCATAAAAGAGTCACCATTTAGCCACTTTCCTGTCCAAGGAATCATAATTATATGACTTAGGGCTATTGTTTAACTATTTATTATTAAGGTCTATTTTGTGGACGATCAGTGTTCATGACCAACCAAGGTTCAACGTTACAATAAACTATATAAGTAAACGATTAGAACTCCATGGTTGATTGTTTTCATATAAACAATGGCATTACCTGAATCTGTCCCGAAGCGTAAATATCTTCTGCTTCTTCATCCAAAAACGCCAACAAATCTTTGGTAAGCATCTTCTTGGCTAAAGACAAAATCGATTGGAGATATGTCACGTAGAATTGTACATTAATCCTCTTTTCAGGAGACTCCGAAAACCTCATGTACGGGAACTGGTTAAAACTAGATCCAAACTTGTGGAAGAAATAGGTCGTAGGATCGTAAGGGACAGAGTTGTAGCTGTGAAGAGAACCTCTTTTGAGAGTCCCCCCATTGCCATCAACAGTGTCATTACCATTTTCTAGAAGATTCTCGTTGTTCGGATTCAAATTGCCTGATAAAGACCTTGGAATGATAGGCCTGAATTGGTTGAACTTTCTCTTTTTGTCAAGAGTGGAATATTCGAAATTTGGCTCTGGTTCCTTCGTCTTTACTGGACTTGGGGGCTGGGGGAACAGCCGGCATAGAAGTGGAGGGTCTACTGTTGCATACCGTCCCATAGACCTAGCCAATCCTATTAAGATGGGTATAGTACTTTTGCAGAGCTGTAGCTTAGATGTAGTGCTGGAATAGTCCTTGCTCTCATGACACGTAATTATGATCTTTGTCAGGTTGGACATAAGTTCAATTTGCGCTGTGATGATGTCCTCTCGGAGAGAGGGCTGTTTACTTGCAATGTCTGAGAGCAGAGTGTTGAGACAAAAACTGAACTTTTCTGCCATTGGTATACCTGGAACAATACAAAGTTTCTTTGAATTTCATGTTAACAATTCATAGATATTTGTCTCATTTGTCATTTAGTTTATCACGCATTTTTTAAGTACATTACGAGTCTGTGACGTCATTTAAGAAGCTAATAAATTTATGACAAATAATTAATTGAAATTACGTATTGTATTCAAATTATATTTGGTATAACGTGGCTATCCGGACATTGTGAAACAGGCCATCAATATGATGAGCTTCAATTTTTTTACTAGACTTCTCATCAGAAGTCTTTACAGATATCATTTCTATCACGACGAGATTAACCTCAAAAGAAGTGTTCAAAAAAGTAATTCTACATGTGCCTACACCTAGAGAAGTAATATAAAAAAGGCAAAGTGAATTTTGGGTTACAGTCGCTAATTATAATAACTATTAAGTTATCAAACGCCAAGCAAACGCGGCGTTCGCGCACCTATTTTTCTAATGGGACTTCAATTACCACGACAAAAATATTAAAGTCATTCATCTCCTAAAATAATTTCTTCTGATTTATTTTGTTGCGGGCTACAAAACGTAATTCATATCTCTGAGTTGCGCCGGAGACAAAACCTTTAGGTTTTGGAGACTTGCCCCACTAACCCGGAACGCAGATACTAAAGCAGGCTAGGAAAACTAAAAGCCATTTATGCAACAAAAACATATTGAGCTCTGTTTTTTAATAATTATTAGCTTCTGACAGCGGTCCGGCTGCAGTATCTGGGGGAAAATGGCCGATGCGGATTGCTTTTCTTTCCGTCGTGATTCATCAGCTTATTATAACATAAACATCGTACAATAACGCATCAAAAATAATATTAATTTCAATATAACACGCGAAAAATGTAAACAAATTAAAGGCTAATTATAATTTCCCTTCACACCTTGCAGTTACAATTAAAACCCGAGAGATGTTAACTATAAATGAGTTTGAAGTCATCAAAAACGTTCAAACTACAATTAAAAACACATAATAGAAAACTCATTGCCGTATGAACAACATAATAATATGTTTTTACTGGTGCTAACAATGTTTTAAATGCGTTGCGTGACATCTCCACACAAAATATATATAGTATATTACAGTAAAATCACATATAATTGTATTTTCCAAGATCGTCAACAAGTAAAGTCAGGGGTCAAAAATGCAATTACACTCTACCAATTTTAAAATGACTAAAATTTCTTTGTAGTAAAAGTTCAATGGTTCACAGCCAGTTTATTCAATAATTTAGATTCTATGCTATAAATTAAAGCAGTCCTCAACCATTGACTCTATGCTACAAAGATATTTTGGTCATTTTAAAATTGGTAGAGTGCAATTGCATTTTTGACCCCTGACTGTACAATGAAATATTTATCTGTTCTACCAAAATGTTACAACAAATTCTTTCAAAGGGCACCAATTTTCAATAGAAACAATTGCTGAATTAACACGTAAGGCGCCATGGGGGTCACCGGTAACCTCCGTTAGCGGAGGATTTCCCTTCAACGGTTGAAGGCAAATCCAAAAAAAATGAGAATATGTAGAAACAAGATCAAACCCGCCTGAAGCTAAGACAGCCATCGACGTCACCTTTGTCCACATTTATATTAATATAGGTAAGGTATCTACCAAAGCCCCCAATTTCAGAAAAAACTATTCAATTATAAGGAATTCTACATTAGCTAGTGCAGTCATTCTTTGCCGGACATAGGAAAACACCTTGACATAGAAATGAATGAACATTTGTCAGTTTTGCCATCACAAGACCAACGGGACTATAATCGTAAAGTATTTAATAAAAACATCAACGATGTACGAATATGATTAGTAAACAACATCTTTGATGTTTCCATACATTTTCGCAGGCTTTCCACAGGCACTCATATTTTGTGACGGGGCGGGGAGAAAACTAGCCTATACTTTTTCCCATGACGTACGGTGAAGGAAAACATCGTTAGGAAACCTGGACACATCAGTTTGAAATCGCCAATCCGCCATAAATAATCGTGGTGATAAATGCTCTAATCTTCTCCGAGTGAGAAAAGGTCTTTGGCAAACAGACTGATGATTTGATGAGACGCGTGTGGGATAGACTTTTGCTGACTAAAACAGTCATCTCAATAGTTTTAGTCAAACCTACTTACAAAAGTATTAAAAAAGAAACAAAACTGAGAGCTACAGTGTCAGCATTGCCGACCATTTATAGGTTATTACGGACTTAAGGTTCTTGGATTTGGGAGGACATAGCTAACCTCATTTACACGGCGAAACACAGCGTAAGTATTGTGTGTCACACCGGTATTCTCTGAGGCCGTGGTATCATTCCGGGCGAGCCGGCCCATTAGCGCACAAAGCATGGGTCTTCCACACGATAAACTACCTCTAAAACAAATGATTGAAAAAATAGCAGCGTATCCATTTTCAAATCAACACACATTTATGCATTATAATTTGAAAGATAAAATCGGAGGCATCACATACTACGTCAACATATAACAAGTTAGTTGCACGTTACATAGTTATCATAGTGATATAAATACAGCGTCTTGCATGTACATGCACAGTCCACAATAAGCACTGTGAAGTGACCAAAGCTGAAGAAAAATGTTTAAGAAATTATTCTTACTTGTTCTCGTCGTCACGATGATTGGAAACGTAAGTTTTTTAGACTGAGGCTTTTTAACTAATATCTCTTTTGCTTACCTTATTTAAAATTCAAAAGCAATTCTTATGACATTATATTTAAAGTCAATCCTTTTTACTTTTCTATTTTCATGTTTTCTCCTCGCATGTTTTTGGAGACACTATTATATATTGATATCAAGCTATCATAACTGTTGCCTATCTCTGTTCTTCTTTCCACTTACTTGCGGTTGTAATTGTATTATTCCTACCTATTTGAAGTCCTGTTTTCCTTTTTTTATCATTGAAATCATTATTACATATATTTTTTTTTACAAATCCGTCCAAAATGGTCCTTTCTATAGTCCATTATAACGATTTGACTTATATCTCCTGTCGACCTTCTCTTATTTATGTTTTAGTGTTAACTTATATTTTAGATATTCATGTAATGGTATTTTATCCTTCACTTTCCAGAGCATGCAACAAGGCGGAGGCGGTGAGGCAGGAGGCAAGTTTCCAATTACAAAACAAATATGGTCGTTTGTCAAAAATTTTACCACTTCCATCATCCAGAATGGTAGTATGTTCGATTATTTGACAACAAGTCAAATCTTATCAGAGAGTTCGCTTAAAACATTCTGAAACTACAAATTAGGATCGACATAGGCCTAATCAATGACGTATTATATATAGACACGTCATGAACCAACATCGCGGCGCTTAAAAACGGCGAAAATACTAGATAACTACTTCTACGAGTAAAGAAAGGGAAAGAAAATATGACATCGTATAGTGGAATGCCTTTGCTAGAGGGAGATAAATATACATCTTCAGTTATGCCGACGTCACGTGACTATACCTTCATGCGCCGGCCGCCATAAGATGGCGGGCGCCGGCGTCGAAAAAAATAAAATAAAAATAGGTTGTTTGGTGAACTTACGCATGAAATGACACATTTTTGTCTTTAACTTTTGGAGTATAATTTGTACATCGTCTGAACACACACGACGACATGCTTTCTTTGTGTTTCAAACAAGTTTACACACGATATAAATTAAAAACAAACGTAGCGTCGCGCGGCAGGTTTGTGCGTAACTAAGCGCGATGTGGTCAATTGCCTTCATTTCACGTTGTCATTTTAGAGCGCGGACAACGTATCTATAGTTTTATACATCATTGGGCCTAATATAATAGCGAGATCCATGGTCTCCGTCTTTTCGTCCATTTTATATTTCCTGTGTAATAAACTCAAACATAACTTTCAGGAGGCGCCGGTTTCAGTGTCGGCGGCGGTGCTGGCGCTGGTGGTAAGTTACGAAAATGTTTGATCTGGTAGAACATTTTAAAAATAATAATTTAGAGGGCACGGTAAGTGTGAGCACCCGGTTGTTGCCAATAAGCTCACTAGTACAAGCCTTATATTGAAAAAAAGTGGCTATGAATCACATTTTTCACCATGTAATGCTGGCTTATGCTTTTGACATTAAAAGGCATGACGGTTCTCCATACAGTGCAGCAGCAGAACTCGCAAAAACAAAGATACCAAGTAGTTTTAACAAATAAACAAGTTTTTTTTTTTAAACCTAGCACCACACTAGGATTTTTTCCTGTATCGTGGGTGCAGTTACAAACATACAATTTCACATGCACCCGCGACACGTTGCACGGCAGCCAGTTGCCCAGCCACCGCACCAACCTTGCATTCAATTAAAAGATTAGCACTTTGATCATCAAAAAACTCATACCAGATTTACGTACTAATTAACAGAGTGTACAAACAAATTACGGATCACGAATGAAACAGGGCTATACGGCTGCTCAGCAAAATTACCTTTGTTTGAATAAAATACTTTTTTTAAATAAATACTTTTTTATCAGGTGGCGGTGAAGGTGGTGCTGGAGCGGGTGGTCAAATGGGATTTAGTGCTGGCGCAGGCGCAGGGGGCGGCGCTGGTGGCGGCAAGTAAAGCTCGGTGAGACCATTCTGTCATTTATTTACATTACAAAGTTATCTACATGTATATAGATTAATTTTATATACAAATAACAATAGCAATCGTAAAAACCACTGCTGGGAATAAATCCAAAGTAAATACTTTTTATCAATACTAATATTATAAAGAGTTAAAATTTGTAAGTTTGTAAGTTTGTATGTAGGGGGTAATCTTTGGAACCGCTGGTCGGATTGCCAAAATTCTTTTACTGATAGATAACTACAATGTTCCTGAATGCTATAGGCTATAAAACACCACGCTACGATTAAATGGAGCCAAGCAGTGAAACCGCGCGAGAGTAGCTAGTATTGCTATAAGATGAAAAGTTATTTTAAAAAACCAATTTAAAAATCATTACTGCAGTATTTACAGATTGTATCATAACATAGATCTGGCATTTCCCGGCAACCGAGAAATGTGTGTAATAAGAAAAACACCCTTTTTCAGATGGAGATCAACTTCAGCTAACGGCATCCCGCACAAATAGGAGTTATTCCGAAGACCTGCATACAATATACTAGAAGTACCTATATTTTACTAATAAAACATGTTGGTATCAATCAATTATTTCTTTCAAATTAAGCGAAGTAACCTGACATGAGCGTTAAGAAAACCTCTCTACTACTAAACTGCACAAGCCAAATTCCTGTTCTCTTAAGAGCATCTACTGTTGGATATTTCTGGAAATATTAGCCGACTTTTCTACTAGTAAATGTTCTGCAATAGTACCTATTAATGTGGAGTCCACACAAAGAAGACCTGTTAAAATTCGTTGTTGCATATATATTTCCTGTTACATTTTTTTTTTGTTTTCGAGGATTAAAAATCTTCATTTATATGACTTTTCAGACTCTTACTGAATAAAAACCCCCCGTTCCTTCTCCTGCTTCAGGCCGAGGCCGCGGATGACCCGCAACCCCGGCGGCAGATAGAGTACTATGGTTTGAATTTCAATAGAAGTTTGAAGATCGATTTGTATAAACATCACGACATACCTAGACCCAGACGAACATCTCAAAAGAAAATAATTCAGAGTAGCTCAAAAGGACTATACGACACTTAAAAATCTTGAAGTACAATACTCATAAAACCCTTTTTTTGTAAGAGGAAACTCATTAAATGACTTCTCCCACCCAGAGCAGGGCGGGAGGGAGAGTCAGACTCTTACTGACTAAAACCCCCCTCATTGCGCTTACCCCGCAACCCCGGCTGAACATCAGCCCTATATGGCCCCGCCTGTGGTGGTCTATTGGCCCTTTGAGGCGCGCGCGGAACGCTACGCGCCGTACGCTCGGGCCTGGTTCTGGTCGGGCGGTTCGACTCGACTCGACTCGCCGACCGCAGACCCGAGACTCATAAAACCCTGAGGCCTTGGTTGTGGACAACCCATCCAAAGACCTCGACAAGACTATAAATAGAACAATACCAATCACGTTGGCTAGCCATGAATTAACGTAAGTAATTTTTATATTTCCCTACACCTGTAATATCAATGAAAACAAAGCAATAGAAAGATTTGTATAGAGTCGCTTTGATAACACCTGTGCACACGGTAAGTACCACATTAGAATAAATATTTTTCTTTGTTTAGAATGTCGTAAACAGACCCTCAGACCCTAGGATATGGACAATAGACTTTAATTTAAGGTTATTGGCATCACTGTTACTTAAGGTTTTAGTGTATTTTAGAAAAAACAATGCCTACTAAATGTTTTCGAGGTTTTTACGATTATAATCGGGTAAGGACATAGTAATAGGAATACACTTTACTTCACTTTAGCGTGAAAAAGTTTAGTTTCCACACGGAACAACTTTTTATGTGACCCGCAAAACTTAAAGAGTCCGAATCTTGTCCCACTTTTAAAATTCTAGCTGGAGTCCCTTTTTCTGAAGAAAACTCATCAAATGACTTCTCTAGCCGCGGGGTAGGACGAGAGGGAGTGACTGACTTAACGCAAAGGCCGAGGGGCCTTATTGCGCTCCACCAACCCGGCTGAAGCTGAACACCCTAAAACTCCTAACAAAAACTAATTTCAAAACGACAGGAAAATACAAAGATTTACAAGGAAAATTATCAATAGATTCCAATAGTTGAATTGACACTGAAACTAATTGTAATTACACAAACGTTTGGAAAAACAATGTGTTCCAAACTATTTGTTTAAAAAATATGATTCATCGTATATTTACAAAAGTACTTATAAGGCCGGTAGATGATATAAATAAAGGTGTCACCCTGTCCAAACTTAGTTCAGATTTTTTCCCGCCAAGAGACATACCTGAATAAAAATGTTTAAGAATCTATTTTTAGTCTTACTCGTCGTCATGATGTTTGGATACGTAAGTTTTCTAGACTTCAGCTATTGCATTAATATGTTTTTTCCTGATTATAAACCCTTTAGTGCCATTTTTGCCGAATATGGCGCCGGTTCTGAGTCTAAAAGCGGATTGGACTGTTTCAGTATTTGTATTTGACTTTTTTTAAATTGGGTAATGTCATTCATTTGACACTCCCTCTCGTCCCAAACCGAGATAAAACATCCACACGAAAAAAAACCAGATTTTTGTCAAATATTGGAGCTTAGATCTGCACTCCCTATCGGTATAAGTTAAAATGTGTCTTTTATATTCCTGCATCCATGTAAAGTCGTACTAACGTTATAAACACAAAATTTCTAAGTGTGGATGGATGTTTATTACACTTTCACGTAAAAACTTATGAATAAATTTTGGCCAAGCCGCTAGCTAAAGGTAGTTTATTAATACTAAGGATCTTATTTCAGAGCATGCAGCAGGGATTTGGAAGCGGTGGCGCTGGGGCTGGCGGTGGTGGTAAGTTTAATGTAATCAACTTTTGACCAGATAGATAGATATTGATAGATGTCCAATTAAACTAGTCAGCGCACGGCAAGGGTTTACATTTAGTAAAATTTATTTTCATGAATAAGGGTGTGGGTTGGAACCCTGGCAAGTACTAATGTGACTTTTTCCGAGTTCTTAGAAGTATGTAATTAATATGATTATTTAGATACCAATTACATACGGTGAAGAAAAACATCGAAAAGAAACCTGGCCTTATAATTTCTAATTATAAGTTTGAAATCGCCAATCCACCTTGAGCAAGCAAGATTGGTTATTAATGCTCAAGCATTCTTCGTGTAAAAAAGACGCAGCAGTGGACACTTGTAAGCTGAGCATGTAATATGATTGTTTTTACTTTTAACTTTTACGAATCCCACTTAAAGTTTACAAACATAATTGAGAATCTATTTTGGATTGTTAATATTAATATTAATAAAGGTGCTATAATCCTTTATGTCATTCATGACCAAAAATTAGGCGACTAGGCGAGGTGATCAGCCTAGACGTTGTACGTTGTACGTTGGGGTTTTCTATTCGTTTCGTTTATCCGCGAGCAAACTTAACTTAGGTGATGTAAGTCTTGTGACGCCATCTGTTGTCATAAATGTATGTGCGTTTTTAATTACGATGTTCACAATTACAGCTAATGCAGGTTTCGGTTTTGGATTTGGTGCTAACGCTGGTGCAGGAGGTGCCGGAGGTGGATGGAATGGCGGTGCTGGTGGCGAGCAAGGCAACCGTAAGTCCATACCTGCTAAGACTTCATGAACCCGACTCAGTGAATGGAAAGTAAAAGACATTGATGATTAAGATGAAAACAAGATACGATATGTTTATTTATTTGACACTTCATGCGCAATGGGTATATAGGAGGACTTAATGCATCAGGCATTACATATGGCACATAGACCACCACAGATGGGGCCCTAAAAGGCTGATATTCAGCCTGGGTTGCGGGGTAAGCGCAATGAGACACCGCGGCCTCAACCTAAAACAGAGGAAGAAACGGGGTATTTTAGGACAGTAAGAGTTTGATACTTGCTCTCGCCTCACCCTGGGCGGGAGAAGTCATTTCATGATTTTCTCCTGACAAAAAAAAAGGCATATTCTGCCAGTCGAACCTTGGGTGATGCAGAAATTAACCAATGGGTGATGCAAAAGACAAGTAAATAGACTTAATTTTATATAGTACGTGATGTCTGAGCAACCTTTAAATATTTTTTTTTACTTGCAATAAACTAGTGCTTGACTGCGATCCCACCTGATGGTAAGCAGTGATGCAATCGTTGATGGTAAGGCGCACTAGTTTATTAAGAGCCTAGTCACTCTAGCTTTGAAGACACCTAAATTGTATTCGAACGGAAAGACTGCAGCCGGCAAACTGTTACAATCCCTCGATGTACGCGGTATAAATGACGAGGCAAAACGCTTAGTCCGGGCCGCAGGTGTCTCAACAACGTAAGGGTGGATATTCGCCGTACGCCGGGATGTCCGAAGTATATATATAAATAAAAATATTATGTTTTATCTTTCAGCAAGTGGACACAATGCTGGATTTGGTTTTAATGCTGGTTCCGGCCATTAGAGACTTACAATATACATGAAAAAGATGATGACAAATAAAATATTTATTAATTAAATTGTTATTCCGAAGTCACTGATTTTTATTTAATTCGAATCATAACAACTATTGAACTTCCCGACACATTAGGTTAAAAAAACAGTGTGACCAGTATCATTTCTATATGACATATTCATATTAAGTAATTAAAAGTGTATAAAACAAAGTTATTTTCTCTGTCCTCGTGTATTTATGTATGCATAAATCTTTAAAACTACGCAACGGATTTCGATGCGGTTTTTTTAATAGACTAATTGAATGGAAAAATTGAAGAGGAAGATTTTTATTTACGTATAGGTAATACCATCCCTTAAATAGTGGAGATATTCAGTATCAGCTTTGCACCCATGGCGAAGCTAGAGGGACCCAGGTTACAAATGTAAGGTTACCTTCAACTCGGCAATTAATAGTATCAAAACTAAAATAATTCAATCTAGTTATTAAAAAACCCTCAATCTAATAATAATGTTCAAAAACACACAGATATGGAAAAAGTTACATTAACTCGACTTTTGACTGCACGTTTGGCGCGGTGGCTGGGCAACTGGCTGCCGTGCAACGTGTCGCGGGTTCGATTCCCGCACGGAACAACACTTTGTGTGATCCACAAATTGTTGTTTCGGGTCTGGGTGTCGTGTGTTTGTGACATTGTATGTTTGTAAACGCACCCACAACACAGGAGAAAATCCTAAAATGGAGCAACGTTTTTTCAGGAGAAAATCCTAAAGTGGGGCAACGTTTTTATAAAAAAAAGAACTCGAAGTCACAAATAGAACATATAAAAATAGATCTACAGATTCTCTTACGAGCGTCAGAGGATCTGAGGACCTTTGTTAAATAAAACAAAGCACCTACGCACCAACAACTATGGCTGCTTAGTACACATACGCATATGGCATCATGTTATCGGGACATAGTGTTAAAGTAATAAAGATTTCAGTTTACAAAAGAAGTGGTAACTTCTAAAAGAAGTTTTAACGTAGAAAAAAGAAAATAAAATAAGTGTTATATGTATGTTAATAAGTGTGAACTACTAACTCTGCAGTCAAAAGTATATCTTACTTAATTCTAAATCAATTAGAAAGTACGTAATATTTACCTAGCTGAAAAATATCTTTGCAAAAATAAAGACTGGAAAACTCGTAGCAACTGATTGTCTTTCAAAAATAGAATTGAGTGAGGTTACCGGAGGCCCAATCCTTCCCCTCCCCCTCCCCCTCCTAATCCTTAAATCTCCAAAACCCTAATCCCTAATAGTTCAGCAACGCACTCGTAACTCCTCCGTTGCTCCGTCGGGTGTCCATGGGCAGCGCTGATTGCTTACCATCAGGTAATCCGTCTGCTCCTTTGCCGATCATACAGAATAGGCTCTTTAGATAACCGCGCAGAGAGTCGGGGTCGTGGCAAACGTAGCTATGCACCTAGTCTACCGTCACAAAGCAGTTCATACAAAGCTGATTATTGACATCCTTCAAACTACGGACCAACTGGAGTTATATCATGGCCCCGCAGAAAACTCGCATGAAGCAACCAGTTGTGCTTCGCCTAAGCCTCTTGATCCTAAAATCTCTAGCCCCCAAATGGCCGACAACGCCCTCGTAATGCCTACGCCTACGCTAGTATTTTTGCCGGGGTTCCGATCGTTTACCATCATCGTTTTCAATATGTTCGTTTGCCGCTTTATCACATGCCAAATAAATAGAAAAATGCCTATTTATATGCAAATTATGTATTGTAATGTCTTATCAACACCTGTTTTCATTCAGCCTTAACCAGGTTTTTGAGACAATTAAAAAGATAAAAATAAGAATTAATAATTTATAGGTACAGAACTAATTATATTCTAATTGAAAAAGGCCCTTTCTCATTTCAATATGTAATTGACTTTTAGGATTTTTCATACAAATATAAAACGCAATAGTTACAACAAATATGAACACTTTTTCATAAATACACGCTCCAAAACACAAGTAATCGAATAAATTCTCCCGCCATAGGTGGCGCCACTGCATAAAACCATCAGATCATATCAGATTCTTACTGAATAAAACCATCTCTTACTTAGAGCTGGACCGGGGTATGTTATTGGGCTTGCTGCAATTTCGGCTGAAGCGATCTTTGATAAAAAAAAAATGTAGTAACCTATTATGTTGTTCGATATCGTAGGGCTTAGACCGTCAAGTTAAACAATCGAGTCATGTTTTATCCTTTAAAACCCTCGATGTATTTGAAAAGTTGGTACATTATTACTTTTAATAACTAGTCAACAAATTTTCTTCAAGAAGAGATGAGAATGCTTAGATTAAAAAAAAACAATGCATTTTATACAAATGCTTGTAAGAAATATCATTTTGAGCAAATCATTCGTTTGAACTTGCTAACCTGAAAGTTATTGGGCGAGACATAATGACGATGACGATTAGTATTTTCCCAAGAAAAAATCATTACATTTGTATGAAAAAGGTCTCAAAGAATATTTATTGTAAAATACCTACATGTGTAGATTATACCTAAAACCAGTAATCAACATTCAAAATTCTAATTAAGAGCTAAAAATGTAATTATCATGTAAATGTGTCCCTACTAAATGATAAGAAAAGACAAAATGATTTTTTTTACTTCATAATTCGAAATATATGATGGCACAATTTTTAACGCAAAGACCTCATCTCCACCACGCTTACTTAAAGCGGATTACCGCTTTTAAACTTATAATTAGAAAATAATAAGTCCAGGTTTCCTCACGATGATTTTCTTCAAAGTTTGTCAGTGGTGTCTAAGTAATATTTTAACTCGGAAAAAGTTATATTGGTAGTTGCCAGGTCCGCACCTTCCATGCATGAAAAGCACGCACCTTAACCACCGGGTCACCAGGACAATTTTAAATTACCACATTTATATTGGTTTAGAATCTGAACTTCAGAAAGCGCTAATTTAGCAAGAGGTAAGTTTCAGTCAATGTTGTCAGAAACTAAACGTCCAAACATGTGACACTAGCAAATTCTAATTTTAAAATTGGACGAACCGAAGAGATCGTATCTCTTGCGCCATCTGGCAAGGAAAACAAACTGTAACCCTTATTAAACACCAGCTGCTCTATGGTGTAAATTATAAAGATTTCCATCTATACTAATATTATAAAGAGGTAAAATTTGTAAGTTTGTATGTTTGTAAGTTTGTATGTAGGGGGTAATCGTTGGAACCGCTGGTCGGATTGCCAAAATTCTTTCACTGATAGATAGCTACAATGTTCCTGAAAGCTATAGGCTACAAAACATCACGCTATAATACTAGTATAGATTATCATTATCATGTTTGATAAGAATACTACACAAGGTGAATTCATCTTAGATCTAAAATAGTGAGATATCAGCATAGGAGATATGGTACAAATCTATGGTAAGTCTATGGAATCTATGGCTGTAGTAGAAATAAAAAGAAACAGACATCTAAAAAAACTTTATGTAAAGTATTTTTATTTTTGTTTATATAATATAATTTTTTATAAGACAAACCATCACTACTAGCATCCCCCAAGGACCTAGAAGTGCTAGAAGTGAAAAGTTTTTAAGGATTGGGGAACCGCATACGGAGAAACAAAACGGAGGCGTTATTTCACACCAAGTTTGTATGAGACCGCGGTATCCATCCGCTCGAGTCGGCCCGTTCGTGCCGTGGCATGCCTCATAAAATAATACTCATATGTAAATATTTCAACAATGTTTCGTACCTTAGGATTAGGAGATAATGCCTTAGTAACAGGTAACCCTGCATAACTAATAGAAAGAATAAGAATAGTCCTAAAAAGGCAAAACCACTGATAAAACGTTTACCACTATAACCTACACACAGCACAGGAGAATATCCATTAAACATTCTTTAATACAGCCGATATTGGCATGAAATTGTTAATGAGAGCGTATATTCTTGAGAAGTTGTTCTAATCAAACTGTTTAACACATGTTTTCAGGCTAAAATAGTTTTTTAACGCCATTAAGTAGATAAAGGTTGCAAAATTATTATTAATTCCTTAGAAAGTACTCGTCAGATAGGTAGTTATTAGCATATTTTTAAGGTCGCGTAGATACCTTAGCTAGGTTGGAAAATTTCTTACCGAAGTACCTTATAATAGAACATAATAAGATAAATAAAAGAACAAGTAAAATTATTTAAAAAAACAATTAAAAATTCCTCTCTGTCGTTGATGGAGAAGAAGTGAAAAAAGAAATCCTGCCATGTCTCCTCTCAGTTACGTAGTCTTTTTTTTTATGTAATAGCTCGGCAAACGAGCAGACGGATTACCTGATGGTAAGCAATCAGCGCCGCCCATGGACACTCGCAACGGAGGAGTTACGAGTGCGTTGCCGACCTTTTAGGGATTAGGGATTTGGAGATTTAGGGATTGGGGAAGGGTCCGGAAAGGGGAAGGATTGGGCCTCCGGTAACCTCACTCACACGGCGAAACACAACGCAGTGGTTATTTCACGCCGGTTTTCTGTGAGGCCATGGTATCACTCCGGTCGAGCCGACCCATTCGTGCCGAAGCATGGCTCTCCCACACTTCGTGTCACGATAACTACGACACAAGTCGCGATAACTTGAGAAGAAATCTAGTCACCAACTCCAAATATTAGTTATTTTGTCCTCATTAAATCTATCAGTCTGTCATAGAGGACAAATGAGATGCTACTTATCCGTTCCACATACAGAACCCATAAATCATGTTTTGTCAAGCACAACAATTCAGCACGCTCTTAGCTTGTATGAGAGCTTGTTGAAAGAGAACGCCTTTTCAGTAAAATCGAGTCTGGAACTCCCTCTCGCCTTTTATTCTTGCTCCGTCAAGTTGGTAGGGCAAGTTTTTTGATGACTTTCACCCTTCAAAAAAACTCTAAAGCCACGTTGGATTGACAGTTTAGCAGTCAAAAACATACATGAAAAGTAGGTACTAATTCTTAAAGAACATTTAAAATAAGATAGATAATTTACGCATAATAATAGAGTAATGTTAATCAATAGGTATAATTTGTAGCCAAAATGATATAGGAGCGAATTAATTAAGCCTGCTTTTAAATTGAAATATTATGAAATAGTTTTTTCTGGTGGTTCTGTATACTAAAAAATATGACATATACATTTTGGTGCTATTAAGGTACATATATTATACCTTACAAATAAAAACTCAGGAAAATGTTACCCTTTCATAGAGGATATCCAGTCGTGGTGGTCCAGAGGTTAAGGCGTTCGCTTCTCATACATGTGGTTGCGGGTTCGAAACCTGGCAAGTACCAATGTGACTTTTTCCGAGTCACATGTACTTTCTATAATTATTTAAACACCACTGACATACGGTTAAGGGAAAACATCGTGAGGAAACCTGGACTTATAATTAGAAATTATAAATTTCTAAGTTTGAAATCGCCTATCCGCCTTGAGCAAGCGTGGTGATTAATTCTCGAACCTTCTCGTAATGAGAATAGGCCTATGTCAGCAGTAAGCCCTTGCAAGCTGATGATGTATGTATATATCCCTCCCATCTACATGCACGCAGTGTTACGACTCAAGGTCTATCACCAGAACCGCTAATAAGTGGAATAATTTGTCAGAGCCTATAACCACTCGAAGGCCGCGTCAACGCTTACTATCAGGCGAAATAAGGGCCAAACAAATTGGCCCATCACTAAAAAGTATGAAACATAGACGTTTTCTCGGTCCCTGTATCCCTAGGTAAGCGTAAATCTTTAAAACTTTGCAACGGATTATGATGCGGTTTTCTTTCACACATAGAGTGATTGAAGAGGAAGGTTTGCCAACATTGGATTCGCAGGGGGCTAAGCGGTAATTTAAATAATTATAGTATTAAAAATAATAGTTTACTTGTAAAATTGGCAACTCAATGAAATACCATAAACAACTTGAAAACCTTTAATGAAAAAAAAACCGTTGAAGGAACCATAACTTCTTTCTAGATAAACGTAAGTAGATTGTTTTACACATAGACACGGAACCCATTCATAGCAAAGGGCCAACTGTACCCTAAAATTTTTTAAATAAATACTGAGGTCTACAGAAGAAAATACACAGTTCTCAAACCACTTCGAAACAAAGAAGATCCTGATACCAGAAGCAACAATGTACAAACAATTCATCGTCGTCTTTCTCGTCGCCATGTTGGTTGGCATTGTAAGTACTTTATTAAATTAATAATCATTAATATTAAAATGTCAGCTAGGTAAACTTTACCTCATTTCATTAAGTCTTAAGTTAATGGTAGAGATAGAAATTTTATGCAGCATAGAAATCTATACTAATATAAAAAAACTATAGTTTGATTATTTACATACATATATATGTATATCCTGACCGCTTTAGGCCACAGCGACTTGGCTCTGCCTATTGAGAGCTTCGCTGATGTGCTCTCAAGTGACTGACATAGCCAATTTTTGCAGATAATATTCGTCCACATTCACTGCAAGTCAGCACTTCACCATCATAATTATATCTCGTCTCTTTTAACATCGAGGTCTTCCTTACGTCTCTTCACAAACTCGCAGACTTTGTCCCTTACAGTCCGCCTCCATTTTATTTATAATTTATAACCCTTTTTGAGGGTGGAACTCATTTCAAGAGTTGAAATTACTTTTCCCGCCCTGGGTTGGGCGAGAAGTCGTCTCCTCCTCCTCCGCGCCAGGCGGAGCCGCGGTACATTATATATTGCACTTGCAATCGCAATCCAGAATTAAAATAACCCTATAGAACTATTTATTCAAGACCGAAAGGGTAGTTCAATCGCTTATTAGGTACTTAGACCTTTTTTCTAACGTGTGGAAATCCTCATGGATACCCTTTGTCTAGACGAGAGCGTCGCACAAGAGGTTATTTCGGACTCTTACCGACTGAAACCAAACACTCACACCCAGAAAACAATGTGAGGGTCACTCGGTAATATAGCTCATTAGTTGTACTAATGGGGTCGCGGATTCGATTCTCGCACGGAACAACTGTTTTGTGTGATCCACATATTGTTGTTTCGGGTCTAGGTGTGATGCGAATGTGATATTGTATGTTTGTAACCGCACCCACGACACAGGAGAAGATCCTAGAGTGGGGCTACCTATTTTTTAAAAAGATAAAATAAGCATGATCATACTAACCAATTTGTTTTTTTTTGCATTTCAGACAGTCCAGCAATCTGGTAAGTGATGAAATTAGGTATATGAATCGGAATTGGTATTTTTCTTTACCCAAACTTGTATTACTTATTACTTTTTTTTCTTAGTGTCTGGACAAGTTGGTGCCAATGGCAGTCAAGAGGCATCGGGTGGCATTTCGGGTAAGTTTTTTTTTATGTTATGTATCGGCAAACGAGCAAATGGATAACCTGATGGTAAGCAATCAGCGTCACCCATAGACACTCGTAGAGGAATTACAACAAGTATGTTGGGGCATCGTGTGTACAAAAGTCTTGAATAAGTGTAAAATCGACATCCACGCTACTTTATTATATTATAATATATATTACTTTATATATTTTATTATATTTATTGATAACAGGTTCAGGTAGCGGCAGCCTCGGTCCTTTAAAAGTATCTGCAAACGCAGGGGTAAACGGAAGCGAGAGCACTAGTGGCAACGGAAGTGTCAGCGGCAGTCTTGGCAAATAAGGTGATTGAAGATTGTATTCTATTCTAAAACTTATTGCCTTAGTAATAAGACACAGTTTTGTCATATGTAAATTAAGTGGAAGTAAATTAGTTTTTGTACAACCAGTTATCAACTATATTAAATTAGCAATAAGGCACAGGCTCCTGTAAGTGATGTTCAAAGTATAATAATGTAATAAGTGCAGATCATAAGTTTAATACGATTGATTCTCAACTCTAATGCTTTTATAATAAGCCTGGTTTAATTATCACTTCGGATAAACTACGGTTTTTTTTACTATGATTCAGTGCCTTATGCATACTATGTATAAAGAATTAGCTCTAAGCATACTATGAAAGGCGAAAACTATACCTTCTCTTCACTACAATAAAGTTCCTTATCAAACATACAAGCTAATCTGTAAAATATTTGTTACAGGAGGCAGATAAGAACATAATGTAAAATTTCATTGGTTAATGGAGAAATAATTAATTAATAAAATATATGTACCTATATGTATACCAATAGTTGAGAAATATATAATTTTTATTGCAGCAAAATCTGTTTTATTACCTAGCCTGAACTTATATTATTTAGAAAAAAATTTTTTTAAGAACTAATCGTTCATAAAAAAATGGCTATCTAAGGACTTATGTAAAATGTTACTTTACTTTGTATGCTGAGTAAAGTATCTTCTATAACTTAATTTAAATTATGTCTTTCGGAATATGTGTAACTTAAATAACTTAAAAATTTTCAAAAAGTTACATACCTATATAATATATTCCTTTATGTTTACGAGAAAAAGGTTATTATTATTTAAAAAGTTGTAAAAAAACCAAATTGCATCTATTGAATATTCAGAATTTGATTTTTATCAACTTAACCTATCCCAGAAACAAAAAGCAACAAAACCTATCTCATGTTTCAAAGAATTCAGGAACAGTACACATACACAGTATTTTACAACATCAATTTTAAGTCATCATCCATTGTTTTCATGCATATTTTGAAAATAAATCAGTATTTTTCAAATACATATTAACTATAAAACCCTATAATAATACACATACACTATTCAATCATAACTTTTCTTCCACATTACATAAGGTGACAAAACAAAAAAAAAACAAAAGAAGTAGGTACTCACGGTCTCCATTTTTAATTCTGTACACCGGTTCCTCAAACTGTGCAGTTGTCAAACACTTCAGGACCTTAAGGAAGTATGGCAAGAGTTTGTCCTGATGCTGCAGGTTGCTCTGCAGGAAATACAGTCCCAGGGCTATGGATGCTTCTTGACTCCGAGGTGTCACAATAAGGGATGAGCTCACTTGCGGACATAGCATGAACAGGGTGTTCACCTGGAATTAATTTTTTTTTATGTTAGAAACTATGATGTGATGCCAATATGTTTTTTATTCACTTCGTGTATAGGCTCATAGGCTGGCTATGTGATCATAGGTGATCATAGGATGCATCATTAGCCACAAAAATATATATAATATACCCTATAAAAAAAAATATAAAAATATGATTTTTATGAGGGTATATTAATCCCTACATTGGATAAATTGTTTTTCCTAGAGATGTTTTTCGATTTAACTAACTTTTACGAAGGAAAGAAATAAAATGATTTAGTGAAAAGTTCAGACAATTTATTTTTTTGGACTGGAGACAAAAATAAAAATAAAATATGTTAAACATATTTTATCTTTATTTTTGCAGACATTTTATCTTTATTTTTGTCTCCAAACTATTTTTTTCTTTTTGTAGGACACACTTTGTTTTTGTTGTCAACTATATTTAATATATTGCTAGTATTGAGACATACATTTATAACTTTTGTAAGCTAAAAGAATTAAAAGAATGCTCGGGTCCATTTAATCGTAGCGTGAAGTTTTATAGCCTATAGCACTCAAGAACATTGCAGCTCAAGTATCAGTGAAAGAATTTGGCATTCCGACCAGCGGTTCCAGAGATTACCTCCTACATACAAACCTACAAATTTTACCTCTTTATAAAACATAAAATTTAATTAACTAAAATTTCGTCTATACTTATAAGTATAGTATAGATTTAAGCTTTGTGTTTAAACAAAATACAAAACCCTATGTAAAAATTTATCTTCATAATAAAATTCACTAAATCTGTTAAGCAGTTTATGAGAAATACACTTTCACATAACATTTGGTAGCTTCATAACAAACATAAAATATTTTTTATTTACAATAAATTACCAACCTTGAATGACCTATGGGAATTAATCCTATTGTTGTTATTAACTTTAATGAGATCTTTGTAAGGACAATTTATTCTCATAAGAATGATACATTATTTCCATATTGTGTTGCCAGTTGGTATTTTTATAGCTAGTTCAGCTTGTGTAGCTCAACAGTTGATAATCCTATCAAATTAAGGTGTTATCTATACTTACTTTATATATTTTTTTTATTTATCCACAGATGCTATTACGCATAGCTATGTCATTACTGTTAGAATACCTAAACAATACTCACTAGGATTGATTGGAACACGCATGAATTGATTTCAGATCTGTTCAAATTAAGAGACCCAACTAAGAGACCCAATTAAATCTTCCAGACTTATACCAGACACATTCCCTAAATAATTATTGTAGGTCCTCGACAACTCTACATTCCTGATACTGTACATATAATGCTGCAGAATATATTTGTATTGTGTTCTTTTCCAGAATTACGCACGCATGGACCGCATTAAATATATGTGTTGGTGAGTCCATTTGTCCAAAGAATGCAATAGATAAATATAACTGTCAATAGCAGTTGACGAGAAAGCTATAAACATTAAATATAAACCACTTGGTAGCCATATAAATAAAATAAAATGAATGCCACAATATGAAATTAGTATTTACAAACTTAAATCATTAAATAAAATGCACATGGGATATGGGATATGTGAAGTAAGCGAAGGAAAATGTTACATTCAACTTCAAACTAGGTTTTATCAAATAACTGTTATATCACTATTATAGTATAAAACAAAGTTGCTTTCCCTATCCCAATTTCACTATGTATGCTTATCTTTAAAACATTATTTTAATTTTGTGCTTTTCCTTAATATGTGTAGACGTAACTAACCTAATTGGAAAAGGGCCAGTACAAAGAATGTTGCCAAAACCTCATATATTATTTCTTAAGTATTTTATAGTCTTTAGTTACATCCATATAATTATAAATTAATTACAATAAGTATAAATTAAATTAATTAATTAAATTATAAATTAATTTAGTAAGTAAATAGCTTTTAATGTATATATAAGTATTGGTATATAATAAAGATTCATATGAGAAATATTTTTTATTCAATTATAACGAGTTATAGGCACTTGTCAATAATGTTGTTAAGTTAGACATTTTTGTAAAGCATTAAACAAAACGAATCACAACTAAAACCTCACATTTAATTTATGACTTGTTAGGCTGAAAAACGGAATATCATTGCCATTTACAAGAGATTAAAAAAAAGTTAAGTGGACTTTCAAGGAACCTATTAGAAGTTCATATCTCAATGAGGTTAGGTCATGATTGTTCGATATTATGTCGAACATAGATGTGGGAATAATACATCGATGAATCACAGCTCTCCTTTGCCACACACTGATGATAACGACCGTATTGTTTAGGTGAGGTCATATATTTATTTTCGATTAAAATATTCATAAAAGTTATTGAAAACAATACAGACGCTTAAAACTAAGCTGATATTGTTAAATATACTACGAGTTTCATATCCCTAACCAGAGTAACAAGAGGAAACAATATAATTACGAAAATTTACAAGATTGCAAAATACGTGTTGAAATTATTACCTTCTCCCATGGTGTTGGATTTATATTCGATAGACATCGAGCTAAATGTTGCACGGTCTGTCTGAAGAATTCGTTTTCATCCATGGCTTTGTTTATATTATTCGATTAAATACATTTTAATAATAAATACGTGATTACGATCGACGATATCAGCCGATCGTAATTTGACAGTTTGTCAATACTGCGTTCTGTTCTACTGTCATTGTATTCTCTGTTATTTCATGAACATGTTTCTATTTCTCTTTTAACTTTTCCAAACATAGGTTTACCAGTAATGTCAAATAATTTATTCAGTAAATAAAAAAATGTAAATTAGAAAACATCAATTTGTATTTGTTTTTACGAAATTCGTTTATATTAAAATTACGTTCGAGGTTTAACAACAGTACAATGAAACGTGTTTTAGACGTTCCAATCCACGTAAGTGAGTTCTTTTTTTAATTCTGACATTTGTTTTTGCAGAATTGGAACGCGAAATCTAAATTGACATGAGACTTGTTGTAACATTATCTTTAACATGAAAATACGATTGGAATAATAAATTGCATTCGAAGGATACCGCCCAGTAATAAAAGAACACAAATTTAAAATAAGAATTATATTTTATTCTCTATACGCTATAGCAGCTATACGTTTCAATTTTGCTCGCGCCACTTTTCCTGTAGACGTCCGAGGAATACTCTCCATAAATATAACTCCACCTCGCAAACGCTTGCTATAGGATAGTTTATCTGTGGAACAAAATAAAAGGGCATTATAAGTAAGGGCCGAGTTGATGCTACCTAGGTACTTATAAAAAATTGTTCGTTGCATGATTGGGACAAAATCTATAATTTTATTTGTCGCCACTATTAAGTATCCAACGCGTATCATGCATGTCATAAGAACCCAGTAATGGGATTTAAAACAAGACACAGCAGTGCTCTTTCATAAACCCTCATTTAAGCTATAAATAGAGTATTAGATTGGCGTTTCAGGAGCGAATTGGGCCTCCACTGCCTTCACTTACACGGTGAAACACAACGCAAGCATTACTTCACACTCATATTCTTTTAAGGGCCGTGATATACCTAAGTCTTCTGGAGCCGATCGATTCGCGCGAGGAGGGCACAGTGCACATCAGTTATTGTCATTATCGGTTGATGATGAAGACCCTTCAAAAATCTACTCACTAGCAACAAGCTCCTTAATCTCATGTGCAGTAACGTTGAAGCCAGGTCTTCGCACCACGCATGCCACTGGATGCTCTCCGTCAAAGACATTGGCGATGCTGGTCACGCTGACGTCCAGAACACCAGGGTGCTGGCGAATTACTTCTACTATTTCTAGTGGTGCTATCTGTGTGGTGAAATGTCAATGTTATTTTACTTCGAAAACATAAAAATATATTTATCTACTGCAGGACTAACAGACAGTTAGATAATGGTAAGGAATTTTAACTATCCCTTAGTGCAATGTACTAAGTACTACTACATGCACTGTGTAGGTACTAAATGCAGTCGCGTAAAAAATAATCCAAAAAATATGCAATATCTTTTACCGTCCCGGGTAAGCCAGACAGAGCTTCATACTCTTCCAAAGTCATAGTCATTTCATTTACAATACCGCCGACGTATCTTGGCGAGTCTGAAGTTAGCCGATTAGCTGTGCAGTACAAAATTTCATTCCTAAAAGACCCATTGCGCAGGCAAACGGCTAATTTCAGACTCGCCAAGATACGGCGGCCGTACTGTACATATTTGAAATAACTACCTACTGTTGGCTCTTTTGAACGTCAACCAAGTAAGATTAAATTTCAAGAGTTCAATTTTGTGTGTGATTGACTGACAGACTGGTCAGTCTGTCCTCTAGTGAAGCTATTTGCTTATTCCAAAGTGTAGATTCCTATAGAGAAGAACGAGCAACGAACTCCATGGTGACACTTTTTCAATCAGTTTCACAATTCAAATCTTTTTTAGATCATTTAGCCAGTTTCATTATGTGAACAGTGTAACACTTATTTGTAGCCAATGAACTAGAAAAAGAACAAATTCTTAGGGTCAATTTATTTATGCATTTCCAGACTTAAAGCCACCTTGTTCTCTGTTCTGCTCCGAGCAGGGCCGCAGTAAGTACATCACTGCACGGTTGCAACCGCAACCCTGACTAGAATGTATTTTGGAGTCCACACTTACATGATAATTTCTGTATTTAATTAACATTCCAAGTCGTTCCACAAAGTAAAAATAGCCATCTTTGTCTTTATACAATAGGTCTCCCGTTTTGAACCATCCGTCTTCAGTGAACACTGCTGCTGTTTCTTGCGGGTTGTTATAGTATTCCTGTAAATTTATAACGTTATAAAAACCTTCATATTGAGCGCTATTTATCTTGCTTTGACAAGACAACTGACCGTGAACATAGGCCCTTTCACCCACAACTCTCCAGATACATTTGGCTTCTTGATTTCTATTTCCGTGTCTGGGTCCATAAGCTGTGAACAGATATATCATTTAAGCAGACGACAGGGACGTGTAAATTGTATGATCGCTATTATTGGTTCTTTAATGTTGTCAATATTATTCATAATATTTTTAGTATCTAGATTATCTCTTTTCTTCTTCTCTTAAATAATTAAGTTGTCTATGTATGAACGCTGTGTGTACCTGTAATAGGCATGCTTATTTGGTCTTTGGCTGTTATATTTATTACTAGTATATACTTGGTATACCAATAAATAAATAAATAAGCAAACCTCCCAGCATATTTCACTTCTACCTTTTGATTTACATTCAAACGCAAGAAAACATTGCATTACCAGTCTACATAATGATTCGATATTTAAAAAAAACGCTCAAATCATGTTGGTATCTAGTTACATAAGTTACTGATTGCCTACAGACTGTTGACAACTGTTTTTTTTATGTGGGGTCATGATTTTACGTCACACTAGACTTCTCTGTAAATTCTAGCAAATATTCAAGTAATAATGGATATTCTATTCGACGCAAAATGAAGACGTCACAAGTCGTGATCTCTTGCAAAATGCAGTTTTGACTGGTTCAGTTTTGAGTAGTCTGAAACTACCGCATTGTCCACTAACGCCATATTGGTTACATCTACAAAATGTAGGATGTTAGAAAATAGTTTTACCATAACTTGATGTACATCAGTTGCTTTCCCACAGCTCCCTAACGGTCCGTCTGGTTCTAAGGAGAAAACTTGGCCCATAGTTTCAGTCTGTCCGTACATTTCCGCTGCTATTGTATTAGGACGCATTCTATTCTGCAATCAAAAGTATTAGGCACATCAAAACTAACATCAGACTAGCTTACTTAACTTCTTTAAATACTTTTTCGGGTTTACTGGAAACAGAAGCCAGATGCCCAAAATTTAACATTTCTTCATTTGTATTGGTCCTCGGCGGCTTTTTATATATCTTATCACTAGCTACTCTCCCCCGCTTTTCGGCTCCTACAGATTGTAGCGTGATGTTATATAGCCTATAGCCTTCCTCGATACATGGTCTAACAAACACAAAAACAATTGTTCAATTCAAACCACTAGTTCCGGAAATTAGCGCGTTAAAACAAACAAACTCTTCAGCTTTATAATAATAATATTTAATATAAGTATACATTTTGAAGCTTAGAAAAAACTGTTTCCACAACCTCCAATCCATGCATCCATTTTAGATTTTTGATAAGTAATACAATAAGGGAAGTCTTACTCTTAACTCATAGATAAGTTCCTTATGCACCTTCCCTCCTGCCACCATGATTAGATCAAATGATGTGAAGTCGCAATTCTTTTCGTGTTTCAACAGAGACTCCAATAACGACGGACCTACAAGTGCGTTGATAGGCTGGAAAAAAATTATGATAATTTTAGATAAAACTGAGTCAGAAATAAGGGTTTTAGCAGTATTACTAAGTTGGTATTACTACGATGTCGAATTGTTTTTTGATACTTAAAAACAATTACAGCACCGCCATAATTCGTTCTCATAGCGAAGATAAGTGTCATCATCATCATCATCATCAGCCCTTTTCAGTCCACTGCTGGACATAGGCCTCTCCTATTGCACGCCACTGGGATCGATCTTCGGCCACTCGCATCCAGCTCCTGCCAGCCATCTTGCGCAAATCATCACTCCACCTTGCCTGAGGACGTCCTACATTACGTTTGCCGAGACGCGGTCTCCACTCAAGAACTCGTCTACTCCAACGGTCATCGGTTCTTCGGCTAATATGGCCAGCCCACTGCCATTTCAGCTTGCTAATCCGGTGGGCTATGTCGATTACCTTGGTTCTCTGCCGGATCACCTCGTTTCTGATTCGATCTCGCAGAGAAACGCCGAGCATAGCCCTCTCCATAGCTCGCTGAGTGACTTTTAGCTTGTGAACCAGCCGCACCGTCAGTGTCCACGTTTCGGCTCCGTATGTCATGACAGGTAGGACGCACTGATTGAAGACTTTCGTCTTTAGGCACTGTGGGATCGACGACGTGAAGACTTGACGCAGCTTTCCATATGCTGCCCAACCTAGCTGAATTCTTCTATTCACCTCGTTCTCGAAGTTGTTTCTACCCATCTGCAATGTCTGCCCGAGGTATACATATTTTTGAACGACTTCGAGAACAGCGCCGTGTACTGCAATCGGTTCCGGTAGTACATGTTCATTGAACATGACCTTGGTTTTATCCAAGTTCATCCGTAGGCCGATGCGTATAGAAGAGTCAGCCAGGTCATTCAGCATCCGTTGTAGGTCCTGCAGCGTTTCTGCTACGATGACGATGTCGTCTGCAAATCGCAAGTGAGAGATGTACTCGCCATTTATGTTGATGCCGCGTCCTTTCCAGTTCAGCGTCTTGAACATATCCTCCATTGCATTTGTGAACAATTTCGGGGAGATAACATCCCCTTGTCTCACACCTCGATGCAACGGTATCGGCCTTGTTTGCTGATCCTGTACTTGGACGGACATGGTGGCGGCCTCGTAGAGACATCTCATCACTTGGATGTATCGCCAATCTACTTGGCATCGCTGCAGGGACTCCAGAACAGCCCAGATTTCGACCGAGTCAAAGGCTTTCTCATAGTCCACAAATGCTAGGCACAGGGGCTGATTATACTCCTCAGTCTTCTGTATAATCTGCCGCACTGTGTGGATGTGGTCTATGGTGCCGTATCCGCTCCGAAACCCAGCCTGCTCCGGTGGTTGGAATTCGTCAAGTCTTCGCGCAAGGCGGTTCGTGATCACTCTCGAGAACAGCTTATAGACGTGGCTTAAAAGGGAAATGGGTCGATAATTCTTCAGTAGGGTTTTGTCACCCTTTTTGAAGAATAAGACGACCACACTCCGACTCCACGCCTCTGGAGTTCTCCCTTCAAACAGGACAGCGTTAAATAGCTTTTGCAGCTCCCTGAGTACCGGTTTGCTGCCTGCTTTTAGAAGCTCTGTCGTAACGCCATCCTCTCCAGGGGCTTTTCCATTTTTAAGCTGTCCAAGAGCGATCTCGATTTCGTCAATGCTGACTTCTGGCAGGTCTTCGGTGTAATGGCGTATTAAAGTGGCTCTAGAGTCCTCATTTCCGGGGTCAGGTCGAGATGCATGCGAAGCGTATAACCGGCCGTAGAAGTTTTCTACTTCCGAAAGAACTGCCGGCTTCGAGACAACGACTTCTCCACTTGCTGTGGTCAACTTCGTCAGGTGGCTTCTTCCAAGAGATTGTACGAACACTTTTGTCCCCCGGTTTTGCTCGATCGCTCTCTCGATTGCAAGGGTATTCGAGCACCGGAGATCGTGTCGCACGTGTTTGCTAATCTCTCGGTTTAGAGCCCGCTTCTCAAAAGATAAGTGTACAATGGGGAAAAGTGCAAGATACTGCACAAGCTTTTTCGCAAGTGACATGATTTTTAATTTTCTTACTCCATCAAATCACATCAAATCATATTTACTTGCTTAAACTCCATAGTCATGTCATCATCCTTATTGTCTATCAAGTTTAGGTATGTGCAGCTGTGGACGCCATTTCGGCAAACCACTGCAGGGCAAGTGGAAACTTATGAATTTGTTTAAGTTCATTAATTCTTTTGTAAACTTACTCGGAACTCTTTAATGATATCAATGACGTGATCGGCAGTAGGTGGCAGAGAAGTCTGAATCTTGCACAGGTTGAAAAGTGGCATGGCTATCGCGTTGTAAAAGCCACCTATCCACTGCACCGGTGATAAATGTAGGGCTGGAGTGTTCTTCGAGCTTCTGCCCAAGAAATCAATCAAAGTTATTATTTATACATTAGTTAAGATTAAGAGGTCATCAGTCCTCCGGCTTAAAGCTAAGTTACATTTTTTGGATCCTGCGAGAACTTTGTGATAGGTATAAGGAAAAACGTTTTTATTATTTGATCAAAATTATTTAACTTATTCAAATGTAAGGCCAAGAATCGAGGGCCAGAATATATACCGCCTTGGGTCGCAGGGTAAACTGGGATCCAATCCCACCAAATAATCCTGATGATGACAAGGAGTTGTGCTCTATCTATCTCTCTCTCTCTCTCTCTCTCTCTCTTTCTCTCTCTCTCTCACTCACACACACACAAACACACACACACACACACACAGACACACACACACACACACAAACACACACTCACACACACACACACACATTGATTTTCTGGGAGACCGTGGTATCAATGCAGTCGAGCCAACTCATGATATGAGTCGCAGATGAGAAAATTTATAAAAGATAAGTGCTACTAATAATTCAGCAACTTACTCTGTTAATTGAACTAGCTTCTTCTGCTGCTGCAGCCTCAACATCCAGGGTTTATGCTTGAAAGCTGCTACCTTCAGCACACCACTTGTGCCACCAGTACTGATGAGCCACAGGTAGATCTTGTCTAAGTCGAATTCCGCTGGTCTGTGGAGGAAGAACAGGTTAATAGAATGTGTGAAACGTGACAGCGAAAGAAATGACAAGAATTGCATCGAAATATTGAACCTTGGTCTATAGGTTTAATCTGACTGCTAAATGGGGGATAGCCAAGCTTCGGCACGAATGGGTCAGCTCGACCGGATTGATACCACGGCGTCACAGAAAAGTGGCGTGAGACAACCACAACATTGTGTTTCGCCGTGTGAGTAAGGTCACCTGAGGCCCAATCCCTCCTGCTCCCCCATGCCTTATCCCAAAATGGCCAGCAATGCACTCGTAACTCTTTTGGTGGACGATGCCGATTGCTGACCATCAGGTAATCATTTGGCTTGTTGCCGACCTATTCCAGAAAAAAAACTCCATGAGACAAAAATGTTAATTTGTGTCTACATTGACTTATAACTTAAAGTTACTTCTTCAGGGTCGGGCGGGAGGGAGTATCAGACTCTTACTGAATATAAATCACCCCGTTCTCTCTTTTATCTATCTTAAATCTTATTTAGAAGAAAGAATAAAGCTGTAAATCCTACCGGAATTCCTCTAAATCATCTCCATCATCGTACTCCCTAATGAAGTTCTGCATGGAATGCTTTCCTTCTGAGAAGGTCACGATTTTTGTGTCAAGCCCCAATTCTGTAACAGCATCTATAAAATGCTCGCACTGGCAAAACGCCACCTTGGGTGTGGTCAGCTTGAATAACTTCTTTATTTCCTCTGAAAAAATGCGCAGAAGATTAAGCATGGGCAATTCCAAATTGCTGAATGGATGGATGGTGAGAGTGAAAAGACGATGAGAAAAAAGAATGGATTAAGTCGTCAACAGCAATGACCACCTCTACAATGCACAGTTCCACTATCACTTATTTCATGAAGGAAGGAAAAATCTGTTACTTCGTCCGCCCTGGGCGGGGCAAGCTGTATGTAACACGCTAATTGGAAAGGAAAACCGGTACTGCTCGATTGTGGATGGACCGGCTCTAAATAATAACCTCAATCCAAAAAAACCACAGCGTTGGTGGACCGATCCCTTTTTAATATACATTCACATTGGATTGAAATAAATTATTTACTTTAGCCGGTATTCGTCGTCAGCACGATTTGAGATTGCAGCTTAATCAAGTTTCATTCAGGTTTATATTATCAGAGAGCGGTGCTACTCGTTCTTAATCAGTGTATATCCGCGGAAAGGTTAGCGGTTGTACTTTAAATAAATGTTTTTCTGTTTAACGGTCGCCTTACCGGCTTAGAATTTAATAATATCTAAGTATGAATTGAAACTTAAATGAAACAGAATGATAGTCAGTCTTTCTGCCCGTCACTGAAGCTAGGCTCTCGTTCCAAATACTGATTCGAATGGAGATGAACAAGAAAAGAACTGATACGTTACTATTTTAAGAATATATTTTTAACAATCTCAATGATACGCAAATAAATAGCACATTGTAAATGTATAAGGGGACATGCAGAACCATTGCTCACCAAACTTAAACATAGGATCAACGCCAACAATAGGCATGCCGTTCAGCAGAGCAGCGTAATAAGGTATGTGAAGGTCCAAGTGGTTCTTTCCGTGCAGGGCTAGTACGTCTCCCGGCTTGGCACCAAACTGACGGAGACATTGTGCCAGTCTGATAGACCGGTATAGAACTGAAGCGTTACTCTCATACTTTCCTGTGGCTGCGTCTATCTGTTAAAATAGTAAAAAAATACTCGTTACAATAGCAAACTGAATTAGAAATAAGAAAATAATCCTGCAAATATTATAATCATTGTTTGTCGAGATACTCGACTAGTTTCAAGCCATGCTAGAGGCCCATATTCATGAGCAGCATTCCGCGACGCGGCGACGCGCCGACTGTCGCGCTGCTACTCGTAGCAGCAATATCTCGTCAAACAATTACGTGAGTAAGCCGAAAACATAATAATTAATTTATTATATCCCACGAAAGTTATAATAAAAATAATCCTACTAATCCTACTATCCTACTAATGTTATAAAATGTGAAAGTTTGTGAGAATGTATTGATGTATGTTTGTTATTCTTGCCCGCAAAATCGGCTGGACGAATTTGGTATGTAGATAGGTGATACCGAGGAGGGTGATACGGTTTGTGAGGGGAAAATCATCCAATGACTTCTCCGCCCTAGGTCGGGAGTGAGGGTGTTTCAGACTCTTACTGACCAAAAATCCCCCTATGTTTCTCCTGCTCTGGGCCGAGGCCGCGGTCCCTCATTGCGCTTGATCCGCAATCCCGGTGTGGGCGACACCCTGGGATAACACTTTTACTTTTTATCAACATAACAGGCAGGCAAAGTTAGTGTTTGATAACAAAAAGTTTATATTACGGTAAGCTATAAAAGCGATTTTTTTTAAACGAATATTATTTATTTTACACTTTTAGTACGATTTACGAATTCGATAAAGAGTCTGCCGGCTGTCCGAGACTGCAGACAGGCGAAGATCGCGTATTATTTTGCTTTGTCTTTTTCACTCTCTCGTAGAGGATCCACAAAATGATGATTTTTATGTCAAAAATCATCAAACAAATTTTCCCGAGGCGAGAGGGTGTGTCACACTCTTACTGAATAGAATCCTCCCCGTTTTTTCTCCTTCTCTGCACGCAACCCTGGCGGGACCTAACCCTGATTTTATGTCTAGGTTTTGCCGGCAGCTTCCCTATTTCCCCAAAATAAAAAGTATATCATGTGTTATTGCAGGCGATAATCTATTTCTGTGCCAAATTTCATTCGAATCTATTCAGTCGTTTTAAAAGACGTTCGTAGTAAAAGACCAACATACATACATAGGGGAGATTCGGGTAGCCCCGGCCGGCGGGTAGCCCCGGCCACTGACTATCCCAGGCAAGCAGGCATACATAGACAAAAAGTATAAACATCAAAACATTCGGAGCATCGCTTAGTTGAATATTCGCCGCAGTAGTGCCACCTTCGTCGAGCAGACAATAAATGACAGCTGATTGTTTTCATCACCGAACATTTTTTCTTACGCCGTTTACTTTTTAAATACAGTTTATAGATATTGAATATAAGTACATAAGCGTGATTTATAAATTTTCTATGTAGTAATCGTCACAGTTAAAAGGGTATGTTTTTCTATGTCGATGGGATTTATAGTATTTTTAAAAATAAATAGAATGTTGGATCGAGGCGGTCGGGTAAAACCGGACACAATTTTGTCGGGTATCCACGGACACTTTTTGAGCTGAAGGAAAATCAGTATTTAAATGTTTTTATCGCGTTTTTTGATATTACAGATGTTTTTATGATAGGAAGAGTAAATATAGGCTATTTATTTTATGCAGAAGCTCTGAAAATTGCCAAAATTTGAGGAAAGAGTCACTAAACGAAGGAATTGGGATGCAGATAAAATGAAACAGGCTATACAAGTGTTAAAGAAAAGAACTATTCTTTGGGAGAAGCAGATGGCAGGTGTCAGGTGCCGAGTACTCTTCGGAATCCAATAAAAGCACTTAATATTCGACCAGAGGTTAACTTGGTTCCAAAACTAGGGAGATTCGAAGACGCGTTCACGAAAAACTCAAAAGAGCGAAATTCTGTCATCTTCTCCATTTAAATAATCTTTATTAAAAAAACAGACAATATTAGTTAACGGATCTGAAGCGGCAGAGACTGTAAAGAGGGCAAAGGGAAAGAAAAAAATAAAATGAAAACCAAACGGAACATCCACGAACTGTCAAGAGACCAAGATACCGAGTGCATTATTTGTGGAGAAACATTTGAAGTAGATTGGATACAATGTCATAAATGCAAAGACTGGGAGCATGATGCATGCGTAGATATTGATCCTTCACAGGTTTACTATTTTTGTGACGTCTGAAAAGCCGTAAAGCAATTTGATCATCACCAATAAATGATGTCCGGGGCTACCCGCCAAAAAAAATATTGTTAAAAATACAATACTGTTTATTAGACTTGATTACAGTTAAGATTAAGGAATTATCTGATCGTTACTTGTACTAAAACACTTTATATATATTTTATTTAATGGTTTGATTCTAAATAAATGTCTAATAATGTTCATTTAAAAAATAATTTGAGTTTTGTTTATGTGTCCGTGGCTACCCGACTCTCCCATCCTTGAAAAACATTGCATTCAAAACTTACATTAAGTAATGTTAGTTTTGTTCTGTAGATAATAAATGTTAATGTACACAATATACTGAGATATATGTAATACTTGCGTAAGTCATAAAATATGCATACTTATTACTATTACCTATAATAATGGATATTATTCTGTATTGTCCAGACAGCCAAAAGAACTTACAAAAACCATTATTTTCTATATTTTATGTAGGTAACAACCATCAATGAAGATCCACAAGGTCAAATTCTAAATAAAAAACAATTGACAGACTATATATAGCACGCGAAACAAGTCACAAACTAGTTTAGGTAATATAATCTGTTCATTAATTAATATTAAGCTACTTACACCTAATTACGTAGCACTTTGATTGCAATGTCTTCAACGTGAAAACAAACAATCACACAATTTTATCATCTACAATAAACATATGCTTACTATGACATCTTTATTTCATAGAGAATAGAGCTGGAAATTGTTCACATAAGCTGTAAATAGCACTTTTTAAAACAAAAGCAACCAACCTGGCAAATAGCTTGAGGCCGTTTCTTCATGTGCTCAAAAAACAAGTGTCCAAGATGTCTATCACAATTTTCCGCCATTTTCACACTTAAAAAACTAAAAAATACACTATATTTATGACTTTCATCTACGAAGAACTATTATGTAATAAAATATATTTCCTTTAGTCGTTCGTTGAGGTATTTGGCGCTCAAATTTTTATAAACTTAGATCCGGTTTAAAATTCAATGCAATGTCTGATATTTTGAACTCGTGTGGCGAATTTTGTTTTTAATTAACTCAACTAATACATTTTCCTTTATACCTATATAATAGTAATACTTACCGTAATGTTTTTATTGAAAACCGTTTTAGTGTTTTTTAATACTAGCTTTTGCCTGCGACTCCGTTCGCGTGGAGTAGTGACGTCCTGCAGATTTTCTATATAAAACCTATCCTATGTCCTTTCTCGAGTTCCAAACTATGTCTGTACCAAATTCACAGAAATCAGAGACAAAGTGTGGGAGAGCCATGCTTCGGCACGAATGGGTCGGTTCGGCCGGAGTGATACCACGGCCTCACAGAAAACCGGCGTGAAACAACCACAACGTTGTGTTTCGCCGTGTGAGTGAGGTTACCAGAGGCCCAATCCTTTCCCTACCCCAATCCCTTCCCAGTCCCGAAATCCCCAAAATTCCAATCCTTAAGAGGTCGGCAACGCACTCGTAACTCCTTCTTTGTTGCGGGTGTCCATGGGCGACGCCGATTGCTTACCATCAGGTAATCCGTCTGCTCGTTTGCCGTCTTATCACATAAAAAAAAATCAGTTCAGTAGTTTAGGCGTGGAGAAAAGACAGATAAACAGAGTTACTATCGCATTAGATAGGTAAAGTATCAAATAGGTACCTACTGCCGTCCTTGTTGTATCCTATTAAAACATTTGCATTCTAAAAACGCCTTTTTTGTAAAAGGAAGGTCATCAAGTCGCTTCTCTCGCCTAGGGTATTTCGAGATGGAGTGTCAGACTCCTAATGACTAAAAACCTTTTAATTTTCCTGCTCCAGGGCAAGGCCGCGGTAGGTACGTTATTGAGCTTGACTTGACTGCGGCTAAACATTGGCCCTGTTGGGCCCGGTTGGGTTGTTACAGTTGGGCACAGTGGTAGTCTATTGGCTCTGATCGGCCGGCCCGAGTCTGGTTCTGGTCAGGCGGTAAGTTACCTTTGCTTGTCGACCTCAGATCCGTGTTTACACTAGCATCTAAATAAAACCTGGGTTTCTTTATTTTGAGTTTTTTAAAGATGAAAGAAAAGAGTTTTCGTCTTTCGAGATTTGTGCTTTTAACTTTTCCCTTTTTATATTGTTTTGATTACTCGCATTCGCACCATCATCATCTTCATAGTCATCTAGTTACCCGAACTCTTCACTACACTCTAAACTAGTCACTATGCTGTTTGTAGATCTGCCCCAAAAACTTCCAAATCAGAATTGAAGTGATCGATTTCAACATACGATTTTTTAAGCCGCCTTAGGTGGTGCGATGTTAATTGATTAGGTAGTTGTCATACTTTAACTAAATGAAAAGTGTGTACTACATTATGTATGTAGATACAAATATCTCTGCTTACCCCTTCACCAAATAAAAGGTGTAATGTTATTTTTGCTTAATATATTACTTAGCTTTCGCCCGCGACTTTACCAGCGTGGTATGTTGATAAATAGCAGCCTTTGAGTTCATCCAGTGTCTTACTTCCACATCAAATTTCAACCAAATCGGTGCAGCTGTTTTTGCGTGCAAGAATAACATTCATACATCCATACATATTAGTAGGATAGGATGTTATTAATAAGACTAATAATGTCATATTACGTCAATACAAAAATATCATATGATAACCTTGGCAATTGTACAAAACTAGTTCTGGTCTAGTTTGAATCTTTGGTCTCTGTCTTTATACTTAGGTTTTGTTTTGATACCTCCAATAATGTTCTTAGTATTTCATTTTATAACCTACTTAGGACACCTGAAACTGTACTTAGATAGAAGATACGAAAGGTATCCAAAAAGGATCTTTCTTGAATTTAACCATCTAAGCCAAGCTTTAAGAATTGGGCAGTTTCCTTAGTCAAAAATAAATTATTTCGACGTTTCAATACAATAAAATATTGAAAAATAACCATACTTTTATTCATTGATCGATCGATAAATTAATTTTAAGATATTTCTTAGCTTCTTGATAAGAAATGAAGTTTATGAATTTGACGCAAAAATACTATGACGTCATAACTCAGTTTTTCATACAAATTTCATAGAAAAGTATCGTTTTTGGCATTTGGATAAAGTATTGAATTTGACTAGTTGGAAACTGACACACACACCTTAGCACCCCCCCCCCCCCCCCAAACCGAAACTGGAAACCACCGAAGCTTATATGGCGGAAGGTGAGTAAAGGAAGCCAAGTTTGACGTTTCAAAAGTACCTATTTATGGTTTAATTGGAATAAATGATTTTGACTTGACTTTGACTTTGACCATGTTTCTCTCTACCTACTCCTCAAAGAAGGTTCTTACCCGATGCTATAAGAACGTGCCCGACCTATGGCAAACCAATGTAGCACGAATTGACTATTTTATTTTATTTAGTCAAGGAATCAAACACATAGGGATAATTAATTACCCATATTTAATTAAGACCGGATATAAATATAAGGTCGCTGCTCGTACGGCTAGGTAAGCATGACAAGGTCATATCTAAGTACTTCTATACTAATATTATAAAGAGGTAAAATTTGTAAGTTTGTATGTATGGGGTAATCTTTGGAACCGCTGGTCGGATAGCGAAAATTCTTTCACTGATAGGTAGCTACAATGTTCCTGAGTGCTATAGGCTATAAAACATCACACTACGATCAAATGGAGCCGAGCAGAGAATAGCTAGTATATTATAAAGAGGAAAACTTTGTTTGTTTGGTTGTAACGATTAGGCTCAAAAACTACTTGACCGATTTTAATTTTTTTTCACAATTCGAAAGCTACATCATTCATGCACGAGTAACATAGCCTAAATTTTATTTTGGAGAAAAATTGGGTTGTAAAAAATCAATCAGAAGCTGAAGACTGATTGTTTCTTTTTATTATGGCATAGGTCGGCAAACGAGCAGACGGTTTACCGGATGGTAAGCATTAAGGATTTAAGAATAGAATAAGGGGTATTTTCAACTCTATGCTGGTATTATAAAACTGTTGAGTTTTTTTGTTCGATCGTTTGGTTCTTTCGGTTCGTTGTTTGACGCCGGACTTTCTAACTCATCGGCCGACAGTTCTTTGAGCGATGCGGCCTGCCTATCTACTTCAGCTTGCCGATTTTAAAACCTATATCGGTAAATTTGGTTGTTTTGCGAATTTTGTCGCGCAAACAAACTCCAAGCATAGCTCTCTCCGTCGCTCTGTCATATTTATCTCGAATACTACATTATCTAAAAGGCTCTTAAAGTACCTAATAAAAAAGTACTACAATAATATTAAATCGTTTATTTAATTTATTCACTAAATATTTTCTATCAACACGTGTGTACACCTATATCAAACAAATTTAATAAAACATTTATTTATACAATATCAATACTGTGATGTATAACCAATACTTCGATAAACCACATTTCGCAAAGATATTCCCTTTCTCCGTTCCGTGAATATCGAGCTGATTAATTGCCTGTAGGTATGCCTACCATGAAGTGTTAAACGTGAATCTTCCGGGCGAGAAAGAGGGATGGAGCTATAAAAAGTATAGCTTCATCCCTCTTTCTCGCCCGGAAGACTGACGCTGTAACACGTCATGGTAATGGTATACCCTCTGATAGTAAGCTTTCGTTGTCGCTCATGGAATGGAACACCAGAAAAATTGAAAGTGCGTGTCTGGCGTTTAGGCGTTATTGATTTAAAGTGTTTTATACCTAACTATAATGAGAAAATAACCACTTACTAACGTGAATTAACTAAGAATAGCTCTACTAGTTTCAAGTATCATGAATAAGAGTCCCGCTGTGACTTGAAACTAAAAGAGCTATTCTCAGTTCATTCACTTGAAGTAAGTTGTTATTTTTTTAATGGATTTGAAGTTGGGGATAGGGGGAAACTTTGGGCTGCCGGTAACCTCACTAACTCGGTGAAGGACAACGTTGGGTCATGCCAGTTTTTAGTGAGGCCGTGGTATCATAACGGTCTTCAGGTGGATTTCAATTGACACATTATGTTAAGGGCAATATCAATTAATTTCGAAATCGACAAATCCTATAAAATCATACCTAAAATAAATTTATCAATTAACTTATTTAACATTGAATATTAAATATATTAGGTTGTACGACATAATTACTTAGTAACTCGTAACTGTTCGACGAAATGTCTCGTTTAGTTTCAAGTTACGCCAGGAGCTCTTAAAAAAACAAGATGAACAATATTGCACAATAGTAAAAATACAAACTCATTAGAAATAAGTTTAAATAGTATTTTAAATGCTATTTTACAAGAAACACAAAAAAATGAATAATATTTGCTTAAGTTCATAATAAAACATTAGAGGTTTTTTTTCTATTTACAAATAGGAATGTTCTATTCTCTGGGTAGTGTTTGGACTAAAGTTCTCAGTTTTCCTCTAGCAATCTTCCCTGAGGAGGTCATGGGGATCTGGTCCATGAAGATCACACCGCCTCGCAGTCTTTGGGAATCAGATAACTTATCTGAAAAGGATAAACAAGTATATTAATTATAAATTGGCTCATATTTCCAGTGTCTTTGAACAAAGCCGTCCCTGTTCCAAACCATGTCTCCTGTATAAGCGAGATATGGAAACTTAAGTCTCCAAATCCCATAAAAGTATTTAATTTAACTAAAGAGATATAAGATTTGGGACAAAAAAGGCAAAAGTTGAAGAAAAGAGGTAGGTATATTTGTATGATGTGAGGTAGATTATTAGGTGTTGTACCTAATTGGGGGGAAATATACTATACGGGGTTTTGTTTTCTGTAGTCATGTTTTGTTTACTTGGCTTGAAAATGTTTTTCAATGAAATACGAATAGACCTACCTACCTAACCTATATTGTAAAACCAACTTTGAAGTGTTAATACCTTTTAGCAATGATATTATAAGTAAAAAGGGGTAGATAGGTTACTTGAAGCGTGATACATTAAATGTGGCTAACTAGCCACACTTTTTCATCTTTGTCTCTTTTGCACTCGCGATTATTGGATCATGCCATCCCACTACTAAGTGGATCATACGATTTATTCATGTGTGCATAAGTGTGCCGTTTTTGAAAATCGAATAACCATTTTACTTATAATATCATTGCCTTTTAGTATGTTATTGATCTGAGAAAAATATATTTATAGTGAAGTTTCCTGTATAACCGAGATATGGAAACTCTTAATTCTCCAAATTCAGAAAGGATGATTAAAAAGAACTACATACCAGCAACCATCTCCTTAATCTCCTCAGCAGTAACGTTGGACCCTGGCCTCCTCATCACGCAAGCAACGACATGTTCCCCATCATCCTCATGAGGTACGCTGGTCACACTCACTTCTTGAACTCCAGGGTGCTCCCGGATAACTGCCTCTATTTCTGGAGGGATTATCTGTAAAGGAGAAATCAACCAATTAACATTTTTGTTTGACACATTTATCACGGTGTCTGGGCGACCGGCTACAGTACGACACGCGATGTGGCAAGAAACAAGTCTTAGATCAAGAAATCGTTGTTCCCGGAATTTCACGGTCTGGGTGTGAGTTGCAAATCTCACTCTCTTTCTCTCTCTTTCTCTCTCCTTCTTTCTCTATCTTTATTTTGCTCTGGCTTTTTCTCTCTCTCTTTATCTCGCTCTGTCCCACTTGCTCTCTCTGTCTCTTTCTCTCTCCTTCTTTCTCTATCTCTATTTTGCTCTGGCTTTCTCTCTCTCTTTATCTCGCTCTGTCTCACTTGCTGTCTCTGCCTCTCTTTTTATCTCTCTTTCTCACTTGCTGTCTCTTTTTTTCTCCCTTGCTCTCTCTTTCACTCTCTCTCTTTCTATCTCTCTTTCTCACTTACTGTCTCTTTTTTTTCTCCTTTGCTTTCTCTCTCTCTCTCGCTTTTTCTCTCTCACACATGAACAAGTCACATATGAACAAAACAATTGTGTAAGTCTGTACACAATTGTTTTGTTCATATGTGACTGACTCAATAGATTTTTAATTTTTATACCGTGTCATGGCTGTCATCATCATTGAGGGCGATTAAGAGGAGAGAACTTATAATATAATAAAAACTATGCATACATACATTTTCTTATACTTTCGATAATAAATATCTATTAATGCAATATTAATATTTAACTACATAATTTTATCGCGTAGAAATCCTTTTATAACTTCTTCAAGTCTTTTATTACCACACATACAATGCTATTGATAAATACGATAATTGTTACGCCATTCTGATAAATGTACAGTAGGTAAGTAGGTTATGTGAAGAAATTGTACAAACAAATTAAAATATTCTTGTCGCAACGGTGTATGTATTATTATAATATATATAAGGGATTGACATAATTATATATTTAAGTTGTAGATTAAATATTAATCGTAATATCACACTTTGTATAATTTATCAGAATTGTGACTTTTTGCGAGACTCGTAAACATTCGAGAGCGCCCGACTTGTTTCAAGATCATAATTATTTAAGACCCCATTGTAGTTCGAAACTGGTCGAATCTTCTTGAAGACTTTTGATAAGTGTTAAGTTAATTTAGTAAATCTGTGAACAGTTTGATATTTTTGATTTCCCAATTGTTTCTAAGAATAGGTATATCATTTTAGCACGTATTTTTATATAAGTACAATGACTTATCCTAACGTTAATCGTCAATACAAAAGAGCTATCCAATTCGGTGAAGTTATTTGGCAATTTTTGTCTATTTTTATTTGTACTAAGTACAGAATTTATTCGGAAAAATAACTTAATAGAACTTACATGGTACATCCTATACTTGATGAGCATCTTCAGTCTTTCCACGAAGAAGTAGTGACCTTCTTCGTCTCTATACAGTATGTCGCCAGTCTTATACCAGCCATCTTCTGAGAAGGCGTTAGCAGTCTCTTCTGGGTTATTGTAGTACCCCTGAAATGATGTATTTATTGTTAGAAAAGAAGTATGTAACGTAATATCATCATCATCATCATCATCCTAAAGTACGTAGTCCCGAGCAAAAGCCTCTTCACACGCGGCTTTGATTTGAGCGTTAATCACCACGCTTGCTTATGGCGGATTTGCGATTTGAAACCTATAAATAACAATTAAAAGTTCAGTATCTTCAAGATTTCTTCCTTCAGCGTATGTTAGTAGTGTTTAAATAATCTTAGGAAGTACACATAACTCGGATGAAGTCATGTTGGTATTTGTTAGGTTTCAAATCCGCACGCACCGTCATGCATGTGAAGAATTGATAATCTCTGAGATTTCTTTAAATAGACTATGGATCACATCTAGGTATATTAGCGAATTGGCAATAATTTCCACAAAATAGTAGGTTGGCTAAGTTGAAAATCGTTATTTAAATGAGTTTCTTTTAAACATTATAATATTGTCCCTTTCTATTTGGCGTTTTTTTTTCAACGTAATTTCCGCAAAAACAGGTAATTTTAGTGACGCTACTTTTATAGGTAAATTAATTTCATTTATTTCAAACTTAAGTCCAAGGTCTTTACCAAATCTTTTTGTCTATGAACGGACTACAGGGAAACGTCATAAATGTACCTATCTAGTTCGTGTAGTAAATTTAAACTACAAACTTAGTTAGACAAATAATTATTATTTCCTTCCCATACTCTTAAAATAGGTAAGTAACAAAGGTTATTTCAGTAGTTATCCTCAAATAAGTTTATGTCAGTAGGTACTTGACTAACATTGTTGTATTGTTATGTAAGGTAAGTTTTACTGAATACACAGTTACAGATCGACTAAAGGGCTACAAATTTTCCAGCTTTACGTACGAGTCAAGTATCCCATTCCTGCTGGGAGAAAGGAACAAGAAATGGTGAGTTTTTATACAGTAAGAACCTGATAAACTGACACCACCCACTCGCCCCAACCAGGGCAGGAAAAGTAATTGAATGATGAAGAAATGGGACACATTTAATTTAACAGTGACGAGGCAGTAGCTCTCTGATATAAATCTAAACCTTAAGAGCCAATATAGACCACCACAGACGGGGCCCTATAGGACTGATGTTCAGCCAGGGTTGTCAGGCCCAGAGCAGGAGAAGGAACGGGGTTTTTTTTTAGTCAGTAAGAGTCTGACTCTCTCTCTAGCGTTCCCTGGGAGGAGAAGTCATTAAGTGATTTTCCCTTGGCAAAAAAAAAGGTGGGAATATTCACAGTGAATCCACCTGGCAAGCTTGAAGAATATAGCAAAACGCTCTAAAGGAGGAGTAGAGGTCAATATTCTAAAGTATCACAGGCCTTCAAAGGCCGTAGTATACAAGTAGAACTCACCGACATGCTGGCTCCCTTGGTCCACATCTCTCCAGGTACGTTTGGTTCTGTTATTTCTTTACCCGTCTCTGGATCCACCAACTGCAACACCAAAAACATTACTTTAGTTACACGTAAAATGAGGGGTTTCGTTTTCCTTGTAATAATTAGCTGGTTGTTCACAAAAAACTCGGAAAAATGCCTTGACCAATTATGCAAATTCTATTTTTGTTTCGTTGCTAGTGTCAGGAAAAGGTTCCGTGAAAGAACTTTTTTTTTTTTACAAACGTTGCCCCACACTAGGATTTTCTCCTGTGTCTTGGGTGCGTTTACAAACATACAATTTCACATGCACATCACACCCAGACCCCGAACAACAATCTGTGGATCACACAAAGAGTTGTTCCGTGCGGGAATCGAACCCGCGACACGTCGCGCGGCAGCCAGTTGCCCAGCCACCGCGCCAACCGTGCAGTCAAAAACATTACAGAAAAATGCATGTGAAAGTCAGGTGATAGACCCATTCCACATCGGCAGTTGGATGGCTGTTTGTTAGAAATAAATAACGTACAGTAAATAAACACAGACCTTGACTTCAGGCACTCCAGGACCAGATTTTCCACAATTGCCGATTGGTCCGTTGGGACAGGCGATAAGTATGGGGCCCAAGTTCTCAGTCTGACCGTACATCTCCACTACAGGGACTCCTGGCCTTACTCGTTTCTGGAAATTTTATAAACCACGTTAAACTAGGAAGCGAAAGTTAAGAATGTTGTTTGAGGACACGGATAATGTCGCGTGCACGAGCAAACTTTCGGGTTGAAATCTTAGGAACTACTGATCCGATTTTAATGGAACTTTTAGCACACAGATGCAATATATAACGGTTTAAAAAGTTAATAACGAACATTTTCCGGAAGGTTTTATGTACTTAAGTTTGGAAAGAAACCAAAATGTCTCCTTAAGTCTGTTTTATATCTACTTAATTCGAAGATGTCCAAAATTTAAAGTTTTAAAGTTTTAAGTATTCTGAGATTGAAATCGCCAAAATAGACAATGTCGTATATGTATATGACATAAGAGCAATTTGTTTCACTGTTGTTTGTTTGACTTCGTAAACGCCACCTGTTACCAAAAACTGGTAACACTGACCAGTGGAACCACAGGCGCGTTACCGACATTTTAAGAAGGAGTACGCGCGTTTATGAGATTGTAAGGTGGTATCGGTTTGGAAATACCGCCGGCGAAAGATCGTTCCAAAGTTTGCTTTGCGAGGCAGAAAGTAAATAGATATCCCGTTTTCATATCAAATTGATATTAGCTAGTTAATTGCCTTTCAGATTCTGCCTTCTTTCGGTAGATTTCTAAACCATGGCCTTATTAGATAATCAATCACTGTTCTAAACTCAGTCATCAGTATCAGCGTCAGAATAATGTATAATAAAATTTTAACTTACCCTAATTTCTACATGGACGTCCTTATGTACTTTTCCTCCGGATAACACGACTTGATTAAAGGAGGAGAAGTCACATTTCTTCTCACTCTTCATCAGAGCAGTTGCTATGATTGGACTCATGAAAACAGATATTGGCTGGAAAAGAACAATAACACATTATAGAAACATGTCCTTTCTGCCAAATATGCACATACTAAATCACCATCACCATCACCATCTACAAGCTATAAGACGTCCGCTGCTGATCATAGAATTCCAGCGAGTTCCTAGTCGTCGGTTGGAAGTAACCTACGCAAAGCAGCGCAACTGTTTTTTGCCAGTTTTCTATGAGACCTTGGCTCTGGTCTATCGGGGTTTCCCATTCTCAATAGACCACCACACCACCGATGATTCACTATTAGGTATATGACCAATTTTCACAAACTGTATTTTGAGTACCATAAGTAATCTATTAATGTTGTCTATGTCTATTTGCCATATTTTATATCGGAAACAGTTCCAGTCTCAAGAATTTAAACAAGTCAAAGAGAATAAAATATCAACAGGCTCCCGCTTGCTTTAAACATAAAATTCTATTGCGGTGCTTGTAAAAATTTTGAAACTCATAAAACAAATTTTGTGTTAAACAAAACTGTGTTGTACTTAGGACGACTTTTAAGCAGATGAAAAATTACGATTTTTAATATTTTAATACTTTGGAGATTTTTTCCGCTTTTTGATTCGAAGGATGTAGCATGTCATTGCCCTCATTTGTAAAGGTCGTTGCGTCTGTACTGAACAGATAAATAAAAACAAGTAAGTACATAAAATAATGTTTATACCCACTTATAAAGGAAAATACTTATTTACAGTAAGGGAAATGTGGTCATATTAGGCTAATATTGTCATATGGTCGCTTGGACCATTTGGGTCCTAAAATAGGCCCTTGGGATACCCTCTTTGAATCAATTTCAAGTTATGTCTTACCTTATACTTATTGATCATATCAATAACATGATCTGTTGTTGGTGGGTTCGAAGTTTGAAGCTTTGTTTGCTGTAGCAGAGGCATGGAGATCGCGTTGAAAGTACCTGACACCCACTGCACTGGAGACAGGTTTATACCCATCTTGTTCTCGCCTTTGCGTCTAGACGGACAAAGACAAGTTAAGCAATTTAAAAAAAATCATACCTCAAACTGTATGACTTAGATAATCACGCTAAATGTAGATTGATTATTTGAAAAAATAACCAAAGGTACAAAAGAAGAAAATTGAACAAAACATACTTACTCAGTAAAGTGCTGTGAGTTTGTTGAGAACAGTTTGCCTAAAAGTTCCAATTTTCTCAAAAATACTGTGTGAGTGAAAGCTGCTAGTTTGATGACTCCTGACGTTCCTCCCGTACTGATCAGCCACATGTTTATTTTGTTTCTGTCAAATATTGTTGGTCTGAAAGGAACAAACATTAAATGAAAACGAACATCCAAACTGCATTAAGATTTAACCTAATTTTTGAATGTAATCTCAATGAATCACGGGGTCACAGGGTCCCGGTCATCTGGGTGGCGTACGACGGACCGAAGCCAATTGCACTCAGATCCTTTAGACAACTTTAATAGATATTATTATTCTAGATAAAAAGGGGCCACAAACCGGGGACTATTTAGGTTATTAGGGATAACTCTTCAAACAATTTTTCTTGATTGTTATAATTATAATTGATGTTCATTCCTCATTCGTGTGTGCCTTTATTAAGAATGGGATTTTTGTTTGGAAGTTGATGAAGACTGTAATAAAACATAACAAATAATCCTTACAGAAATTCCTCCTGATCATCTTTATCATCATATTTCTCGATGAAACTGGCCAGAGACCGCCTTCCCTCATCAAAGCAGATGACCTCCGTGTTCAGGTCCAGTTCCTCAACAATCTTCTCGTGTACCTCCAACAGTTCCTTCTGACAGAAAGCTATTCTTGGCTGGGCGATCTTCAATAGCGTCTTCAGTTCCGCTGTGAGAAAAAAACAGTATTGCTATGTTACATATTAACGTCATCATACAAGTTTTTAAAGCATTTTATGAGTTATCTACAAAATAGGAATTTTGGAAAAATAACCTAATAAAAATGGCTATCTTTTGCTTAAGGGCTAAGCGATCTTCAGGTCTATTGCGACAGGGTGTTCTAGGATGTATCTATACCATTAAATAACAATCAATAGAAGAAAAATAGAGTGCGAAACTAAACTCTAAGTACGAAGCATACAATTGTTTCTAGTGCAGCAATGCGTTCAAATATAACAGAACTGATCAACAGCTTCAATTCAATTACTATTCTAGAGTGGATTATTTTAAGTTAGAAAATAAAGTACCTAAGTATCTGCAAAGATGTGGGGTAATTATTATTTTTCCAACTCAAAAAAAGACCATGAAAATACAACCAGTTGTTTTCTAGTTTCGAACGTTGTAAACAATCCTACATTTTTACACCTTAAGATACAAGTGATTGCTTACATAATGTCGTCTAATAAGCAGGTATGTTGACTAATAACATATTTCGTCACGTCTACCCATATATTATAACCACACGATGTATTTTTCTCGTCAACTCAAATTATCGCTGGTCCTTATGAGTTCGTATTGAACATTTGACTTTGATACTATGCGAATTACCGGTAAACCGTAGTTTTTTGACCGAACTTCGATAAATGGCGTTTCTTTTTTTTTGTCAATCAACTTGAAAAATCAACTTGTCTGTAATGGACCTTGACCATTTTTGTCTCTAGTGTATTATTGAAACTTGAATTTGGAAGTGATGATCACCATGGAATAGAAAATACAGATGATCACGATACGATTGACATTTTAATGTCTACCTATCTGACGCTATCATTGTCACCATTATAAACATGTTTGTGGACACCTACGTAATTGAAACTAGACTTGATAGATGCAATTCGTTAGATGAATTGAAGGTCAAAATAAGAAGACTTAGTACTCGAATACCTAGTATAGGATCATTTGAAAGCAAAACTCTTGAAATCAAATGAGCATCGGTAAACAGACATGAATTCTGTAATAAACTACAAGCAAGTTATGTCGCGGTGGCCCGGAGTTTGAGGCACCCACTTCTCAAGCTTGTAGGTGCTGGTTCAAAACCTGGTAAGTACCAGTGTTAATTTTTTCCTTAGAATTTGACACAACATCTTGATAAAACCTGAATATTTAATTATAAGTTTGAAAGCACCAATCCGCCTTGAGCAAGCAAGGTGATTAATGCTCAAACCTTATCTGTCAGAGAAGATGCCCTTGCTCATCAGTGGGCACTTTTATAGGTTGTTGATGATGATAATGGTGATAATGATGAATCTACAAGCAATTTTGTACTCACTGTATTTAAACATAGGGTCCACTCCAGCAATAGGCATGCCCGTCATTAGCGCTGAATAGTACGGTATGTGCAGATCTAAATGGTTCCTTCCGCCCAAAGCGAGGACATCTCCAGGCTTCACTCCCAGCTTTTTGAAGCATTTTGCTAACTGAATTGAGCGAGCTAGAACTGATGCATTTGTCTCGCTTTCTCCTGTGGCTGCGTCAATCTGTGAAATAGAGAAAGTAGTATTTTGAAAAAGTGTTTTTATACAATAGCATTCTTATCATTGTATGCTGTGGAATTTGAAAGGAATTCCAGCAGAGAGCCTGATTTCCGGTAATGGTGTACTGTGACCCGGCCCTCAGCAAGAAAAGGCTCGGGTGGTTTTTAGTCAGTATGAGTCTGACAAAAAATCTACGGGAAGTTTCTTATGATGAATTTCCATACTTCAAAAATAAACATTTATTACATAAAAAAGCCTTCTTCTATAAGTAATACGAATCTACATTTTGGATCGAGTGTCTAGCTACGGTACGTTTTCAAGGCATGTTTACTTTGACGATTCAAATTCTGCCTTCTTAAAGGACATTTTTTAAAATAACGTTGACTGTTTGAATACCGTCATATAAATCTTCGCGTGGAGGGAGTGCCAGACTCTTACTATCTAAAGACCACCCTGTTCCTTCTGCTACTTTAGGCCGAGGCGACGGCAGCTTGACACGCAATCTTCGACTTTAACATACCTAGGTATAGATAGAACCTACCAGGTCACAAGGTACCTATTAGAGGTAGTAATCTACTATTACGGTACTACTACTATTGTTTACTAGTAAGCGGGCAATGAATGAATGACTTTACGAGTTCCGGACGTCGTCGATAACTGGCACAATCGTACAATTGATAACTTCATTTATTTCCATTTTTCACTACGAAGGTCGACATCGGAAGATCAATGAATGAATGAATCATTTCATTCTTGTTTATTGTTTAGGTAGGTACGCAAGCTTTTTTTTCAATAAAGTACCTTCTGTTCGATGTTTTGGTGCCTTTTTATGGGTTAACCATCAAATGACGTCTCTCGCCCAGCTTGAGGAAATAGAGTGTCAGACTTTTACTGACTAACTTCCTCTCGCCCCCTACCCTGTGTTACTTCTCCTGCTTTAGGCCTGGCCTGAGGTCTATTGGCACTATAAGGCGCGCACGGAACTCGGAAGATATTTGTGTGCCTGTACTCTATGCTATAAAGAGGTTGCACGTCACCGTTGTTGAGAATCTTGGATCCTTCAACGAAAAGTTTTTGAAGAATATAATTTACCAAGTTTCTGGCATTCTATAAGGCTAATAGTTGTCGACCACTTGCATCCGAAACAAAATTAAATGAAAAGATTCATGAGAAATTAGCTAAAGCTGATTTGAAGAATGTCAGCGGGTTGCAGGACAAGCGCAATTAGGTCGGCCTTGACCTAGAGCAGAAGAATGACCAGGGGGAGTTTGAGTCAGTAAGAGTCTGGCACTCTCTCTCGCCTCACCCTGGGCTAAAGAAGTCATGTGATGATTTTCCCCTCTCAAAAATAAAAAAGAAACTAGAGAAATTTGTTGAAAAAGACAACACGCACAAAATTGTTATAGCAAGCGTCATTAGTTTTGGTCATAATCCTATAGATTTAAGAATTAAGTTAGTTCGCATCATAGAAAATGCTAGAAAAATTAATAAATACCTAAGTACATCATTAAAACTAGATGACGATGATTCGTGTTATCAACTTATCAAATACGGCTATCAAAAACATGTGGGTAATTCTTGTGATATTTTTTATGAACTAACGGACGGCCTCTAATCCTTTGATAAATATAGAGATGTAATATCGCTGTCTGTGGTAACACACAATTCATTTAAAAGAAAATTAATTATGCGTCATATTGTTACAAAACACAACTGGAATTTCCCAAAGATTTAAGTAATGAAGGTTCTTTTAATACATCTAGGGCTGGTTTTTCAATGGTTATAAAAGTTACTTGGGGAATAATTGTAATGCTGTCGCATCAGAATGTTTGTATAAGACAGTGACAGCAACAATTTTATTCCTCAGATATGTAATATCTAAACACTGAAAAATCAATCCTAAGTTATTACATTTTACTTTATTCTGTAAAATGACTGATTACCAGATGGTAAGCAATGGACGCCTTCAGTCTATGGACACTCGTAATATCAAAGAAATTGCTACAAGTGCATTGCGGGCCCGGCTCCTGGGGCCTTTTAGGGGTTTAAGAATAGGAGGAGGAATGGTTTAAGGAGAGGAAGAAGAACTGGGAGAAGACCTGGGCCTCTGTTTAGTCATTGTCAATCTGTATTCGGCCAGGATATTATATTATATAGGACTAGGATATAAGCCCGCCCTCTCCAAAAACATGCCTCTAACCATAATCTGTTTAAGACCCTAACCATGTTTTTTTTTGTGAGGGGAAAATCATCAAATGACTTCTCCCGCCCAGGGCCGGGCAGGAGGGAGTGTCAGACTCTTACTGACTAAAAACCCCCCTGTTCCTTCTCCTGCTCTGTGCCGAGGTCGCGGTGCCTCATTGCGCTTACCCCGCAACCCCGGCTGACCCTAACCATATGTGAGGGCACGAAATCTGAAAAGCTCAATTGCGAATTTTTCAAAGTTATAGGTACAAAACCTGATATTAATTAATATGACTTCTACCGATTTATAAGTACTTTTTTAGTTTATTTACCACAGCACCGTGAGGAAACCCAATCACATAATTTCTAATTATATCTAAGTTTTAAAGTACCAACAGGCCTTGAGCAAGCGTGCGTCAATGCTCAAACCTTCTCCGTGTGAAAAGAGGATTTTGCTCAGCGGGGCACTTATAGATAGGCTGATGAGAATCTTGAGTTGCTCAACAATCCCCTGGACTCTCTACAATACATACTCGTATCTACAAGTATCGTCAGCCTTATTATATCTCATCTCAATAACATGTAGATACCTAGATATATGTATGTATAGTAATACAAGAGGATAAAAAACTCGACCTAGCTATGAGTTAGCGGAAATAAGCCATTTACCTACTTATAGTCTGATTAAATCCAGTTGTTCTTGACCTTTGCCATTATCATATTCAGCGATTGAATTGAGACTATATTTTACGTTTTACATTTGTTTTTTGATATAAACAAAACAATGATACTTATCGTTCGCTGTTTTTTTTTTGCAGCCAGCAAGAGCTAATAGATCACTACAGACGGAGAAAGAAACTTTTTATCATAAGTAAGTATTAGCCTCAAGACAAGGGCCCAACAGGGCGCGGTCAGGCATGGAGCAGGAGAAACAACGAAGGAGTTTGTTTCGGCATTTCTTCTCAGAGTAGTCAGATAGGAAATGCCGGCTTCATCTAGTTTTTCACATATAAATTGACGTGTAAAAGTGCCGTTTTATGGCCTATTTGAAAAAATAATTTCATTGTTTCATTGTTTAAGTATTTCACAACAATTTTAGAAAATTGTTATCCAGCGTCTATGTACTGATTATGCTTTGATGACAGTTAGGTACGTTCTTTAATATCTTTTTAATTAAGAGTAATTAATAATAATGCTAAATAATAGGTGTAAAGATATAACACAATAATAGTGTATAGTATACACAAGTTTAACGAAGAAGAATAATAAGACGTCATGTAACTAACTGTTACTACTTATAGGTTATTTTAAAATACATACAATTCTAAAGTTTTTGACAATTTGCCAACGAGAAAGTCTTAGTTTTGCTATGAATGTATTTTTGTATTATAGTAGTAGAGTTTTATAATGAAAGAGCAGTAAACACTTTTTGTTTCTTACGTAATAAGAATAAATTAAATTGGTATATTCTAAGCTTGGTATATGTATAGGTTTTTTATGTAATAAGCCGGCAAGAAGACAGCTTACCTGATGGTAAGCAATCAGCGCCGCCCATGGACATCCGCAACAGAGGAGTTACGAGTGCGTTGCCGACTTATTGGGGATTAGGGATTTGGAGATTTAGGGATTGGGGGAGGAAAAGGCTTGGGCCTCTGTTAACCTCACTCACATAGTGAAACACAACGCTGTGGTTGTTTCACGTCGGTTTTCTGTGAGGCCGTGGTATCACCCCGGTCGAGCCGACCCATTCGTGCCGAAAGCATGGCTCTCCCACACTTAGGTAAAAACGTTTGTTCTTTTGTCGTAGATAATTGAATAGGTAGAGGTTTACAATTTAAGTATATTTCAGTTAGGTAAATCTAGATAACAAGTTCACTAAAAGATGTATAGGTAGGTTGTTGTTAGCCTCGGTCATCAAGTTTTCCTGGATTGTTGTAACAAAATATACCTAAAGTTTTTTTCGTGGCTTATATCTAGCGTTACTCCATAAACACAAAAATAATTATTCAAAACGAACCAGCAGGGCCGGAGATTAGTGCGTTCAAATTAATAAACAAATAAACAAAAACAAAATTATCAGTTTTATAACATTAGAATAAATATGACTAAGTTCAAATACTAGGTAGGTACAATGACCATCTGAAAATCTAAAAGGTTGTCAACATTCTACAAAGAAAATTGTTCTCCATATATTCATTACCTACTAAACACAGTGTTTTGTTTTTGAGATATTAAAGTTGTATTCTATCTAAGATAATGCTTTGTTTACCTATAAACAAGTGCATTATCACTTACTTGTCCTTTGAACAGATTAACCACATTACTTATATGCCTTTGTTTTTTAATCTGTTTTCTATCAGTCAATAGCGACATCTTTTAATAATCTGGTCCAATAAAAATTGTCTCAATGTTACTTCATTAACATTGACATAAATTGTTTCTTGCACCTAAGTACTGGTAACTCCTCTTTACATCAACCAAAGGTTTGAATGGCAGAGAATGCCTGTGTTATTAAGTCCACACGAGTGTTTTAAGTGTGGTAGAGCCATGCTTCGGCACGAATGGGTCGGCTCGACCGGAGTGACACCACGGCCTCACAGAAAACTGGCGTGAAACAACCACAGCGTTGTGTTTCGCCGTGTGAGTGAGGTTACCGGAGGCCCAATCCTTCCCCTAGCCCAATCCGTTTCCTTTCCTAAAATCTGCACATCCCTAATCCCCAAAAGGTCGACAATGCACTCGTAACTCCTCCGTAGTTGCGGTTTTTATTTAATATAATATTTAATGATTAACCACAATAACCACACATACCTGCTACTAATGATTCTATAAAGCTTAATTAGGAGGAAACTATAACGAACCAAACCTTACTTCTACCAGCGGCTTTGCCTGCAGTACCAGAGTCAAAAGGTGGCTATAGGCACGTTACTCTTAAAACCAAAACCTACACTGAATGCATAGGTATATCTACCTATGCCAAATTTCAGTCAGGTCCGTTCAGTACGTAATAAAGAGAAAAATAAATATCCATCTTTACACAATTTCGTGTTTATATGTTACTTAGAAGGACAAACAAAACACAACTTTTGTTCGGTCATTACAAAATCTTAAAACATCGTTATCGTCTAAACTAAAACAACACTAGAGATACCAAAAAACTACAGTAAATGGGTGATTCTTCACATCAATTAAAAAAAATTTAATAATGTCATTATCCTCAACCGAAAATTAACGAGTCTGCTGATTAAAACACAGATAATTATTTTATTAATTTAAATCTCACCACTGCTTACAAGCAACCGATTAAAAATGTTGTATAAAATAAATTACTAAGATGCTTAAAAACCTGGGAGGATAATGACTTGTTAAATAAAAGTTAAAGTTTTTTGGAGAATCACCCAAATACGATTAAACATTCATAGAAGGTACGTTAAATTAGGCATACCGTAAAACGGGGTGAATAGATACCTAGGTACACAAAAGGGGTAAATAGATGATAGCGAATTTTCTTAGTAACTATTCCCACCTCTGTTAACCCCATTTTACTGTATTTCTATAAACATTTCAACAACACCTATTAATCTATTACATAAGAATAAAAATATGTCGCCAACTACCTACTTAAAATACACGGAAAATTTAAAAAACAAAACAAGTATTTGAATAAGGAAACAAATATTCGACCATCGGTAACAGTACAATCAGTACATAGACAAATAAACAATTATTTTTTAAATTGTGACATTCTAAATTTAAATGCAAACGAACCTGGCACACAGCGTCGGGTCGACTTCTGAACGTATCCAAACACAAATGTCCCGCATGATAATTTTCATTCATCAAATCAAATGGCGCCAACTTCATTTTTAAAATATCACAATTTAGTTTTTATCACACAATAATCACGTCTGTATTTCGCGGCACTCGGTTACCGTTTGACGATGGACGACCTTTTTGCTGTTATTTATGTATCTATCAGTTCAATGGCCGGTTCCGTTGTGAGATAAAAGTTTGATAAATTGCGGCTTCCATTCAAGGGATTAGTAGAACAATTACTGATAGATGTACTTACTGATAATAGAGATTCAGTAATGAAGATTTTAAGGGAATTTGAACTCTATAGGTAAGTGTTAGCGTAGGTAAGTGTTAGCGTAGGTCTGCTGTCTAGATTTCAAAGAAGAGGTCATTGAACAATCAAATGTCATAAACGATTTATGGATACTTTTTTGTATGAAATCGTAACTTATGACTAATAATGTCTACTAATAATGCTTTAATGTCAAATAACATACTTTTGTTTGAAAAATTAGCTACCTAATTGGAAGTTATTATATTTCGTTAAATTAATTAATAGGTATACCTATCTAAGTATGATTATATTTAAACAATTAATTAGTAAACTGAATAATAAAAAACTGAAAACAATTTATTTTCGGTCTAGGAAACTACCCAATTGTAAAAGAAATTCATTGTGTTTCTCGCTAGTTTATAATGGCATAGAATCTTGACGAAATCTGATGGTGTTGAAAATACCTAGATGTTTTTGAGTTACGTTACGGACGATGTTTCTTCCCTCTATAAAAGACCGTCAAATGCACTTGTACCTAACTGTCCTGATGTTCTTGACAGGCGCTGGTTGTATAGCGTTACCTCCGAGATCGAAGGGAAGAGTCATACTTGGACACAAATTAGAAAACCTTCATGAAGAAAGATTTTAAGTGTGGGAGAGCCAAGACCGGAGTGTACCGCGGACCGTTGCATTTCGCCGTGTGAGTGAGGTTACCGGAGGCCCAATCCCGCCCCTTCCCGATCCTTATATCCGCAACCCCTATCTTCAAAAGGCCGGCAACGCACTCGTCACTTCTTTAGTGTTGCGGATGTCCATTGGTGGCGCCGATTGCTTACCATCAGGTAATCCGTCTGCTCGTATGCTGACTTATACCATAAAAAATGCGTTTTTGTGAGTTTTGTGTGAGTAAACCGATTACTCTCTTTTTTCATCCCCACCGCTCAAATCCCTAACCTAAAAAAGTCGGGAACACACTCCTAACTCTTCTGATGTTGCGGGAATCCATGCGTGCATCAAGTGATCACCCATATGAGCTGGTGATGAGCCTTTTATCACATACGAAACTCACAAACTCTTCCTTAGGGCTGGAATCCAACACCTCATATAACCTTTAAGGGTCAAACAATAGAATAGTGAATAGCAACTTATAATGAAAAGCACTTAATTAAACTTCCACCTTTTTCGTTATTATAAGGTTTATTTTGCAACAATATTTTGCTTATCGTTTAAATAGATACCTACCTACAGACAGATACCTAATGTTTATTGTTTGTTTCCTGATTATACGCAATGTTAAGAGGTGTTTTAAATACGTAAATTATATTTTATTTTTGCTTTATCGTGTTTGAGTTGTTGCCAGCGAGGCTGACCAGGTATTTTGATTTCGGGGGAGCTGGAGAGCCTACCTATTATCATGTACTGGGTACCAGATCAGATGATATATTATATACTAGCTACTCCCGCGCGGTTCCACTCGCTGCTCGGCTCCATTTGATTGAAGCGTGATGTTTTATAGCCTATAGCACTCGGGAACTCGGGAAGCTATCAATAAGTGAAAGAATATTGGGAATCCGACAAGTGATTCCAAAGATTACCCCCCTACATACAAACTTACAACTAGCAATAACAGCCGGGATGGCGAGCATATTCATGTCCCGCCGTCCCGCGGCCAGACACAAAGCCGGAGAAAAAAACGGGATGGAGTTAGTAAGAGTCTGACACTGCCTTTCACCCCACCCATGATTGGAAAAGACTTTAATGATATTATAGTATTACCTTTCAAAAAAGAGGGTCTAACGAATTGATAGTATCAAAATCTAAAAGGGAAGTACTTAGGTATGTACCAAAAACCAGTTAGGTTATTTTATGTAAAATTGTTGGTAACAAATATTACGTAGCAGAGACAAGGGTCCGGAGTAGGTCTATAAGAGGAAACGGTACCCCCTACAACTGTTGAGCATGCCCTACGTAGACCACCTCGCTTTTCAACTTGGTGTTTAGTTTGGTAGTAAGAATCCCATTAGAAAAGGGAAAAAAGCTAAGCGTTTTTCTCCCCAAAAAGCAAGGTACGCTTTGAAACTATACCTCAAAATTGAAAAAAATTCTTCCCTATCTTTAATTATTTTAAGTCATGCTGTATATGTAATATCTACCTACTTTAGACTAATGTGTTAAATAGTGGTCCGATGTCTAAATCTGCCTTATCAGCCCTCTTAGTTGTCTTAATATTATTTCCTATTAAGTATTTCATAAGATTGCACTTTGTACCTTCCTATCGTTGCTATCATTAAACAGACGATGTTTTAAATCCAATTTTACATAGACTTTAGTCTGTGCTATCAGTCCAAAGTGTAATTAAAATTAGATCGTATCACTTATCGCTGACACAACCTTCCTCAACCGAAACATTAAAGTCTGGCGCCCCTCCGTCCCAGTCCCTGGACTAGAATAAAAATTTTGGATCCCGCGAGGAAATAAATTATGTTATTAAACTTATGAATTAGGAGAAGAAAACGGAAGATAATGACGTTGCTTGGAAGAAAGATAAGGAATGTATGAGCGAGCCATGTTACGGCTCGACCGGGGTAATACCGCGGGGTGATAGAAAGCCTACGTGAAATAATACTTGAATGACGAGGAGGATTGGGCCTTCAGTACCCACTGGAGGCCCAGTCCTCCTCATAAGGTATTGTCTTAAAAATTAAAGAAATTGAGACAAACTACCTATGTAACAACACTAATATTATAAAGAGGTAAAAGTTTGTATGTAGGGGGTAATCTTTGGAACCGCTGCCTGGTCGGATTGCCAAAATTCTTTTACTGATAGATAGCTACAATGTTCCTGAGTGCTATAGGCTATGAAACATTACGCTACGATTAAATGGAGCCGAGCAGCAGGTGAAACCGCGCGAGAGTAGCTATTAATAAATTAAACTTAATCGTAACAAAAACTGTTTTCACTCTAACCGTCTTTTTATATTAAAGTTTTAATGTAGTCCAAGGCTGTAGGGTCTTGAACCCGGACCTTTAACAACAAAGATAATGATTGTGTAGGTAAGTAACTATATACCAATTATGAAATAAACGGTCTCTACTATATGCCATGCTTCGACACGAATGGGCCGGGTCGACCAGAGTGATGATACCACGGGCTTACAGAATACCTACTGGCGAACGTGAAACAACCACAGTGTTGTTTCATCGTGTGAGTGGGGTTACCAGATGCTCCAATCATTGAATCCCCAAAAACCCAAATCACCATAAAACCGGCAACGCACTTGAAATTCCTCTAGTGTTGCGGATGTCCATGGGCGGCGATTGCGTAGGTAACCATCAGGTAATCCGCTAGCTCGTTTGACGGCGTATCGCATAAAAATAATTTAGAATGTACATTTCAAACCAAGAAATATACTACTCAGCAATCGCACTCGGCACCCTGGGATCATTTTTGAAATAGGTATCAAAAAACTAACTAGTTTGGCACTACGACGTGATTCCATCTGCCCCTTTCTCTTATTAAAAAAATGGGTGCTACCTATAATCTGTGGCGCAAAAATATTACGACATCAAATAAACGTAGTGGTTACATACTCTTTGACATCAAATGCGAAATTCCGTTGCCAAACAAAGTTTATTGAATTTATACCTATAGGTATCGATCGCTTTTGATTTATCCGAACTAATATTATAAATGCGAAAGTAACTCTGTCTGTCTGCCTGTCTATCTTTTTTCACGCCAAAACGACTGAACTGATTTCTGTGTTTAGTACCTAGGTAGGTACAGACATAGTTTAGAACTCAAGAAAGGACATAGAATAGTTTTTAATACAAAAAATCTGTAGGAAGTCACTATATATTCCACGCAAACGAAGTCGCGGGAAAAAGCTAGCATTATACTAAATTTGACTAATTGGAAATACCGTATTGTTTGCAATACCAGAGATTATCGCGTTAACAAACAAACAAACTCCTCAGCCTTACATAATTAGTACAGATAACTCTTCTTATCAAACTACAAACAGTAAAAACTGCGGTAATTTCCATTCTAACAGAACACAATGATTTAGATCCTACACAAACTTTAAAGAAAGTACAAAGTCCAAAGATCAAAATTTAGACAGAAGGTCACTGTATTTGTGTGAAACAAGAAATAGCAACAGTAATAAAAAAAGACATTGGTAACGTATTTTTCGGACTTTGACCTACCTATTTCCACCTAATGATCTTTGGACCTGGTGTTATCATGACAAGCATTTTACAAAAATGATGTCATACTTAAATAAAAATGTCGTATCATTGGCGTCCTACAAAATTTTTATTTATAAGTATGTATAATTATAAGTATTTTTTATGGAATAGGAGGCAAACGTAACTTAAATGGTGTTTGTGATCTAATACGAATATTAATATGGAGGTATACCTACTTATATTTTTATTGTAAGAACATTATATTTACGCGGGTATTAACGCGGAAAATTATAATTTGAATACCTTGGTAGGCTTGACGTTTCGACCCGGTTGCACAGGTCGTGGTCACAAGCAGACTGAAGACGCGATGTCACAGCTCCCTGCATTCGGGTGATGAATCTTCATCTACCCCCTTATTTTCATTTTCTACCATATTAGGCCGTCTACACACTACGCTGATTATATCCACAGATGTGTTAACCGACTTTGAAGGAAAGCGAGGTTGTGTTTTGCGAAGCACTGGATTCCACGTCGACGACAATTTAAAGCCGTCCTCCCGATTGAAATTATTTGGGCATTTCTTTATTTCAACCGCTTCACGCACAAGTCTTGTATGGTAGTGGCGATCAGTGGAGAGAATTTGCGGTCGGTGGAATTCTACCCAGTGATTAGAACCAGCCTGGAGCAGGTGTTCTGCTATCGCTGATTTGTTGCTCTGTCGG